CCAATCTGTGTATCAGCATGGTGAACTCAGTCCAGTACTCACGTACAGATCGGCTCCCCTGTTTGCAAGCCATTAACTGTCTGCGCACCACTCCCTTTTCAATATCGCTGGAAAACATCAGATCCATGGCGCGAAAGAACTTCATCGTGTCCTTTAAGACGTCACTATTAGCTGCCATCAGGGTTCTCACCCAGTCTCTCGCCCCCTTTTCAAGATGCCCAATCACAAAAGCCACTCGTGATTCCTCATCAGGAAATCATCAAACTGCAGATTGAGGGCATATTGCATTTCTGTCCGAAAGCTATGATAGTCTTTGGGCTCCCCCCCAAATTTTTGCACCAATCCTGGTACCTTTCTGGCGAGCTGGGTGGCTTTCTCCCTTTGTCTGCATCTTGAGCCCTCCTCTCCTCCAGCCTCGCCGTCTGCAGCGCCAGCTGGACCTCCAACACTCGGTACCTTTCTTCCAGGCTTGGACCCGCTCCAGCCCCTGCTTCTCCGGTTCCTGCTGGGTTGCTCATTATGCCTTCTCCTGCACAAGCTGCGTTCAAAGACTGTCGGAATGCTGAGATGGGATTATGAGCTGCTTGTGCGTAAAATCGTATTCCCTCAGAGTTTGTTCAAGTCCACAAACCTCTGTCTGTGACTGAGCCCCTCTGACATGGCTCCTCTTAGTCACTAGAAGATTCCGACAGTGGTTGCTTTCGTAATCGCTTCCAACATAAAAGCTCCTTAACGGAAACACGTCTTCTGGACTCTCTGCGTGACAGTTTCCGGCGAGGAGTGGGTGTCGCTACAGGAGGTCCGGAAACCTCACCACTGTTTTCGCTGGAAGTATCTCTGAGCCATCCCCCCAGCTCCCTTTCCCTCAGTTCAGCTTCTCTCCCCCTGCTGGTTTCCTCTTCAGCTGCTAAGTCTCTTCCAACCTGTCTGAGTCCTTTCACCTCCCTTCCTACCGATGGCAGTTCCCTGACAATAGCACTCCTGATGTCAATGTCTGTTTTCTTCTTCTTTTTTGACCAATTATTGCCATCAATCGAGCCAGTTCGGTATACAGAGAAAAGTGGCTAAATAGTTTATTTATTCAAAAGATATGAGGGAGCAGCACTGCCTGATTTAGTCTTGCCATATTTCAAAAATTCCTAACACCCCAGCCTCCCCCCCAAAACAAACAAAAAATAAATTAAAAATTCTCTCCTTTTTTGACAAAGACAAATGACTGCCCTCAATCAAGAGCCAGTTGGCTAGACAGAGAGTCAGGGAAATGCATCACACCTTACTGGTTTTCCCACTATCTGTGCAAGCTTTTCACCATATCATTTTATGCCCCATTCCGTGCCCAATAAGTTTGGAGTGATGCACACCCAGTGGATCCATTCCATCAACATGGGGATTGTGAAATGGTGAACGGATCCCGGGACCCAATGCCATGCCATCTCTTGCCCTGCCTGCTGCTGTCAATAAAGAACTGGCCTGATTTTATCCCATCATTGTTGTACAGTCTGACTATTTTGCTGTTCTCATGGGTCACATAATGTGCCTGCCGGGGCAAAGAATGATTAAAAGAAACCAGCCACAAGATAGATCATTCACACCCACTATAAGATTAACTTTAATCAATAACGAGAGTTTTAAGCCTCAGGTAATATATATGTTATACTGCAGGTATTTCAATAGTTCATTTCTGACTGGAGACTATGTAAATCATAAGGTCTCCCTCTTCACCTTGCTGTGGACATTTTGAGCGAACACCAAACTCGACAACTTTTTCCTCTTGTTCTCCCCTTCTCTAAAACATCTTCATAGGGTGGATAGAATGGAGTATACAGGAAATAGCTATAGTTGAAAACTGAACAGATTGTTTTTCTTTTACTCTTTTATTATATGTTGCAAACTGCTACAGGTTACGTGTATGATTTTAGATGAACATTTATTCTCTGTTGTCCATTTTAAAGGCCTTTGGCTATATACAATAAAAATTGCTTGATTGATTGATAGTTTTGAGAGAATCAATAGGAGTATATAATCAGACTAGGAAAAGTGCTATGATACACTTGTACATTCTTCCAACAAACATCAAACCATAGGGAACTTGTTAATGTCTATTTGTTGATTTATCTCCCTGCCTCTGGTCATATCTGAATAGACACCCAAACCTTTCTGATTTTTTTCTATTGAATGCAGGTCAGACAATATCTCCCTATATTTGGATTCTCCGCTCCTCATTGGTGCTTCTTCTCCTGGTCTCAGCGCCAATCATCACCTGTTTCATGGAGAAGTGTGATTGCTCCTTGGTTGGACCTAGAAACTAGGAAATCCCATTGGAAGAAAGAAAAATGCCTCCAGACTGTGCTTTGTCTGTCCTCCTTCTCTCATCCATTTATTCACTTACAATAATGTTTCCAGTATTTTACTAAGCCGAGTTCAAGTACTGGTTTTGATTTTTAGGGTTCCAATAAAGGGCTTGGGTTCATGATGTCTGGTTAGCTTGCCAGAAGTTTTTACAGCAGGTACTGAAAGCAATACAGCAAAGGTGTCTGCATAGTATTAATGAACATCTTCAATGGATAGCCTTTTATCTACTGGGATTTATATTATTTTCTGCTTATTTTAACATGCCTATGTTTTAAAATATTATTTGTATTTCTGTCAAATAAATTGTTTAGCTATTGCGTTGCTTTGTATTGTGCCGTATTTATTCCTGTGCAGCAGAAGGATGCAAAGAACCAAGTGAAGACATCTGCCCTCAGTGTTGCTCAGAATCTGATTCTCCAATCAGGTAAGGTTGTAGAAATGATCAGTCTAGGAAGACACCTGCAAGAGAATGTTGCAAGGTGGGATAGTCCTGTTTAGAGTTCCAGCTAGCCAGCTATGACATATTCCAGCATAGTTAATTTCATTCTACATCCATTTGGTTTCTATTCCCCCACAAAAATTAATCAGTATTTCCTAGCCAAAGAGCATGTTCAGTCCTCCCTCGTCTGCTTTTGAGATTCAACCTTACAGTGTTGTTCATCGGTTTACATACAACCTGTGAAAAATATTCATGTGTCTGGTTTATGTGTCTGGCCTTTAGGGATGGGACTTAGATCAGCTCAAGTCCATCCCGTTTAATTTCTGCTGGCACTGCATACATTGCTAAAGAATGCATGAAAAGTTACATGTGTCCCTGGTATCAGTTTCCACAGCCACAACAGGTGCTGTAACTTTCCAACAGTTTGACCTCACCATTGAAAATGCACTCTTCCATGTGGATGCCAATCACATTAAATTATTGAGAAGAAAGAAACCATAGCTGAGTAGAAGTAGATTTGTAGCAAGCAAGGCAATAAACAGGGCTAAGCTGCACATTCACTGCCTAAATTCAGATTGCCTGGTTTATTGTGATTTAGAATGAATGAGCTGTTGTGCCTGCTCATGCTGCTGAATCTCCTCCTTTAACGTTAGTAGCATAAAGAAATCAAGAAAAGAGGGCATCAGTTTGCATGTTCTGATTTATACATTACATATGGGGAAGTGGGGCAGATTGATACAGAAAAATTCAATCTCGTATTTTATGTAACAAAAATAAGTCAAATAATAAAAATTTTGGCTTGATGCATGACATAACTAATCAATATTATAATAGCAATCAAAAGAACCATTAAAGTTAGAAGATAATAAGAATATGATGACTTTAGTAAAAAATGGATTTTGTATCATTCTGCCCCACCTACAGGGTACTTTGATACATTGGACAGGGCACTTTACAAAGCACAAATTGTGTCAGAATGGTAATTATTTGCAAAACTTTAATGAAAAAACAATTTTTATTGTGAGAGATCACAATCAGCCTTATAATTTGTTACTTAAAATCTAAATTACGGTGGTACCTTGTTTTGAGTCCGCCTCATCGAGCGTCCATTTCGTCGAACATCCGCGGCAAACCCAGAAGTACCAGAATGGTTACTTCAGGGTTTGCCGCTTGTGCATGCACAGAAGCGCTAGATCGCACTTTGTCATGTGTCCTTTTCATCTAGCATCCGGGGCTCCGGAACGGATCACGGTCGCAAAACAAGGTACAACTGTAGGTATCAAAACTAACAGTGTTTCACACATATCATAGACTTTATGGCAAGTTTTCTTAACAAAACATCAAAACTTATATTAATCTTTCCTCAAACACCTATCCATTATTTATTTATTTATTTTGGAAAAACTTAAAAAGTTTAAGAACTCACATTAGATAGTCAAAAAATAGTAATTTAAACAAAATGTTTATAAAAAATTAGATAATTACTTAACGTTTAGCTTCACTTGCACATTATCTCCACTTAAGTCAATAGCAAAAAGTATAAAGAGATGATGTTCGAGATGTGCCTTTTGGGAAATTTGGTTTTGGCAACGGCAAAACATCCTTGAAATCAACGCTTGCCTTATCTTCTACAATGAGGAAGACAAACATACAAGATCCTGGTCTTTTCCTGAGATATGACACTTGATAATGGGTCATATTATATTTAGAAATGACTTTGGCCACGTATAAACAACAATTTTTTTCTTTTCAAATTTAATGAGTTTAGAGATTTCATACAAACTTGTATATTGGGGCACTATTGTACACTAGTGAGGCCCTTTTATATGTATCAATGTGTGTCTTAGTGTATCAATGTGCCCCAATGGACATTTTCAAAAAAACTAACAATTATTAATAAAACCACTGAACTTATTTAAAAATCACGTGTAATCCTGATTACTGAGTGGAATAACTTACCTTTGGTATTTTTAAATATTAACTAAATGACATAAAACAGTGTTGGAACTAAATGTAAAAAATTACATTGCACATAATTTTTTAGTTGGCCTTTCTAAAAACACATCTACTCTTGTCAAATGCCAACAGCTAGCTGGCAGGCGGCGTGGTAGCAACTGTTGTACTCACACATGTATAGACAAGTTTTAGCGATGTCATGACACAAATAACATTTCTCAATATTGAAATATTGTTGGTGTATCAGTGTGCCCTGCTTTCCTCTATAGATGCAAATTTAGAAATAATTGCTATATTTTAAATAGAAATTCAGCACAGCTCATCATAGAACGAAAGTCTGTGACCAGGAGACATGTGTGACTGTCGGGCTGTTCTGATGCTAATTGTTGCTGCAGTATTTCAAGGTCTCTGTTCTCCCTTCTTAAGGTTATCTTTAAACCAGACTTGGGGTAGAGGGCCATTCATATAGGACTGTCATCACTGCATTAGCTCTACAAGTATCGGTGGAGCATAGTGTTTGCTTGGGAGAAGCATAGTGTTTGCATGGGACACTCCTCTATCCTTTGGAGGCAGGTGCTGACTGTCACAGGGCCATTAACCATAGAGCAAAGTGTTGGCAGTTACTTATCTTGATGCAGAGCAGGAAAATAAAAGCAAATAATTTCCGTAACACAGGTCCACCTGAAGCGGGAGCAAGGTACAGTAACTGACGAACAAATCTCACAGTTTGCTACAAGGTAAGAAAAATATTTCCAGAATTACATTTAATTTTTTTTAGTTATTGGAATGTGTTTGTTTAATGATGAATTGGTAGTGAGGTGAAAGGAGAGAAGTTTTTCCTCTGCTTCCATTCAGGATATATAGGATTAGTTTATCGTCGTGTAGAAACTTTCAAGTCACATTTGCAAATATACTTATGATAATAAATTTCAGGGGCTTCCATGCAAAATGTAAGTTTACAAATATAAATGTGTGTGTGTTTGAAAGAAGAATGAAAGTGACTTGCTCCTTTCTGCAGAGATCCTTCCTAGCCACACAAGCCTGAATACTTGTCATTGTTTCTTTCATTTGTAATGGACATAAAATGGCTGCTTCTTTGCCACTCCCTTTTGACACTAGCAAATGATATTTATCCCTTGGCACACAGAGTTAGCTCTGCCATGGAACATCTCAGACTTTTTCCCACCAAGTTCCTGGTCTTCTGAGTCTGGGATGTCATTGACCATCTCTCAACTTGAAGGGTTTGTCCTGCTTTTCAAGCTCTTTAGTTAAATATGGATCTCCCATATAGTCATTCATTTCACTGCATATGCATAACTAGCCAATTCTAGACCCTTTCTACAAAAACCTGTTTTTCACTTCAGAGGATGCAGTTTCCCATTATGGGAATATTTCTTATACCTCAATATGTTGTGCTATGAAAAGCTCTGTATCAACATTCACATGAGGAAAGTGGATTAGTGAGTGGTGTAGGACAGAAAGAGCAGTAACTGTGTGACATGCACACATGGTGCTGCACAACACAATTTACCTGTGACTTTTAAGATTTAATATTGTGGTTTAACAATATTGGAGCAGTGTATTCGATTATCTGAAATGCTGAGATGATGTGTGTGTGTGGGGGGGGGAAACATAATCCGTCCACTTGCAATAGAGACAGAGTAGATGGTTTTTGAATTCATCTTTTTTACTACAGTATATATGCAATACATTTCTTTTATCAGAGCTATACTGAAACAGGGTAAGAATATAAAATGTATTATATAAAAACAAAAGTAAAATCCCATACATGCCTTCATTTTCAGATAAGTGTGCTTATAGAATACAGCTTTAGTTGACACATGCATTCTGCTGGTGTGGTGAAATGCACAGCTATAATTCCCTTTGTTTTATTTAATATAATAATAAATTACAAATATACCTATTTGTGGAGAAGGAGTAGAAGAAAAGACAAAGGGGACACTGGAGTGAATGTATACTATTTAAGTAGCAATCTCCTTTTCAAGTTGCTTCCAACTCTAGAGGAAAGTGAAGAAAGACTTGCCAGTATCATTGTCACTTTATTTGTGTACCATTTCCCCATATACTTTGTTCTCAAAGCAATACACATCAAATGCATGACCAAAAAAATCACTATCCATATTAACCCATAAAAGCAAGTGAGCGCAGGCCAGAGAATCCATATCATTGATTTCTGACAAAACTCTCCAATTGACCTGACAGAATCATTGAGGCACCCCTGCCCCAGTGTCCCTAGGGCTACCGTTTTCCTTGAGGAAAATCAGAAACTGGGATGCCCAGGCTAGGAAGCATGGCAAATCAGCTCCTGATAGGTGGCCTGAGAAAACTACTGGGACAGCCCCTCATTCCCCTTCTCTGGGGCTATTTAAGTCCCATCTGCCCTGAGGGATGGCAAGGAAGCCGGGGCCAGGAGCAAATGCCATCAGTTGTCAGTCAACCTGAGAGGTCTCTGTCACTACATTTTTGATTTACTATTTTAAAATTGTAAACAACCTAAAGTGCATTGACTGAAAAGTGGTGTGAAATAAATGCAATAAATATATAAATATAATAAGTTCAAAACAAGATAATCAGAATAACAAAAACGCATAATAGAAAAATAAACTTCAAAAATAGCTTGGTTACCGGGAAGAACAAAACAAAACACTGTTTTGAATATGACTCTCTGACCCACTTGCAAAAGAAGATACAGATTTGCATAATATATACCATTCTTGGTATATATAGCATAAATAAAGTTTTAACAAAGCCAAAGTACATTACATGAAAATTAATGTACAAATATGCCTATATTTATTTAAATAAAGTAGACAGAACTGTTGACAGTAATTAATAAATGGTGGCCAGTGGATCTTGCAATTTTGTATTTTATTTCTTTCTTCCAACAATTGTACAGGTATAGTCCTATTCTTCAGATCTTTGATCCATGTCTTCCTCATCAACGACTGTTTGCATCTTGATCTTTCTGCAAATCTCCCATGTGCTAACTGCAGGTAAGCAAGCTACTTTTGTAAGGTTTACTGCAGTGAGCAGTTCAGCTCTGAGGTAATGCTTCTGTGTAAAGCACTGGTCTTCAACTGGTGGCTCAGAACCCACTAATAGGTACTCCCACCATGCAAATCTGTGATAAAAGACTAAGAAATGAATCTCCAAATGCATGTTTGGGTTAAAAGTAGGTTCTGGGTCGAAAAATGTTGAAGATAACTGGTGCAAATTACAGCTGAGCAAAACATGCTTCTTAGAATCATAGAATCCAAGAGTTGGAAGGGACTCCAAAGTCATCTAGTACAACCTCTTGCAATGTAGGAACCTCTCCTAAAACATCAATGACACATGACTGTCCAACCTCTGCTTAGAAACCTCCAATAAAGAAAAGTCCACCACTTTCCGAAGGAATCTGTTCCACTGTTGAACAACTCTTACCATCCTGAAGTTCATCAGTATTCTGCAGAATAGAGTGGGGCTATTGCTTCTCTTCCTCAGAACATTATACAGTGGAAGCTCGGGTTGCGAACGTGATCCATGTGGGAGGCAAGTTCGAGACCTGCAGCACTCGCAACCCGCAACACTGCGTTTGCGCATGCATGGGTCACGATTTGGCGCTTCTGCGTATGCACGAGTGCCGAAACCCGGAAGTAACCCATTCCGGTACTTCTGTGTTCGGTGCAGTGCGCAACCCGAAAACACGCAACCTGAAGTGTCTGTTACCCGAGGTATGACTGTACTTCAGTTGATGCAACCTAGAATAGCAATAGCTGTTTTTGCTACAGCATGACAACGTTGACTCATGTTCAGATTGTGATCCACTAAAACCCGTAGATCCTTTTCAAATGTACTATTGGCAAGCTGGTTTTTCCTGCCTGAGTGCAGAATCTTACACTTCTTACATGGGTGCCATATCTTCCCACCCCCAAAAAAGAATTCCACGGAGGAATCACTGCCAGTAGTGGTCAGTTTAAGGTGAACTTTTGATTATTATTTTTATTCCCCAAAGGTCGATTTGCGATCATTCCACCCGAAAACCCTATAGTTGGTTTCCTTGGAAAAGAAGTTATCCTGCCATGTCAATTAACAACTTCAAGCATACCAGAAAGCACCAGCATGCAGGTCCAGTGGATCTTGGATAAATCCTCAGAAAAAATTGATGTGAAATCCTACTATGGTGGAAACAGGCCAGAAACACAGGATAACAGATACCAAGGTCGAGCTGAGCTTTCCCGTATTGATCTTAGTAAAGGAAACATGTCTCTGATTCTGAAGAAAACCCATCTGTCTGACCAAGGAAATTACACCTGTATGGTCTTCCTTGGAGACTGGTATGAGGAGGTGGTGGTTGAGTTGGTTTTGGCAGGTGAGTTTATTCTTATTCGTCTTAACTTCTGGGGCTGACCTGGAGTCTCTAGGTTTGCCTGCCCCACTCCAGGGTGCAGAAAGAGGACTTGAATCTCCAGGTAGGCAAGAGCACCTTTGGGGGAATACAATGTTTTTAGAAGACTCTGCATCAAGCTTACAGGCTTCAAGCCCACAGAAGCCAATTGCTTTTTTTTTTTTTTTTTTGCACATGTGGGGTGTGGGTGTGTGTCTGCCACTTAACCTCCTTCTCCAGGGCTCTGTGGTGGGAGGGAGAGCAGAGGAAGAAAAGGAAGTGGGCTGGGTTCTAGAGGAGGATGGGGTTAAGAGTATGCATGGACACTTGGCACAAGATGCATGGCTGCAGAAGAGAGAGGAGCACATGAAGAAAAGCAGCAGCAGCCAAGCCTTGCTGCCTCCACCACCTACACCTAACTCCTGGATGTTCTTCTTGAGCAAGTCTGAGGAGGCAGGGACATCGCCATGTGCTGTGGGCCATATTAAGTACACATTTTCAGAAATACAAGTTGTCAAACTTAAAACTGTAGAACCCAGGTCAGTGACTCACTCATTCAGACTTCTCCATCTCTTCGCAGCCATGAGCACTACTGACAGGACCAATCGTCCTGTAGCTTGACAATACAGTAGACACAAAAATGGAATTTTGAACAGTAGCTTGTCACAAAATGTGTACTGTAAGAACTGACTGTAATAATGCATCATTCCTGGTATTTGGTCAGAGTGCAGAAACTCTAGACAGGTTCTATGATACTTGGAGCAATGGCAAATTAATATGTGGTGTTCTTCTTGTGCAGCAAAAGGAACAGAGCCCACCATTGCCTTGGTGGATTGCCATTGCTGGGGGATTGGCCTCACCTGCAGCTCCAACAGTTGGTACCCAAAACCCAAGGCTTTCTGGCTGGACAGTGAAGGGAAAGTCCGAAGTAAACAGTCAGACACTACAATCACAGAGACCAAGACAGGGAACTTCAGTGTTTCCAGTTCCATTACAACAGAATCAGGAATTGACCATGAAGTCTCTTGCAAAATCATCAATGAACTGCTGGAGTTGGAGAGTGAATCGAGAATCCTGATCTCTGGTGAGTAGGGGTGAAGCAAAAGGGCCAAGAGGTGAAATGCTTTCACTGTGTTTTCAGTACAAGTACTATAAGGAGAGAGAGGTTTGGGAAATTTATTCCATTTTGATGCCTCTGAAGTACACCAGGCTCTTTGAATAGATTATTCAGATTATCTACAACTGTAGTTCTGCTCAGCAACATTTCATCAATTATAATCTGGGGTAATGGCTAAAGTGTCTTCTGGTTCCCATATCCACTATTCACCAGAGAGGCAGGCAAGTCACAGCTGAAGCCACCCCGCCCATTGGCACAACGTCCGCTCAGTTCTGCCAATTCCTCCCATAATGGGAAGTTCAGGAGAGTTTGGGGCAGTGCAGGAGAGTGGCAAAATCAGACTCTGGTTAGGTTAGTTTTGCTGTAACTGAGATTTTAATGTGTGTTTCAGATGCCCTTTATCCTGCCACTTCCCCTTGGCTAGCACCCTTCCTAATCATTCTGTTGATTTTCATCTGCCTTCTTGTTGGTGCTGGGTACAAAGTCAGACGTAAGTATTAAATCTGCCATTTTCATAATCTCATTAAACTGTAGATGTGAACTGTTACAGAAACTTTCTGTTTTTTTGTACCTATGTTTATAAAAATAAGTGGATATAGAGAAAAAATACATACCACTTAAATCAATACATATTTACTACAGCCAGTAATTGCTCCTTAAACTGCTAAAATGAGCATAGTTCAAAAGGTGCTTCAGGCAATCAGAGTCACTTCCCCAACAGATAGTTGGCAAATTCAATGTTGTTTACTTTTTAATGTGGATCTACCAGATGTTGGTGAATTTTCATGAAGATAAAAGGCAGAATCATGGCAAACTAAATTTAAGATTAAAAATGAAAAATGGAGAGAAACCAAAATTTGTAGATCTATCCATTGCTATTGGCAGGTCATGGAAATAAAGTAGAATTTGCTTGTCGTTTTTAAGGGGCATGACCAACAGACTAAGGCACAACAGCTGAAGGTGCTGTTGACGTGGTAAAGGCCAGACTCCAGGGACTTATGCCAGGCTTCACTAATCAAGAATCTTCCTACCATCTGGCATTGACACACGCTGATATCCTCAGGTTCTAACTCAAGAGTCCTTGGCAAGAATAATCAGTGGTGTTCATTTGTGATTCTCCCCCCCCCCCATCCTAAATATGGTTATAAACTGTCTGATTTCTATAACTTGCTATACTTTGTTTCAGAGAGTTATCAGAAGATATCTGAATGTGGTGAGTAATTGACAATGACATATTTTATACATATCATTTATGTAAGGGACAGGGAGTTCACTACAATGTTATTGGGAAAGGTATAAAGGATCCTAATCAAATTCCTTGGCATGTCTATTTTTTCCCCTTGGATGAAAGCAAATTCCACCTCTACATAGGATCAAGACTTATTATTCAACTATTGCTAAACATAGAATATTCTGTTATTTAGCATTTCTGGGCTTTCATTTGCCTTTCTAAATGTTTATTTGTTGATTTAAAATTGTATTCATATGTTCTGTGAATTATATTCACACTTTTGCTATCTGATCTTCTGATGAAGGGCTAATTGTCTCTAAGTGATAGACAATTAAAATGTAGATCATACCCTCTAACATTTCTCTGATGAAAAGAGGGACGTCCCATTCCATAATGATTATTTATCTATTTATACCCCACTGGTTGCCCCAGCTACTCTGGGCAGCTTCCACCATATATAAAAGCACAATAAAACATTAAACTTTTTTTTAAAAAAAACTTCCCTATACTGTACAGGATTGCCTTTGGATAGCTTGGGAGTCAAACAACTCCATACCCTCTAATATTTCTCCAATGAAAATAGGGACATCCTAAGGAAAAGTGGGATATTCTTTCAGACTCAAATCAGAAACCAGGAGGGCTAAATTAGGGGACACCCCTGGAAAATAGGGAAACTTGGAGGGTACAGAAAATGAAGTCATTCTCAGACATAGTATATCTGCTGAGATCAGCAGACTCAACTGAAATAAGACCATAGTTTACAGTGAGTCTACTTTGATTATGATTTGTTAGATACAACCAAGAATTGGGGGAAATACACAATGGCTATAATTCATTTCTGGTTGTTTTGGAGATAAGCATGCTTTCCGTTTCTGGAGATGACACCTACCTTAAATATTGCCACTGGAACCACTGGTGACCTTGGTGGCTAGGAGTGCCTTTTATCACCTTGGGCAGGTGCTACAACTAAAATCATTCCTGAACTGTGATAGCTTGACCAAAAGAGTTCAGTCATTGGAAATGCCAAGACCCTAGTAATTCAATCTATGCAGGACTTCTCTTGTGGTTGATCTGGAAACTGCAGTGAGGGCAGAATGCTGCAATACTAGCTGCACTGGCTGCAACTTTGTTACTAAGCCAAGTTCAAGGTATTACTATTAGTATGTAAAGCCATTAACGATTGGGAACCACTTTACATGCCAAGTTGAATGTTTCAGTCCGCAGAACTTACACTTTTGCAGGTGCCACAAACTTCTTTATTTCAGCAAGTCTCCCCAGATATATATATATATATATATATATCTGTATACTTTGTAATCAATCTTGTGGGTTTTAACTGAGTTTAGCTGTGTTTTACCAATAGTTTCAGTGTGTACATCACTTTAAAAGCTTTATGATTATGGTCTACGAATCTTTCTAAATAGATACAGAGGGGCATATTATGTTCAGTAAATAAATGAATAATGTTGCAATGCATCTTGCTTTCTGCAGAAAAACAGAAGAATGAAGTACAAGCTGGTAAATGCCTCTAAGAGAGATTCACTTCTTCTATAGTACTGTTCCATAATTGTTTATATTTTTAGCATATGCCTCCCCCTAGCAGTATTGTCTTCAGGGTGACTAACAGTAACACTTTTTAAAAAGCCCAGTGAAGAGGAGCAGGAAAAAAATAGCAAAATTTAAACCACAATAAATGAGTGAGCCCCAGAATTTTTTAATTAAATAAATAAATGCTCTTATTACCTGGAAATCTTAATGTGCTGGAATAGCTATATGACTGTATGACCATACAGTAGCCCTGGTGACTGAAGCTATTCAAAGCAGAGGTTGGGTTGAGCAAGGAAGTAATAATCCTGTCACATCCTCAAGATACCTTGCCAAGCTGATGCAGTGGTGGAGGAACCCTCTCTGGCACCCGGGGTGGTGCAGCCTGTATGGACTGTGCATGTGTGGCATCCCGTGCGTGCGCAGTCCGTGTGGGCTGCCACTTGCATGGCATCCATACAGGCGGCCTCTTGCATGGCGGCGACCATACAGACTGTGCTTGTGTGGTGACCGAATGGGATGCCACACATGTGCAGTCCGTATGGGCTGCGCATGTGCGACATTCTGTACTGAGTGCACATGCATGGGATGCCACACATGCCCAGTCCGTACAGGCTGCTGCACATGCATAGTCCATATGGACTGCGCATGCCCTTGGCTGCTCTACAGTTGGGGGGAGGCAGGGGCCATCCTGTCACCCCTCCCAGAGTGGCACCCAGGGCAGCCCACCCCCTCCGCCCCTCTTCCTACTCCCCTGAGCTAATGCTTTATATACCATAACTTGTATTATTAATAGTAGTTGTGTTGGCAATAGTAGCTAACAGGCAGAGTAGTAGAAGGGACTCTCCCCACAAAAGATACCCCTTTAGCTGTATTGGTGCAAGTAAAGCCTTGATTAATCATACTTACATGTATGTATAGAGTGTGTATGACTAACATTTTGCTATCTCTCTTTTCAGACCGAAATCATGTAATGGAAGCAATAGGTAAGATGAGATTGTTTCCCTTTTTCCAAGCTCCCTTTTTTATATTGGCAGGATTTCTTCTATCCTTGCAAGATTTCAAAAGCCCAACTTTCTGCAGTACAGTGGTACCTTGAGTTAAGAACTTAATTCGTTCTGGAGGTCCGTTCTTCACCTGAAACTGTTCTTAACCTGAGGTACCACTTAGCTAATGGGGCCTCCCACTGCTGCTGCACCATAGCCGTGCAATTTCTGTTCTCATCCTGAAGCAAAGTTCTTAACCCGAGGTACTATTTCTGGGTTAGCGGAAGCGTCTGTAAACCGAGGTACCACTGTATAGGTTCATCGATTCATCTCCTGTCTAGGCATTTTGTATTGCTATGAAGTTTTACTCCTGGAACCATGTTCAAATTGGCAACTGCAAGAGGCATTTCAAATTCCATAATGCTGACAACTTGGAGTTGGGCTGTTAAGGGTCTTCCAGATATATCCAAAAAAGAGGAAAAGATAAACTAGATCTATTAGCTAGAGAAGAGAAAGCCAAGGAGAAGGAGATATGTGATCGTGTTTATATGTTGGGGGGCATAAAAAGAGGAAGAATAGTATACCGTATTTTTCGTTCTATAGGACGCACCGGTCCATAGGACGCACCTCGTTTTTGGGGGGGAATGAATAAAAAAAATTATCCCCCCGCGGCTGCCGCCCCAAGCCTCGCGTGCTTCGGGCGACAAGCTGCAGCCCCAAGACTTGGGCGCCGGGCGGGACCTCCCGCCGGGCGCGCAAGGCTCTGAGACACTCGCCCGAAGCACGGGAGCCCTCCGGAGGGCTCCCCGTGCTCGGGCGACAAGCTGCAGCCCCAAGCCTTGCGCGCCGGGCGGGACCTCCCGCCGGGCGCGCAAGGCTTGCAGACACTCGCCCGAAGCACGGGAGCCCTCCGGAGGGCTCCCGTGCTCGGGCGACATGCTGCAGCCCCAGCCTTGCGCGCCGGGCGGGACCTCCCGCCGGGCGCGCAAGGCTTGCAGACACTCGCCCGAGCACGGGAGCCCTCCGGAGGGCTCCCGTGCTTCGGGCGACAAGCTGCAGCCCCAAGCCTTGCGCGCCGGGCGGGACCTCCCGCCGGGCGCGCAAGGCTTGCAGACACTCGCCGAGCACGGGAGCCCTCCGGAGGGCTCCCCGTGCTTCGGGCGACAGGCTGCAGCCCCAAGCCTTGCGCGCCGGGCGGGACCTCCCGCCGGGCGCGCAAGGCTTGCAGACACTCGCCCGAGCACGGGGAGCCCTCCGGAGGGCTCCCGTGCTTCGGGCGACAGGCTGCCGCCCCAAGCCTTGCGCGCCGGGCGGGACCTCCTGCCGGGCGCGCAAGGCTTGCAGACACTCGCCCGAAGCACGGGAGCCCTCCGGAGGGCTCCCCGTGCTTCGGGCGACAGGCTGCTGCCCCAAGCCTCGCGCGCTCGGCGGGACCTCCTGCCGGGCGCGCAAGGCTTGCGGACACTCGCCGGGGCTGCAGGCTGCTGCCTGCAAGCCTTGTGAGCCCGCGGGAACTCCCACCGGGCTTGCAAGGCTTGCGGATAGCTTCCTGAAGCCTGGAGAGCGAGAGGGGTCGGTGCGCACCGATGCCTCTCGCTCTCCAGGCTTCAGCGAAAGCCTGCATTCGCTCCATAGGACGCACACACATTTCCCCTTCATTTTTGGAGGGGAAAAAGTGCGTCCTATGGAGCGAAAAATACGGTATGTATTGCTCTGGTTTTAATGTGTGCCTTATAATGTACAGTCATACCTCGGGTTGAATACGCTTCGAGTTGAGTGTGTTCAAGTTGTGCTCTGCGGCAACCCGGAAGTAATGGAGCCCGTTACTTCTGGGTTTCGCTGCTTGAGCATGTGCAGACGCTCAAAATGACATCACGCACATGCGCAGAAGCGGCGAAAAGCGACGCATGTGTGCGCAGACATGCCGGCGCTGGTTACGTTTGTTTCTAGATGCGACCGGGGTTCCAGAACGCATCCCGTTCGTATCTAGAGGTAACACTGTACCAGGAACTCAAGTGGTAAAACATTGTGGGCAAGCCCTGCCACTGCCTATGTATGGTCACAATGGAAGAATTGACTGGCTCCAGTAATTTTCATGGCAGATCTGCCTAAAGCCATCTTCTGCCTCCTGCTTTTTTCAGATCCACTGCTAGAGAGAAGTCTCTCATGCAGAAGCTAAGTCAGTTAGAGCAGTTTCCACCCCAGCAGGATTGCAGCCCATCTCCCTCCCCACTGCCTCTCCCCTCTGCCCGTGGCTACAGCTCTCCTGAGCTTGGCTGATGAGCTGGTCATCACTTTCCTCTCTCTCCCATGTGAGTCTCTGGGAAGACCCACAACATGCCTTTTGGAGCACAGCCAATGGAGCACAGCCAGAGCTTCCAGAGTGAAGAACACCTGCCAAATTACAGGCAAACAGGCCCGAGATTTTGTTTTATTTTTGATTATGTTTTTTGCCTCTGTGCTCAGTGTAAAACTTCTACTTTGTTTATTTCCGCTTTTGGTCTATAGCTTTTGTTTTTGGCAGAATTGGATGAAATTGTCAGGCATATTCCACCCCCACCCCATTCAGGGAAGATGAATCCTTCCAAAAATGAAAAAGAATACTTGTTGCAGTGTTTCTGCAAGAGCAACCTTTCTGTTTGAAGTAGCTAAGAAGAAGCCACATAAATCTCCTTGTTGTTTTACAGTCATATATGAAAACAGCATATATGAGAAAAGTACTTCTGGGAAAGATATCTTCCAAAATTATGGACAAATAGGTGCAGGGTTGTTTTGTGCTGGGCACAAACCAAATTAAAAGGAATTTGCTTCCCTGTCTGTGGATTTGAGAGCAGTGATTTTATTATGAGAATAGCAAACATCATACAGGTATCCATAGGAAGGTATAATTGCAGGAGGAGGACAAAGGCTATGAAATTACGATGAATGGAGGATGGGCTGCTTCAGGCTAGCATTCTGCTCAAATTGAATTAAGTATCCCAGGAACTGAATGAAAAGCTGGATACATGTGTGCTAAGATATACTCTTTTTCATTTATTGTTGTAGAAACTGAGAAATGCACAGGACAAGCAAGTGAGTATCTTTTTAAAGAATAACTAGCCACAAAGTGCCTGTAGTCTTTGATAAACTGCAAGCTTCTTTCCTGCACTTATGTGAGCCTTTCTTACCAGCTCCTTGATACAGAACCAAAGGGCAGCAGACCTGGGTTGGCACTAAGAGAGCCCTTGGGGTTTTTTCCCCTTCCAGATCTCCAGATAGGCATTTGGGAGGAAGGGTTGGATATACATCTCAAAATGACACTGTGACCTGAAAATAGAGACAACGCATTTATAACCCAAGAAAATCTTTAATAAAAATTATTTAAAAAATAGAAAATGAAATAAACAAATCCATGTTCCTAGTAGAATAAAGAGCATGGGGAACAGGCCCACCTGTTGACTGCTAAATAAATAATAGCACAATACATTCTGATGAACTCCTGTCGCAATACCTTTACCAGATGTTGTGCTAAGGGGTCCTTCATTGTTCTTGGGGCAGTGAAATGACTTATTATCATAAGAATTTATATGTGATAATAACAGTTTTCATGATATACATAGGAGGGACATGGCTGCAGTGGGGAAGGAGGAGATGAACAGCCAGCAGTGGTGAGCACCAGGGGGTGGATGCCTGGCAGTGACAAGGGACAAGGGGTCCAGGTGTGTGTGTGTCACGGGGAGCAGCACTGTGGGCTTTGCATCTAGCATGCACTGAAAGCAACATAGGACCTATATGGATTTTCATTTATGTAGCTTGATCTCACATCTTAGTCAATCTTAGTCATTTGCTTCTTCTTGTTTATTTTCTTAACTCTTCATCGTATTAATTCAAGTCATTCTTTTATAGATGTTTGGGGACTAGAACACCGTCTTGGTAAGACAAAACTTTATGTATAGATTTGGAGGCAGGGATTTGCGATTGAATTAACAGGGAAGGAGTAGGACGGTGACATCCATTTTGGTAGGAGAAAGTACTGTATTTTACAATTTGACTCAGAATCCGCTCCCCAACATTTATTTCATGTATAGTTAGTACTATGTGGAATTCCAAATATATACACTGGTACCTCCGGTTACGAACTTAATTCGTTCCAGAGGTCCGTTCTTAAGCTGAAACCGTTCTTATCCTCAGGCACGCTTTTGCTAATGGGACCTCCCGCTGCATGCACGTCTCTTACGCATGATTTCTGTTCACATCCGGGGCAAAGTTTGCAACCAGGAGCAGCTACTTCCAGGTTAGCAGAGTTCGTAACCCAAAGTGTTTGTAACCAGAAGCATTTGTAACCAGAGGTACCACTCTAATAGTATTATGAGTTTATTCTGCAACATATTTTTCATAGGCTGGATCCACATATTTTTCATAGGCTGGATCCAGATTAACTTGGTCCACCTTTAAATCAATGGCACAAATAGGTCACCACGACTAATTTCTTACTTTAATTTCAATAGAACCTAAGTGTGACCAAGGTCACACCTGCACCACACATTTAAAGAAATATTATACCACTTTATCAGTAATGGCTTTCCCCAAAGTATTTTGGAACTCTTATTTGCTAAGGGTGCTGGGAGTTGTGAGGAAACCACTTTTCCCCTCACAGAGCTGCACTTTCCAGAGGATTGATGGTTAAAGCACTGTGGGAATTGTAGCTCTATAAGGTGTCTCCTAACAATTCTCAGCATCCTTAACAAACTGCAGTTCCCAGGAGGCTTTAGGGGGCAGGGCCTACACTCACCGCCACAGCTTAAGAGGCCCCAGGAGGCCTTCAGGACACTGCTGCTATTGCTGCTCTCCCCTGCAAGCCAATTCCATCGGGTCCAAGGGGCGGGGCCTACACTCACATATACTTTGAGCAGCTCTCTGCAGCAAGTGGCGAAAATGGTTTTAAATGTTTTAAGTGATCTTAATCTGCTGCACCTTGTTTTAAAAATATATTATATTATTTCATATTTTCTTTCTGTTTCGGGTGGGACAAATGTTTAGTCGGGGCGGGGAGTAGTTTAATTTTAGCATAATTGTTTCTTGCTTTGTTTTTACTTTCATTATTTTGTATAGTTTGTATTTTGCTTTTTAAGGGGAAAGGGTCAGGGCTGCCTGGGAGTGGGCCTCAGTCAACAGAAGGGCTGGGGCAGGTTCCACAGGGGGGATGTATTGGGACACCCCATCTCAGTGATCATGGGCAAGAGGAGGAGTTACGCTAAGACCAGACCATATCATTACCGAGGAGGCAGGTTTAGTCCTTGTTTGATGACTATCCCTGCCTCCAGGTCTGGTCGTGACCAGAAGGATACTGGAATCAGCAAGGGAAACCCACATGACCTGAAAGTGTTGCTGTGCAATGCCTGGTCAATTATGAATAAAACCACTGCCATCCACAACCTGATTGAGAATGGAGGACTTGACCTGGCATGTGTGACAGAGACTTGGTTGGATGAAGCACATGGGCCTGTCCTTGCCACTGCTTGTCCACCAGATTTCTCTTACGCACAGCAACCCAGGTCATGTGGGCGGGGAGGGAGGGTTTGCAGTGATTTTTAGGAAGTCATTAGTTTGCACCAGGCATCCTATTGGGAAGACCCAGTTTTCTGAGTGCATGTTCTGGAAGTTGGGCAATAGGGGCAGTACAGGATTCCTTTTGGTATACTGACCTCCCCGCTGCACCAAGGATTTCCTGCCCGAGTTGCTTCAGGTCGTGGTTAATGTGCTCCTGGAGACACCTAGTCTGGTTGTCCTGAGGGATTTTAACATCCATGCCGACACACCCTTACAAGGGGCTGCTCGGGACTTTGTGGAAAGCATGGCCTCCATGGGGCTGTCCCTGAATAAGTATGGCCCAACTCATAACCGCGGACATGCCTTAAACTTGGTGCTTACCCCATGGATGTTGGTGATCTGACACTAAGTACAAGCGAAACAAAAGAAGTGCCATGGTCAGATCACTTCCTGGTGCAACTGGACTTCTCCACAACCCTTCCTCTCTGCAGGGAGGTGGGACCAATTCAGATGGTCTAAAGCTCCTTGCATGGAGCCCAGACAGCTCCATGGTTTCCCCCAGAGCTGATGGTGATGAAACAATCGTTTAGATGGCTAGAGCACCAGTGGCGGAAAACTCATTCTGAATCAGACCGGACACGGGCTAGAGCTCAACGTCAAGCCTACCAAGTGGCAATGGTGACGGCGAAGAGGACCTTCTTCACCGCCTCTACTGCATCTGCAGAAAACAGCAGCAGGAGACTCTTTCAGCTGGTTCACAATCTATCGGAACCACCTTTGTCACCAGGGCCTGGTAGGGACCCCAAGATCTCCTGCAATGCTTTTCAAAGTTTTTTTGCAGATAAAGTCGCTCAGATTCGGAAGGAGGTAGACTCCACCATGGGAGCAGGGCCGGGGCGGGAGAGTGCTAGAGTTCTGTATAGTCATGTTACATGGGATCAATTCCAATCTGTTACCTCCGAGGATGTGGACAGGCTGCTTGGATGAGTGAAACCAACCACCTGTCTCCTTTACCCTTGCCCATCCTGGCTAATAAAAGTGAGCCAAGAAGGGCTGAGCGATGGGCTCTGCGGGGTGGTGAGGGAGCTTTCCCAGACCTGCTGAAAGAGGCGGTCATTAAACCGCTTCTTAAAAAAACATCTTTAGACCAGGTCAATATGGCCAACTATCTCCCAGTCTCAAATCTACCATTCTTGGGCAAGGTGATTGAGCAGGTGGTTGCTGAACAACTCCAAGCACGTCGGGAGGATGCAAACCATTTGGATCCCTTCCAGTCGGGATTCAGGCCTCACCATGGGACTGAAACTGCCTTGGTCGTGCTGGTCGATGATCTCCGGCGGACTAGGGACAAAGGTGAGAGCTGTTTCCTAGTTCTGCTGGGTCTCTCAGCAGCTTTTGACACCATTGGCCATAACATCCTTCTGGACCATCTAGAGGGGCTGGGAGCTGTGGGCACTGCTATACAGTGGTTCCGCTCCTTCCTCCTGGGCAGTGTCCAGAAAGTGGTGTTGGGGGATGAGTGTTCAGATCCCTGGGCTCTCACTTGTGGGGTGCCTCAGGGTTTCATCCTTTCCCCCATGCTTTTTAGTATCTATATGAAGGCGCTGGGAGAGATCATCAGGGGGTTTGGGCTGGGTGTTCATCAGTATGCGGATGATACCCAGCTCTACCTCTCTTTTAAATCAGCACCAGTGTAGGCAGTGAATGTCCTGTGTGAGTGCCTAGAGGTGGTTGGAGGATGGATGGCGGCTAACAGATTGAGGTTGAATCCTGACAAGACAGAAGTACTGTTCTTGGGGGATGGGGGGGCTGGTGTAGAGGACTCCCTGGTCCTGAATGAGCTAACTGTGCCCCTGAAGGACCAGGTGCGCAGCCTGGGAGTCATTTTGGACTCACAGCTGTCCATGGAGGCACAGATTAATTCTGTGTCCAGGGCGGCTTTCTACCAGCTACCAGCAGGCTGAGACCCTACCTTCCCATGGACCGTCTCGCCAGAGTGGTGCATGCTCTAGTTATCTCCCACTTGGGCTACCTTAATGTGCTCTACGTGGGGCTACCTTTGAAGTTGGCCCAGAAACTGCAATTAATCCAGAATGCGGCAGCTAGACTGGTGACTGGGAGTGGCCACCGGGACCACATAAGACCAGTCCTGAGAGATCTGCATTGGCTCCCAGTACGTTTCCAAGCACAATTCAAAGTGTTGGTGCTGACTTTTAAAGCCCTAAACAGCCTCGGTCCTATATACCTGAAGGAGCATCTCCACCCCCATCATTCAGCCCGGACACTTAGATCCAGCGCCGAGGGCCTTCTGGCGGTTCCCTCATTGCGAGAAGTGAGGTTACAGGGAGCCAGACAGAGGGCCTTCTTGGTAGTGGTGCCCGCCCTGTGGAATTCCCTCCCATCAGATGTCAAGGAAATAAGCAGCTATCCTATTTTTAGAAGACATCTGAAGGCAGTCCTGTTTAGGGAATTTTTTGATATTTAATGCTGGGGAAACTCAGCCAGATGGGCGAAGTATAAATAATTTATTATTATTATTATTATTATTATTATTATTATTATTATTATTTAGAGGTAGTGATGGTATAATAATGCTATAAATATAAGTTGAAAATGTGGACTAAGTTTGTCATGATGCAACCCCATATATTTTGACAATGATATCGCTAATTGGAATATTCTTTCACTTCAGGTAATCTCTGCAATGAGCTGGGTAAGGCAATGATTTTTCTGTACTGAAGTATAGTTTTCTAGTATGTTAGTATGTTAATTGGATTTAAATCACTTTATTCAATTCTGAAAAATTCTGGTCTGTTCACTTGTTTCATAGATGTTTGCCTGTTCTCTATGACTGATCAATTTTCTCTTCTATTTGTAGAGGTTAGAAGAGCTCAGGAATACGCAGGTAATGAAACTGTCCTAATTAGGCTTAATACATGGATGTGCATACATGACTCAAATGTCATCATTCAGTGACTTTTCACTTGCTGTCCTTTTTCATATGAAAACATCACAGTAGCAATGGATTGATTCAATTTGTGCTTTCATAGTGTTACGAACAATTAGGTTCATTTGGATCCATTTAGTTGACTAACGTAGATGAAACCTAGGATACTCCAGGAAAGCACAAGTAAACACAACAGACAACCAATATTGGATTTCTGCTTTATCAATGATCATGTAATACATATATCAAGACAGGGGAACATGCACTCAGTCATACACACATTCTTGCCTCTCTCATACTCACCACTCTTCACTGAAGTGTTTTTGTTTCAGTAAGAGCTATGGGTGAACAGACAGCAGTGCGCTGATGATGTCTGGCACACATTCCAGGCTGGAGAGTCTTGCCATATATACACCTTGTTGTTCATCTGAATCTTGGCATACACCTTGTTGTTCATCTAAATCTTGGCATTTCACAACTCTTATCTCGAAGTTGATGTTGTGCAGCTCATCTCCATGCTTCCTTGGATGTGCTGTTCCGTACTGTTCCTATCACACACTGTTTTTGCCAAAACATCATGAAGTCTGCACATTCCATTACAGTAGCTCTTTTTACAGCACAGTTCACTGATGGTTCATCAAGGTATCCGTTTTGTGGTGTTCTTCAGCCATCTTCAGCCCAGACAAATAGTAGCATTTGTTACAATAGTTTTAATTAATTCTGAAGCAATTAGAATTCAACATCGGGGCGGCTAAAACTGTCCTATCCTTGCTCTAGTTGTATGAAAGTGCAGAGCTGACATGCACACAGACCAGAGAGGAACTGAGCTAACAGATTTCTTTAGGACTGTACTTTGCATGTGGCTGTCTGTATAGAGAAGTCAGCACTGGAGCTCTTTCTCATGTGTATTATTATTAATTTATCTCAAAAGAGCCCAGGGCAGAAAACAGATCCACAATGTAAAATTAAAAACAAAACTAAAACATTCTGAAACAGGGGAAAGGGTGATGACGACACCTCTACAGTCATGTCTTCTTATTGTACTGAGTTCCTACGCAAGTGTGTTGGCATTTCTATATAGACAAACAAATGAAGTTTCTGTATCCAAGTTGTACAGTAACTATAACTGGTCAGCTATGAAATAAAATGTGATTTCTACAGCAGATTGAAACATCTACTGCTCTTGAACTAAAAATTGTTTCCCTTCTCCCTGTGATTGCTTCCCTAATAGTTGCTGTCACTTTGGATTCATATTATAAACATCCAGAAATCAGCATCAGTGAGGATAAAGAAAGAGCCAGCCTTCAAACTCTCCCCCCAGAGAAAGAAGAAACTGCTCTGGGAACTCAGATTTTTGTGGGGAAAGAAGGTTATGTTGCTGGGAAACATTACTGGGAGGTGGAGGTGGGAGAGAGGTTGGACTGGGAGCTGGGGGTACTGACTCAGGCTGAAAGGGACAAATTGCAAGAGGAAAAGGTTGTTAAGTCCTTTCAGGAAGGTTGCTGGGCTCTCAAAAGCAGCCAAGGAAAATTCTTTTCCAGTCCATGTGAGAAAGAGATTGAAAAGAAGCCACACCTGTCTTATTCAGTGATTGGTTTGTTACTGGATCAAGAAAAATAGGAAATCTCATTTTATAACTCCAGAGGTGCCTTTTTCCGTATACATTCTATCCCCATTAAATCCACTGACAAATTGTACCCATTTTTAGATGGTGGCAATGCTTCAGAAAACAGTGGTCCAAAGCCATCAGAGAAAAGCAATGCTTCAGAAAACAGTGGTCTCAAGTCATTAAAGAAAAGCGTTTTAAACTTTGTAAAGAAATACTTATAGAAAAGAAGAGTTCTCAGGGAAAAACTGTTGGCATGAAATGCCCAGGCTTCACAAGGAGGGTAGAATAATGGAAACAGTACTAGCACGATTGAACTGATGGATATTTTGCTTTGCTTTTGCCATTTCTTTTTCTTTTATTTGTTTTTAAAAACCACTGCTATGGATGTACATTTACGGCACCAACTCAACCACCATACTGTACATTTTCCTTCATTTTTGTGTATGAGCCTTTGTCATATTTGTAAATAAAAAAATTAAAAAATACTAAAAACAGAGTTTGTTGGGAGTTGAATGCTAATAGTGGGGTCCTCAACCCCCCCCCCCCCAAGTGAAAGCCTTTATGTAGTGGAGTTCATGTGCAAAGCAGGCAGCAGAGGCGAGATTGAAATGGGGCAAACTGTGTTTAAAGAAGAGTTGAGATAAGTAAGAAAGAAGGTGAAAGGGAAAAGAGAGTGAATGTGAAAATGGGGAAACAAAAGGGGTTGCAAAAAAAGGAGGGAATGGGAGACATGGAAATTGGGTTAAAGGTTAAAGGAGGGGTATGCAACTGTCTGAAGAAAAGAAGGGGATGATGTCTTCATAACTGGGCAGAAGGTAAAAAGAGTGTTATGAGGTATATGACTGAACAAACACGCTTGTACACTACACACAGCAACTCAGTGCCCAGGTCCAAGAGGATTAGTACCTTTTGTGTGGAGTCAATATGTGACTAGAATTATCATTTTAACAAAAAGAAAAAGAACTTGTCACACTAGGAAGTAGGGAAATATTGGTTTATTACATGGAAATGAAAAGAGGCAATGCAGACTGATGCTGCTTCGTACAGCAAGTACAGACACCTTTACCCTAAAGAGCAAAGCGAGTCCCTAAGTAGACACTGGGTGCCGTTGTGTGCTGCAGACTCCCACTAAATGAAAAGGGAGGGGTATTCCTGATCCAGAAGCAAGCAGAACACAATGTGAGGGATTTGAGATCTGTGCCTTTTGAAAAAGTTAAGTTCTCCCCTTCAAGGCAATAGTGTCTCTCACTCATTCCTTGGTTTGTGGTCAAGCAAAGCGTGTGATTCATAAATTCACTTTTGAAACAGAATTTCATTGTTTGTCTGAAGTCTGGTTCCTGCATATAGGAAAGTGACAATTAAACTTTCTGGTAAATACAAGGATTTGTATTCTGATCTTTACTGTAACTGTTAGGGGTTAGGATATTTGCTATACCTTTCAGGTCATGTCTTAGATAGGAGCTTGTACCAGGGTCACAGATACTTCATGAGAAATATATTTTATATTAAACCAATGCTAGCTGCACTAATGTCATAATCCATTGGTTTTCATCAATTAGTTGGAATACTTTTGTTCTTTTAATCTAGAAGGTAGAAAGTGTTTTAAATTGATTTTGGTAGAGAGGAGAACTGCATGCAACTGGAAGCAAGTGTTCCACACACATTTTAAAACATCGGTGTGCTTATCTTGTTGACAAGGGATACGCGAATTCAAAAAAAAAGTCTCGTGATAAGCTTTATGTATGGAATCACTCTTGTCTGAAAATCATACTTGGGCCCACTTACATGGACGGTCTTCCCTTGTCCAAATATGTGCACACTATTATTTATTTATTTATTTCAATGGAACTATGCACACTAAATAAGCACTGTAGAAGCACTACTGTGGTGAAAACAAGAAGGTTAAAAATTGCAGGCCTGGCAACTCAAAATCAGTTGCCACCGATTATAACTTTTTGTATTTATTTCCAATTCTAGATATCTGATTATAATTTAATAGATGTCAGCAGCAATACAGAGGAGAGGAAATACAATATACGGTTTGCACCAGAGTTAGGGATAGTGACAGTTCAGACCAATACTTTTAAGCTGGGTACTGTAGGATTTGCAGATCCTACTGTGTCTTAGGTTCTCCAACAACCACTGTAGGATCTGCAAATCAGCAGTGTTTCCCTTTACCAAGATTTGGGTGAGATGGAGTTATTGGAGATGGCTGGTGCAGAGTTCCTTGGTGTCTAAAATGCTAACCCTGTAATAACTGTTGATCTGACTCCCGACCAAACTATCAAATTTCCAGTGGTCTTCCCTTGCATTTGTCATTCCACTGCCACACACACTTAGCTGGGCCAACAGGAAGAGGATAAGGAGATTTGAGATGTGACAAACATGTTTTCTTCAGTAGTGCTTCGGTAGTGCTACAGTGAGCCCATAACTGGCTTGCTTCGTAATTATCAAAATGACTGTGATTAATGTTAATTTAATACATGTCTCCATGAAGCTCTAGTGGTCCCTAGTTCAGTTTCTTATTAAGGCTGAATGATCATTTTTAAAATGTGCTGATTAATCACAATCATGATTTCTTCTAAATCCAGGAAAAGGTACCTTCTTCTCTGTATTTTTCATAAAATTTCTATTGGCAGAGTGTTCTACAGGACTGGGCCAATGACTAAAAGTCTTGTTTTCTTCTTGTTGTAAATGAACCCCCATCAACTTGGGAATGACAAATAGCACTCCTGCAGAAAATCTCAGTGAACAAGCTGGGCTATAAGGGTTCAGGTCATCCCTCAGGTACCCTGGACATAAGTTGTTCAAGGCTTTGTAGATTAATACAAGAACCTTGAACTTGGCTTGGTAGTAAGCAGAAATCTAGTGCAGCTGTTTTAACAATGTTGTCATGTGTCATCAGCCAGTCAGCTTTCTGCATTAGCTTGAGCTTCCAAATCAGACTCAAGGGCAGCCCAACATAGAAGGCATTACAGTAATCCAGCCTTGAAGTTACCAACACATGGACTCTAGTGATCAGGCTATTCCTGGAACAGCTGTAGTTGGTAAACCACACAGAACTGGTAAAAGACACTCTTAGTCACAGAGGACACTTAGGCTTCTAGTGACAAAGGTGTATCCAGGAGTATAGAGGGAGTGCAACCCATCCAGAACATGCAACTTGCCAAGTTTCCAAATATGGGAGTGTTCCAAACAAAGAACCTCTGACTTCCCAGGATTCAAGCCCAGTTTATTGGCCATCATCCAGTCCACCTCTGCGGACATCATGCAAAGACAGACTTCTGGACAACATATTTAGAAATATCCCTATTTGGATTGCTCTGATTGGGTTCATATGAGGATTTTTTAATACTAGTTTTAAATACTGATATATGTCAAATTTAGTTATACAAAATTCTAAAGAAAACAATGAAAACATGTATTGAATATTCAATATATTTATTCATTTTGAAAATGTATAACCAACTCCTTAATCAGGTTAGCAAAGCGAGTTAGAAATAATTAATCAACAACAAAAACCAGATCAAGAGTTAAAAGCCTGAGAAAATAGATAAGACTTGAACACTTTGCTAAAGAAAACGACAATACACGGTTTGTCTCATTTGTTGGGGCTGTGTACAAAGTCCTGAGACAAATCAGGCCTGTTTAGAAAAATTCAGGTGTCAAAGACATAAAAGATATATTTTCTTTTCATATTAATTTTAAAAAGAATTTTTTATCAGCAAGAACAGCATGGGTTAACTCAGCTGCCAAACACTGTGGGTCAGGTTGGATGGCTCAGAGTGATCCAGGGCGGTCAGGGGGCAAGGCATCAAGCTGGAAGATGGGCAGGCATCATTTAGAAAAACCCACAAAAGGCAAAGATCTATCAGCCCACTGTCTGCACCATACCAGAAAAAGGAAGATGCCACCTGAATCTCTTTCTTGCCCAATGTAACCTAACTGTCCTTTCCTGAAGACTTGCCCTGAAGGATTGCTCCCCTGGCTTGACAACTTTTGAGCGAAGGCAGCAATGCTGCTTTGCAATCAGAGAAGACACTTAATAAAGGTGCAGAATTGAACCCCCGTCTTTTATTCTCTGACACCAATATGAGAATAAATATGCGAGTCTTTTATTCTCTGACACCAATATGAGAAAGAAAGAAAAAATCCTGGTTAAACTAAAGAACTATGCTAATTAATTCTCAGCTATCTGTGGAATTTGTTTTCATTTTTTTCTCCACAATCTCATTTTCTTTCAAATATTACACAATTTTCAATGGCTGTTCGGTTACAGAGCCTATATAGAAGAAGGGATAAAGCTCCCCAACACCAAGTGTTTTATAAGTGTGCAATTTCCTATGACTGCAGACATCATAAAAAGATAAGCTTCCAGCTGATTTATCTAGGAATATTCCTAATTTTGTAAGCTTTCCATTCACTTTCAGGCGGGTCCATTGCTCTGTCCGAGCCCAGTAATCTTTCCCATCATCACATCCTATGACCCAGTAGCCATTCTCAGGAGACAGGGTGATCTCCCCCTTTCTAGAAGCATTTGCAGAGGCAACTCCCAAGTCCCAGGTTTTTTTCTGACCAATCTCCACTTCCCAGTAATGTTTGTCTTCTGAAAATCCATGTTTTGCCAGAATGAATGTGCGGGAGTCAAACCGCTCCTCCCAGTCAGAAACCTTAGAAACATTTCCTGTGTTCCAAACACTTTTGCCATCTTCGGATACTTTTAGCTTTGGGTGAGCTGTCCTGGGATCCAAGACCACATCAGCTGCAAAGGAAAGGAAAGGGCTGAACTCAAAATGCACTGATTGAAGGGTTGCTTTATGTGACTCTTTGAGGACACCAGCATCCCTTTGTGGGTTACACACACATCTGCTGCTACATGGCATTGTGACATATTATGGAAAATACAAATTTCTATTCAAGAGAATTAAACAAAGCTTGTTTCAAGAAGCAATTCAACCCATGTATGCACCAGTGTAATTCTGCTGCAATCCTCAGCATACTTGCAGGCCCAGGCACTGTACACCTCTGTCCCCAAGCCTCCAGAAGAACTGGAGGATGACATAAACTCTTTGGGGAGTATCAAAATTGGAAGGGAGTGAAGATCAGCATGATAAAGAAATGGGGAATGAAGATCAGCATCAGACACAAGGAGGAGAGTGAAGATATTTTCCCCATGCTGAGCTTCACTCCCCCTTCATTGCAATGCTGAACTTTACACCTCTCTCATCACCGCTTATCCCTCTTCCCTTTAAAGAATCAACTGGAAAACCTCTATGAAACAAATTAGAATTGCAGATTACCACCAGTGCATTGGTTGTTATTTTGTGTTGCTTAAAAAACACCCCTATTTTTCATTTATCAAACCATGTGAATTTTTAAAAGTATTTGTTATTCTCACCTTTGTGTAAGTGGGCAGCTAATATTTCTGTATGTAAAGAAACGAACAAAAACATTATGTGAGGAAGGATGACAACCATAGCTGAATTTTTAGAAGATCTAGCAATGAAGATGCAAATGTCCACATAATAATTGTTGGCATGGTAAGGTTACACACACACTGCATTGCAGTATGGCAAAGGAAACAATTAAGAGGAAGAGGGTGAGACATTTAAGTTTCTATGGTTCTTGTAAACTGCACTTTTAAAAATAAAAAGGATAACTTTTTCATTCCCCATGCCTCCTAAAGAATGTATTTTGTCCACAAATGTGCAAAACATTACATAAGACTCACCTTTAACCATCTCCAATTGTTCCTTTCCTGCTTCATATTGTTCTGCAAAGGAAAAAATATATTTCTCTGATGAAGTAGAAGTTTAAAACTAAAAACATGCTTCCCAATAAATCAGGAGTTTGAAATGTGTTTGTTTGATAGAATGAGAAACATAGAATAAGTGAAATAATAAGTTGATTGATTCTCTGGTTGAAAGCTGTAAGACAAGGAGATTTCTCATTCTCTTATCTTGAAATGGGAAAAAAAAGATTTATGCTCAAATAATGCCACCAAAATGGTGGGCTGTCTAGTGCAAGGCGGTCCAACTTTTCATACCAAGTGTCACAAGAGTACTTTGATATGGAAACCATGGACTGCACACTGCCTTGTCACATGGAGCCAGGGAAGCAAAATTTTCTGAATCTCACAGTCTTTCTATTCTTGTGCTGTCTAAACCGTCATTTGCCTCCAAATTTCCCCTTGTGCATCTAGGTCTCTAGTGCAGCCCTGCTTGATGTGTTGAACTACCCTCCCACATATTGTACAGGAACCATTAGACTTTTGGGGCTCTGATTTGATCTCAATTATACAAAACAGCTAGATAGGTAAGCTATTAGTTTAGGCAATAAGGGTTTGCGTAGCCTGTGTATTACCTTGCATTAACTGGCAATTTTGGTAGTATTGCATAGCACCTCCAGTCTCAAAGCCATTTAATGGACTGTCCGTCCTTTGGGTTGTAAGAATTAAAACATATTTGAATTTACAATGAGAATCTGCTGGTTTTTCCTAATTCCCCCAAGTGATTAAAAGTGTTTTGGCACACTGAAATAACTACCATGGTATGCAATGATCTCCAGATTTAAGATCTCCCAAAAAGCATCTCTGTAAATATACATGGAACAGGTGAGTTTACACACATGTGTAAACTGGCACAGTGGCAGAGCTGGTAAAATCATTAATCCAGTTAAGGTGTGAGGAGAACTTCTGAATATGTCTTAAATGCTATGTGAAATGTGTGTAAGTATTGAATATGCCTGATCTGTTCTTTAAATAGTAGTTGTGATGGAAGGAACAAGAACTGTGATGCATGAAGCAGAGCTTTAACTCATTTCTCTCCATATTGCACCCTGATGACAATAATCCTCCCCACACTGAAGCTGCTGGAGGAAAGCTTTCATTAAAGTTCAAGGAAGAAGCTTCCTTTCTGAAGTTTTTTTTTTTTCCAGATTGGGGGTGGGTAATTTCTTAAAGGGCTATAGCAAGGGGAGCATTAATTTGGCACATACTTCCTGACAAGGCTATTTTGGCAATGTGTGATTTAGAAGTTACCTTCTTTAGAAGTGGAAAAATAATGGGTGGTATTTAACTAAGTTTTCCTCGGAGCAGACACTTTGAAAAGAATGATCACAACTATGCTAGGCAATTATTCTGAATAAAACTTAGTTTTACTTGAAGAGTAAGTTCCAAACTAAGAAAGGAGAGATTCACTTACCTGTTTTTGCCTTCATTTCTCCCTTTAGCTTTTCTAGAAAGGAGAACATATATGGTTTTATCTTAACAACAAATTTAAAAATCATGTTATGGCATCTGTAAATCTAATTTGCAATACATATTTCCTTACACACACACACACAGAGAGAGAGAGAGAGAGAGAGAGAGAGAGAGAGAGATATCCTTCTAGGATACCCAAGTAATATTGTTGTGAGGTTGGTGGTGGGGTTAGGCTGTATGATGCTTGAGCCCCTTCTAATTCCTGGTTCCAGCAAATGTTAAAATCTAATGAAGGATCTCATTGTTGAATTAGCCAGGCAAGGACCATAATGGCCTATAAGTATAGATTGATAGCATAAGAAAGGAAGTTGCTCTGTGCCAGAGGGGAAATGGGTGGGTCCTCTCCCACACCTGGTTGGTAGTGAGAAGGACAATAGCAGACAAGAGCAGGAGTTGAGGTGTGTGAGAGAGTTGGGCTAGAAGCAGGAAGAAGCCAGAGAGTCAGAGCCATGGTTGATTTCTGTTTGAATCCAAAGCTGTGACTATGGGAGAAGCAAAACATTCTGGGATGTTAATGCTATGAGCCCGTCCATCGTAGGCTCAGGTTGTATACCATATATCATAAAGACACCACAATCTCCGCAGTCACTTGTTCCAAGGAAACCAAACTCTGGGTAAGTGCCTGGAATCCCTGGAATCTCTCACAGCTCCAAGGTTGGGGTGACATGCAACAATATTTTGTTTAGATTTTGTTTGAAAAGTTTTTGCTACTTACCATTTTCTGTCTTTAATTGTTCTGCAAGGTAAGATATATTTGCTTTTCATATGAATTTTAAAATGAAAATTTTATCAGCAAGAACAGCATGAGATTTGTGATATGTTTCTTTCACTACCAACTGATGGTTTAAAAGGTGGAATCTATTACAAGACTTACCATTGCCTTTCTTTAATTCTTCTGCAAAGAAAATCAAAGGTTTCATGTGAGGTAGATATTTTGAAATAATAAACCATACATCCTAGCACAATCAGAGCCCAAGAAGAAGTAACAGAGGGAAACCATGATTCAGTTATCTCACTTCTTACAAAACTTCACAGCAACTGCAAGAGATTGAAGTTTTGATTTGAGGAATCACAGCAGGGAAGGGAATATTTAATCATTTTTTCCTCTGTAGCATTTCCTGATGGAAGTCAAGGTTTATTCTTAGCTTTCTGATTGTGGTTTGTTTGAGTGAATCAAACCATGATGCCTGGCTTGGGCAAAACACCAAGACAAGAGAGAACCATGATTCCCCCTCATTAATGGCGGTGGGAGGAGCAAAGTAGGAGTGATCTGTTTGCTAACGAGTAAACCATTAACTGTGGCTTACTGTGACATGCAGATCCAGCCATTGGAGTTTGCTATGTATTTATTTCACCGAGAGAAACATAGAAACATATGTTACACTTTACTTGGATTGGGAGCAATTGTTTCTGCAAACCACATGCACACAAATGCAGTGATTTTATTAGAATAAACAGTTTGTTTTCAAAAATAAAATGGCTGCATTAAATCATGGATTATGTTTGTCTTTCCTTTCTACACATCTTCTCTTGCAATTGAAGTCTGCAAGGAGGGCCTGTCTCAGTGTTAACTACTGAACTGTATCATTGGCCACCCACTATAACCCAGTGCTTCCCTCTTCTTCACCACATTGCCCTGCTCCCATCCTGAGTGATACCATGTGCCACAATTTCCAAAGGTGTCGTAATAAACATCCGTTCTTGTAAGAGTCTTTACAAGTATACAAGCTTTCTAATACCCTCCTCTTCTGGTCATGGGGTGATTACTTCAAGTATAGGTGCTATTTGAACCGGTTATTGTTGTTTTCCTTGAGCATTTTCTGTGTTTGACCAGCTGAATCCAAATCGGCCTGAACCTCGTTGATACACCTTTGACCGAAAAACCAAGTATGACACCAACACTAAGGTGGCTAATGCCAATTTGTTGCCAGTACAAACTTATCCTCACATTGGTTCAGCCATATGCAGTCACATTCCTTTAATCTTGAAATAACTCTGATGGCTGACTATTCATTTCTGAGCTCAGTTGAAAGACTGATGCTTAAAGCCCTAAACAACTTGGGTTTCAAATATCTGAAGGAAAGCAACTTCCCATACCAGTTTCAAGCACTGTTCACTGTTACAAAATGCATCTCCTGCCTCTTGGAAGAAAATCACTCCATAGTTTTCTGTGTCCTAGAATTGTAGTGGCTACAATTAAGAAAGGATTAGGCCTTGTCTCTGATATTAGTTCATAATTGAAGGTAGGGCAAAAACACTGCAAGTATGTTTAAGAAGTTAAAAAACCCCCACAGACACTTGAACAAATGAGAACATTAACTCACCTAGCTTTCTATAAAAATGCCAACTTACTATGAAGAGGAAAGCTGAGAATAAATGAAAAGATTATCCTTTTTAGTTTAAAAAGTGCTATATACAAGACAAAGAACACTTAAATAGGGATGGAATTACTTTGAGCTTATTCACATGGATCTTTGCCCTGTTTCTTGGGTTTTCATTAACAGTACTAATAAAAATACAAAAAAATCTAGCAGACAATAGGCATTATCATATGCATATGCACTTAAGGTTTCCTAAAATGACCAGCACAGAAACAGGTACATACAACAATTCATATAACTGTATAAAAACATTTATGCACTAATAATTATAAAAGCATATGTGTGGCTAAACCATGGGTAGGCAAACTAAGGCCTGGGGGCCAGATCCGGCCCAATCGCCTTCTAAATCCAACCCGCGGACACTCCGGGAATCAGCATGTTTTTACATGAGTAGAATGTGCCCTTTTATTTAAAATGCATCTCTGGGTTATTTCTGGGGCCTGATTGGTGTTTTTATATGAGTAGAATGCGGGCTTTTATATAAAATGCATCTCTGGCTTATTTGTGGGGCATAGGAATTCATTCATTTTTTCCACAAAATATAGCCCGGCCCCCCACAAGGTCTGAGGGACAGTGGAACGGCCCCCTGCTGAAAATGTTTGCTGACCCCTGGGCTAGACTCTTTGATATGTATTTTAAACTGTGCATTAATAGGGTTGTGCACTGCAATCAGCCATGTTTGGAACTGAATTGGGTCAGTTTCAGTGGAATCTAAGTGTTGCTCAAGTCTGGGGGTTGGGTGGCCCTGAGGGATCCAGGGAGGTCAGGGGGTAACCCAACAGGCAGAAAGGAAAGACAGGCATTGGGTGGGAAAGGGAGGCAATGAAAAGTGAGTAGGGGGAACCTACCTGACTAGCAGCAACTTCCCAATTTCCAGGCAGAAGGTGGGGTGGTGATGGTGGATGCCTTTTGATTTGGGGTGCAGGCTTTCACTCCCTACTTATCAATCCTGCCTGGCCACTACTTCTTCTTCCCAAAGCCCTACCCTGAAGCAGCATTTCACCTACTTCCAGAGGCCCTGGATTGGGGTGTGGGTGTGTACACGCGCACATGCAACCCTGATAACTAATCTAGCTTTGAAAAAAGGACAATGCACAAGCAGCATAAACAGGCACATGATGCAAGAGATAGCCCAATAAGGGCAAAGCCTGAAGAGGTCAGAAGCCCCAAATTCTGTGTTTAAATCCATTAAAAATGGATTCCTCCTCCATCCTTATGCTTATCTTTTGATCCCTCACAGCAGTAACAGAAAGGGTCAAAGATTGGAGATAGTCATAGCCCTGTGGGCTTGTTCTGTCAAATAGAAAGGGGGAAAACCTATTTCTTACTTAAAGCAATAAATAGATTTGAAGACCGGCTGACACAATGAAAGGAAAGCACCACCTCTTATTTTTAATTATCTAGCTCAAAACATATCTTAATAAATAAATATGTCACAGTTCATAACACTACATTTTAATGAATTTCCTACCTACTCCATTCATGTAAGGAAACTTACCTAGGAAAGCAAAGCCACAGAACATCCAGACTTCAGCACTTTGGACAGGCACCTCTAAAAGACAAAAGCAGGCTTAATTAAATTTCCCTCCATTGCCTCACCAGAAGCAGGGCTTTCAGAGGCTCATACAAGCTCAGAGTTTATCTTGGAATGTGTCTTAGGTCTCTTCCTTCTAGAACTTACATTAAGCTTTGGCCCCTCCATTTCCCTTTGGCCACATTCAAAAACACTATACATATTCAGGAGCAGGGCAGATGTTCCATTGGGTGCCACAGAAGTCATACAAGGTGGTCTGAGAAGAAGTTATATTTTTTTTCTTCAGTTTTCCACTTTTAAAAATCAAGTCATGGATTGAAAGTTTCCGGCACCTCTCAGGTGGGCTCCATTGCCATCATAAGAGAACAAGGAAAGCGTTCATGGTGAGTCCAGAATCTCTTTTTCTGTCATTACCCCTTTGGAAACATCTCCTGAAGCCCTCACAGAAAAATGAGGTCCTCTACAGACTCATGGCCACACCAGGACATGATTGTGGTAGAAAACCACCAACAAAACTGGAATAGCACCACTAACAGGCAAAGAAAGAGGAGGAAGGAAACTTAAGTTGTTAAGATTTTAGATACTTGAGGTTTTAAATTTTGGAGGTTTCATTTAGGTTTTGAATTTTCTATAGTGTGCATTTTATTGCTGTGAACTGCTTTGAAACCTGAGATAGTGAAAAGCAGGATGTAATTTTTAAATAAATAAACAATTTTAAAAAAACAAACTCCCAGTCCTAAAAAGGAAGAAGTGTTTACTGCAACCCCAAATGCATTTAGGAGGGAAACTTTATCAAATGCACATTTTAGGAAATCAGTGGGTTACAGTTTGTGCTGAGCAGAAGAGAAGAATTATGGAAGTTCTTACCATCTAAGCCTTCATAATTACCTTCTATTGTCACCTCCACAATATCTTCTTTGTAGACATCATCACATGTTGTGGCACAAACATACTGGCCACTGTCTGCTAGTTGCACATTAAGAAGAGTCACTTCAAGGAGCCCATTCTTATAGTATCCTTTGTGAATGCCATTCTCATCACTCTCTCCTGTGCTTTTTTCTTCAGCCCTGTGCTGCTTTGTGCTGTTGTGGGTGTACAATGTGTGATTTTTTGAGCCTTCCCACTTATATAATTGCACTTGCACCCTGGAAGATTTGCATCCTCTTACTTGGCAATGTAATATCACATCTTGTCCAATTCTGCCAATTTTAGGATTTACATTGCCGACAATTGAAACACCTACAAAGGCGGAAAAGGTAATAAGAAATTTTATTGGACTTCATTTACCCCACACCTCTTAGTAAATAAATGACTGAATAAATGCATACTTCCAGCAAACTTTCTTGATTTAAATGTAACTGATTCTCAGGTGTGTGTAAAATTGCCACGAGTCTAGAACAAGTTCAGTTAAAATCAAAATTAATCCGATGTGGACACACATCGGATTAATCATTAATAGGATTGTAAGGTCAAGCTGCAATCCTATCCACATCTACTTGGAAGTAAGTCTCATTGAAGTCAATGGGTTGCTTTTGAGTAGACTGATACAGGATTGCACAATTCAAGAATAGGACCATTTATGGCAGATGCAAATATTGACCAGTAGATTATTGATGCAAAACTGGAGGATGTTCATAGTCACACTAGTGTGATCATTTTTCACAAGCATTCATGATTTTGGAATTATCAGTTACAACATACAACCCACAGCAAATACTCTTAAAATAGTGCTAGTGTGCTATTTAATCTTGACTATAACCAAAAGCAAGGCTTTGAAATTGCCTGCAAAGACCCCAGTTACTTTTCATGTGATCCCAGTTACTTCTCTTGCAAGCAAAGCAGGAAAAAGGTGTTATTGCCAAACCCTTTCCGTTGATTCTTTCTTTCTTTCTGACATTGGTATTATTTACCTCTCACATCAAGCTTGTAGATTACCACTTTGCGCCGCAAGTTAGAGTTCACTGAACATTCGTATCTCCCTGCATCTTCCTTCTGAATGTTATTTAGTTTCAGGGAAATATTTCCACCCCCAAGATTATTGTGTTTCAACACCTCTGCCTTTAGTTTATACTTCTTCCTAAGCCATACTTGGCTTTTGGGTCCATTTGAATAAGGGCACCTAGCGTTAAATTTGTCTCCATAACAAACCGACGGGCAGGTATCCCAATAAAGCTGGTAAGAATAGATGTTCTTGCTCTTCCCAGGCCTTCTTCTTCTCCACTGCAGTTCCAAATGAGAGGGATAATAGGTCTCAATCATCTGACATGGAAGAATGGCAACATCCCCAACAGTAACACTAATTAAACCTGGAAAACATTCATTTATGTTAATAACTCATACTTTACATACACTCACACAGTAGTTCATACTTGTAATTGGACAGTTTATTACAAATATACTAGGAATGAGTGGAAAATAGAGATGTATGAAGCTGAAGCTATCATTTCCCATAAACACAACATTTGGTAAAATTTTAAAATTTAACTTGGAAAATTTGCTGTTTGTTTCTGGGTCCAATTCAAGGTATTCACCTTAGTGTTTCAAACCTTACCTAACTTAGGTCTCAGAGGCCACCTCCTTCCCTACAGACACTCTCTGGTGCTAAGAATGGTGTATAAAGTGGCACTGGTTGTTCAACCACCACCAGACCTTCAGGAGGTGGCATAATCTGTGGGAGCCCCTAAATTGTGGAGTTCCCTCCCCACAGAGATGTATCTAGCATCTTCATTACACAGCTTTTGGTGAATGCTCAAGATGTACCTCTTTTGACACTTGAAATGTATATTTTTAGAACCCATCATATTTCTCGGATAGTAAGTTATTATAAACTATTTGTAACATGGTGCCATAATTGTGTAACCCACCCTGGGATCTTAGAGTGAAGGGCCATAAAATAATAATAATGTGAAGAAGAAGAGGGTGGTCAGAGGCGATTGTATTAATGGCACGAGCAATTCCCATATTTTGCAAATCACCCAGGGGGTCCAGTCATATCAGCTGGAAAATCCCTCAGAACCATCTGCAAGCCATTTAGATCCAGCAGTCTTCAAGGGTGGACCTTCGTAACAGGTCCCCTGCCTCTGCAGAAGGGGGAAAGGGTGCTGGAAGCCTAAATCTTGACCAGAAGTGATCCAGCCATGACAAGCGACTGTGTTCGTATCTCCCACTTCCATATATCCCTCTTCCTGCCCAGTCCAGGAAACCAGATCCAGAGATTGTGGCTTGCCCCATGTGTTGGGCCAATGACAGGTTGGGACTGCTCCTTGGTTGTCACAGCCGCCATGGTCCTGAGCCACCCCAGAGTTAATAGCCTTAGCAAGGATGCTGAAGTCTCCCAGAACCAACAGTCTGCGACTACTCAGCAGAGCCTTTGAGACAAACCTTGCCAGCTCAGGTATGTAGACTGTCAGGCACTTAGGTACTTTGTAAACCTGCAGAATTCCTAATCTGTACCAATTACCCAATGCCAGGGACAAACAATCTAGGTTCCCAACCAAGTGGACAGAAAGTCTGGAGAGAGACAGAGAGAATTTTTCTAGAACTCCCCCCGCCAACTCTCAAGTCCCTTCTGAGACGTCTACCTAGTCTCAGTAATATAAACCAGGTCTCCACAAGTCATGGATTAGGGAGATAGCATCTAAGCCTTTGTAGTTACCTTCTACTGTCACTTCCACAATATCTTCTTTATAGACATCATCACACATCATGGAGCACACATACTGCCCACCGTTTGCTAGCTGCACCTGGAGGAGAGTCACTTCAAGGAATCCATTCTCATAGTATCCTTTGTGAGTGTTGTTCTCTTGAACACTTTCTTGAACGCTGTACTGCTGCTCTGTGCTATTGTGGATATACAAGGTTTGATTTTTGGAGCCTTCCCACTTATATAAGTGGACTTGTAGCCTGGAGGATGTGCAGCCTCCTACTTGGCAGCACAATATCACATCTTGTCCAACTTGGACAATTTCAGGGCTGACAGTTCCTTTAATATAAACAGCTGTAAGGAAATAAAAACAGCAACTTTGACTGATGGAATTAGTTTGAGGTCTATGTGATCTCAATACCAGCATAATAAAATGGTGTCGTCCCCATCCCCCCCGAAGTCCTGGTAGGTCAGAATTGCATTATTATGGGAAAACAATTTTGTGGAATGCTGTATATAAGAACTATAATGACAAATCAAGCAGTGTTTCTGGGGAGACTATAATGACAAATCAAGCAGTGTTTCTGGCTTCTTACCCTTCCTCCATATTCCAACAAAACTGATCATAGCGACACCAACCACAAAGATCGGCTTCACTAGTCTCTCCATTGTGGTGAGAAGTCCCTGGCAGCCATCCAGATCTCTGGCAGCATAAAGGGGGGGGGGAGGGAGTTGGTTAAACAATGCATGACTTTGCAATGTGTCCCGACTACTCAACACAAACCTATTATCGTCTGTGAACAGAATAATTTTAAGAATTGGATTTCAGTTAACTGATAAACTTCCCAACAGTATAGGTGACAAATGTGGTATTTCCAGGTTCACTAGCATTTTATTTTTTTTACAGTCCTTCCCAATTAAAAGCTGTGTTGCCTCCTTCCTCATCCTTAACCTCGATCTCGTTTTGAGTGTTTGCTCCCTCTTTTCCCACCCTGAGCAGCCCACAAGTTGCCCTTGCAGGTGGAGGTTAAGTGTCTGTTTATTGTCAGCATCAACTGCATCTCCATCATCAGCAAACTGCACAATCCGATGCATAAGGCTGCCTCTCCCTATAGCAATCAACCTGGACCCCGCAATCATGATCTGAGGCCCTTCTTCGTGTTTCTCCCTGTGGAGAAGTCTGGCTGCCAGGGTCAGATAAGCAGACTCCAACAGGAAAGAAAAGGGAGTGATGGAGACCACAGAGGTCCCAAGCCAGGAAGATAAGAATTAACCCCAGGTAGCGTGGGGGGGGGGCAGAGAAGAAAAGAGCTGGACACTGGACCCCATGTTTGCCCAGTGCCAACAGACAGTTGATCTTTCGTTATTGGATATGGCCCTCATCTGATGCTGGAATCAGATGGCGGGTGAGTGAGGTGGGTCTGTTCAGCTGGCTGCTTCTTTCAATGAGGCAGCAGCAACAACAGCTACCCAGCAGCAGCCATGCAGAGGGAGCAGTTGTATAATAATAATAATAATAATAATAATAATAATAATAATAATAATTGCATATCATTTGGGAATTTTTCATGATAAAAGCACTCTGAGAGATTAACATTTCTGACAGGGTGTGCAATTCCAAATGACTAAAAATATGACTCGAACGGATATTCACTGGATATTACAGTCATATTCAGAAATATTTTCAGGATGTTTTGAGTGCTTTATAAATAGCAGTCTCAAATTACTTTTAAAAAGAGTAGAGAAGTTTTTGTCAAGCGTATTAGTACAGTAGATTTGTATAGCCAATATAGGAGACAGTAGTTTAATTCATCTTTGTAAAGGTTTAATTCTTCTTCGTAAAGATATCCACAGCTTTTCAAATCGTGCTGTGGGTCTCCTCCCTCCCTCCCTCCCTCCCTCACACAAACACACCTTTGCCCCTAGCTTTATTAAAACATTAAAAATCACCTTGCCAAGTGTAATTAGTGAACAACTCTAAAAGTAGAGACAGACCAGGATCATCTTTCATAATAAAAAATAACATAAAAAACCAGTTTGCCATACCTGAAGACCTCTCCTACTTACAGTTAATTCTCAGAACTGGACAATGTATTTTGCAAAGGAATTGAAATATGAGCCAACAATCCATTCCTCTGATCCATATCCATATGGCTTCTTCCAAACCATACCTTTAGACTTTTTCATTCATTGGATTAAAACAGCAACAACCTGTAATACTGATCAGGTGGTATCCAGTAGCATCAAATTTGAATAATGGCGGGCTTAGCTCTACTGTATATGTATAGGTGGCTGGAGTAGAAAGGATTGGCCCTCTTTCTACCACAAGAGCCAATCAGCAACAAGTCACTTTCCATGTCTTTGTCAAGATCTTCTTTGTACTACATGAAGCGAAAAGGTAAAAGGTACAGTAATATATCTGAAACTGATGAGTTGGCAATGACAAATACGACAGAGACTAGATTTCTAACTAATCGTCCTTTCACTGAATCTGAATAAAATGGTTACGACTGTGCCTCAGATGGGTGTGTCCCCACAGAATTCAGAGGAGGAGAGCAAACAAGGAAGTATAATTCTCAACTGCCTGCTTATCCAACCTTTGCTCCCTTTCAATAATTAACTGTTACACACCCTTTCTTCCCTGGTAGTTTTATAACTGAAAGATATGGTTGCTTTATAGTTCAGATCAATAAATAAATTCTTCTCCTACCTTCTTGGCCTGTATCCCTCATTGGCATCTTAGCCAAGAGTCTCAGATCCTGTTTTCACCAACAGGGCTCTAAACTAAAGTTACCAGACATCCCCGTTTCCCGGGGACAGTCCCCAGATTTACAAATCAGTCCCCATACAAAATCCACTGAAGTTGAAAAGTGTCTCCGGATTCATTGAAAAACATCTGGTAACCTTACTCTAAACACACTATCCTTAAGCAGAGTGCTTACCATGCAACTGTCCTGTCTTAAGTGTGACATTTACAGGAGCCACCTTGGCTTCTGAATCCCAATCCTGGGTGTCCCATTTTGGCTCCCGTGCTCTGGCCACACCAGAACAAAAGACAAAAAGACACACATGTTTTGCTCCTACACCGTGGCATGAGTCAGTTGATTCACACCAGACCATGGGACCAAAAGACAGAACCACTTGTCTTTCTCCTTCAGAACGAGGTACTGGCTTCCGGAAATGCAGCACTGGCATCTGGAAGTATGTTGGCTGGAAAGTCGAGTTGCTGTAGGTTTCAAAGCGGTGGCAGGTGTGATGACCACACTGGAGATGTCAGCGGGATGGTGCAGGGTAGGGGGAAATGGTGAGCCCCAAGGGAGGAAGCTGAGAGCCAAGAGGGGGCAGCTCCTGATTGAGATGGGGTGCAGCTCCTATGGTCCTGTCTATAGGAGCCAACTCCTAGAGGTCAAAATCCCTTCGTTCCCCCTAAAATATTTGAGTGGGCCTCCCCCCCCCCCCGTTGAGGGGCATTGCCATCCAAATGGTGTATGCATGCTGTGTCTTGTGATCAATTATGCTGGGTGGGACTTATCTCTCCCTCCAATATTTTATAAAAGTGGGCACCCTTGGTCCTGCCATTCTCACTGGCATGCTGGAGAGGGCCTTCTTGGTGGCTGCTCCCAGACTCAAGAACTCCCTCCCTGGAGGAGCTAGACTGACTCTCTCCTTGTCCTTCTGCCAGCAGCTGAAGACCTTCTTGTTCCAACAGGCTTTGGGAAACTGACTGCTTTTAATGAAAGGGCTGGTGTCGTGATGTTTTTATGGAAATTATTTGCATGTTTTAAACAGATTTTATAGACATGTATCATTTTAATTCTATCAGTGTTTAATTGTTTTTAATTATTGTTTTTCTATGCTTTTAGTGATTCTTGTTTTATCTGCAAGCCACCTTTGATTCCATTAGGGAAAAAGGCATGTTGTCAACAACAACAATAAATGTTCCTTCCCTTTTACATTGACTGCCTTAATATTTGGCTTCAAAGGTTGTGCTGTTCCTCATTCCCACCCACCCATCACCACATTGCACATATCTTTTGCACTTAGAAGTTTCTCTCTGTGTGTAGGCTCTCTGCATGATTTATAACCTCTGTTATTTTTCCTAGAGTTGAGCTAAATGTATGACCTTTCAGCTTTCACTACACTTGTCCTCTACATAAAAGTAAGGCAACAGTGGTGAACAACGAGCTTAGGACTTCCCATTGGGCCTGCAAGTCCACGTGGCCAAGCCACATCTATCTACCTTCCCTCTGAAGTCATAAGTAACCATCTCTGCTTGCAAATTTATTCCAATTCATGTATGCAAAGGAAAAACTGTCACAAGATGTCAGATGATAGACAAGTAGGTGGCCCCACAATCTTTGTCAAACTTGGCTGGTGGTGTTGGAAAGGTAAGGATCCAGTACACTGGGTAGATCCAATTCCTCACCCTAAAGTGACTCATGGAGAGAGCCAATGGCAACAGGATATATTTTTTTTAAATGATATTTATTGAGAATTTTAAAGTTACAAAGAAAAAAGAAGGAAAAAACAAGAGAAAAAGAAAAAGAAAGAAAGAAGTACTTCAATGTACTTCAATGGCAACAGGATATAGGATAAGTTGTGCTATACATTCCAGAGCATGAGAATGAGTTGACACAGGGGTGTTATGTTTGGTGAAAGTCTCAATTCTTTTTAGTAATAAGTAGTTCTGTCCCTAGTCATTGTTCTTTAATTTCCAGTAATAGGATTACTGATCTAAATAAAAATGTTGTGATAAGAATAAACTACCAAATGGCTTCTTCAAGGAGGAATATGTCTGCAGTTTATAAGTTCCAGATTCTAAACCCACTGACAATTGTCTCATTTTTGCTTATGTAACTGACTATAAAAATTCCAGCACCTGATGAAAAAGGTACAAAGATATAACCAATATATTAGTACATATATTGTGTTGAAAAAAGTAGTGACATAACTGAAACAAGCAGTCCTTCTCTGCTGTTTACAGTTGAAGACCATGAGACTGATGATTGCAGTCTGTGATAGAGTAATTTCATATTTCATAAATCTTCTTTCAAATTTATTTATTTTTCTATTATTAATATACCAAGAAAAATCACATATCCATATTATATATATATTTTAAAAAATAACAATATACAAAATATTTTATTTTAATGATTGGTATCAACAGTAGATTTCATACTACTTCTCCAGTTATTGATATGTACAGAATTGCTGACCAATCTATAGTTTATCTTGTGCTTTTGAGGCTGTGGGATGTTTTGCATATTCTGCAAAACAAAACAAAATCCAACAATCTGGAAAAAACAACAACCCAAACCTGTTGCATATCTGAAGAGACAAGACACATTAGTAACTTGTAGCATGTGCTCTCCAGGGTCAAAATCAATACAAAAAAAGCTAGTCCAAATGTCTGTGATTCTTTCTGTAGCTGAAAGAGCATGAAGGGTGTCTCATTTTTTCTGCTTCTAGAATGAACCTGTCTTCTTCTGATCCAGATCTAGTAACACCCACAACAGATACCTGCCCTTTGGTTTCCGTTTCCAGGATAACGCTCCCACCATCAATCACTTTAGGCTGGTTCATGTGATTATCATCTGATGGGAGCAACATCTAACAATGATGACTTGCAACACAGGCAGAACACCTCACTGCAAAAGTTAGGCTTCCTAATGGAGAATTTACATTACATTTACATTAACTATGAGTAATTAGGTGTAAAAAAAAAAAAATCAAAATCAAAGGAGCAGGTGTAAACCAGTCCTTACACAAGGCTCTGTAACATGTAGAAAACATGGGAAGTACTTTCTTTCACAGGGATATTAAACATTTAGGGATGCTTATTGGTCGGACTTTCAAGAACTTATCATCACTCCCAGGATTGAAGAATGGATACATTTCCTCAGAGAATCTATAAGGGATTAACCGAATAGGGCACATCTTCTGGACATTATAAAAAGACAGCACTTTCCCATTCACGTCCAGAAAAACACCTACAACTTCACATTCTTCATTCTGGCCATCAGTTAGGCTATTTCCTCCAGTGCAATGAAACTTACCCTGGAACCATCGTATACCAATATATCCCTCCTCCAGTGGCTTTTCCAGCTTCTCCTCTTCTAGCCTTTTTCTTGCAGTTATAGTAATTACTCCCAGCTCCCACTCACATTTGTGTCCAACCTCCACCTCCCAGTACATCTCCCCCCCACTATACCCCTCATTTGCCACTGCAATCAGAGGTCCTTTGGGATCTTTCAGTTGTTCTAAGAGAGAATGGTTATATTTGACTTTATTCTTCTCTTTGATGATGAGTTTGGCATGTGTGCATTTCGGATCCAGAGTGACATCGACTAGAGAGCAGGAAGAAACAATAATGCCATTTACAAAAGAAGATTGTTACTATCCATATTAAACACAGGGATCTTTTTTTGTGTGAGGTTATTGCTTGTGACCCCTTGCAGTGGTATGGTGAACTATCTCTGACCCACCTCATAAACCACTGTACAATTACATTCCACCACATCGTTGAGTATTACCACCATATGGAGTCTAATTTAATGCATTCTTGTGTTTATGCAGTTGTTGACTTCAGTGTAATATAGACAGAAACATACTTTTAAAATGATAATATTGAACCCAGCATCAGCTTTTGAAATCAATGCTCTAATCTAGCTATTCGCTATATGGGGAAAGGACATCTGGAGGACATCTGGAGTGTCCCTAAATACAAGGACTTTCTAACTTGGCACATTGATTGCCCCCTCAACTGATGTAAATGGAATTCTTATGTAGTTCTAGTGTACACTTGAAAATGTTGGCAACGTTAAAATAAATTCAACAGTGTAAATAAGTTTTGATGGATGTAATAATGGAATACTGAATGGTTTAGTTTATGTAAAATATGCAGGGATTTATGATATATGAAATGAACTATGGAAAGAGAAGTAGGGAAGTCATTGATATTTTAAGGATGCTTAAATGAGTAAATCAGGAATCAAGATCAAAGGAAGAGAGTTAAACTCCCCACCCACCTGCAATAATTTATTAGTCTTCTGATATACTGATAATTATCACTTCCCAACACCACTATTTGTATTTTTAAAAATGGGCACACTAAATGCAAGGAAGCCTTTAATATACTATATTCTCTCATTCGGCCTTGAGAATATAGACTGACAACTGCTGAAGGTGTTCCATATTCACAAATGATCATACCTGCACAGGACAATGCCCTCCTGAACTCTGCAATGTAAAACAATAGGTAATCGTGAGATTTGCAATGGTGCAACAGTTTACATTTAAAGAATGTAAGAATCAAAACATGTTTTGATCCAACTCACCTAGTTCATGCTCGGCTTTTGCTGTAAATGAAGGTATTATTCAATCAGCAACTGTTTCACAAATGTCTTCTGACAAAACATAGATAATGTGAGTGTTTCAAGCAATCAGATGGAATGGCTTTAAAACTAAGCATGGAGAAATAAAGAAGTGCAAGGCTTTTGCTCAATTCTTCTTCAGTTGAAGCTGAATGTAGCCTGAGTTTAGGTCTTAAGTGTAGGTAATAAGTATAGCTATAGACCTCAGATCAATGCATAACTTCAATAAATAAAAAGACCTAAAGTGCAAATTAAAGGGGGGGGCACACTTTGAGGGTGGCTTTTGCATCCTGACTCTGGAATGCCTTATAACCTCTTAGTCAAGCAGCAAGCTATATCCTTCCTGGATAGATTCACTTGGCAGAGAAAATAATGTTTCTTCCAGGGCCTATCTGAGGGCAAAAAGTACCTTAACAAGATACCCACTTTTCTTGTCAGTGACACTACTAGTTGTTTGCCCCGGCAGGTGCATTCTATGGCTTGTGAGTGCAGGGGGGGGGGGAATAGGAAACAAAGACAATTTAAACCTCATGTTTGAAAACAGCCTCTGGGTGAACAAAAAACATATGTGAGTGTTGCACCGTCCATCCACTCAGTCACATGTTACTGAATATTACTGAAAATCATCCTTACCGAATTTTTCTTGCACTTTCTTGAATTCTGCAAATGAACAAAATAAAAAGGATCAATATTTTATGAATATAAGCAAGGTAGGGCTTTTCAATTTGCCTTCTAGAATGTTTAAGATTAGCTTAGTTTTATTTAGTTTAGTTTTTCTATACAGTACCCAGAAACAATCAGAACTATCTATCTATCCATCCATCCATCCATCCTAAAATTTAAGGCAGGTATCATTATCTAATTATATATACTGTTTTTAGATCAGATTTGATTTACGGATATCAAAACATTTTGCACTACATTCTGAGGACTAGGACCTTAGAGATTTTAAAAATATTAAGCTGTTTAAAAATTATTATAAATACACCAGCTTCTAAAGTAGTACAGTCATACCTCGGGTTAAAGTAGCTTCAGGTTGAGCATTTTCAGGTTGTGTTCCGTGGCGACTCGGAAGTAACAGAATGGGTTACTTCTGGGTTTAGCCACTTGCGCATGCGCAGATGCTCAAAATGACATCATGCACAGAAGCGGTGAATCGCGACCTGCGCACGCACAGACGTGGGTTGCGTTCTGCTCAGGATGCAAACAGGGCTCTGGAACGGATCCCGTTCGCATCCAGAGATACCACTGTATTTCCTTGGCTAGAAGGTGCAGCAATGAATTTCCTCTTCATATTTAGTATCTACTAGACCATTCAATACAATCTCTATTTCATGATTAAATGTCAGTGGGCTTCATCTGCCTAGCTGCCAGGTTCAAGTTATGACAGCTGCAGCTGGAGAGAGAATCAGGCTGTAAAAGGAAGAGTGGCTGCAGCACCCCTGTCAGATGGGTGGGGTACAGATAAATTATTATTATTACAGGTATTATTATTAAGAATTTGACTAGTTGACATCCCTGCTAGTGCTATGGAATTACCTTTTCCTGTTTCTTCTTTTACTTTCGCTGAATAATAAAAGAGTGATAGAGTTAGTCACATGGTGAGCAAAGTATTATTAAATTGTTAAAAATATGTAACAAGTGAAATGTACAAGTTGATGTTTCTGTTTTATCTGTAAGCTGCCACGAGTCCCTGTCAGGGAAAGAGGCAGGATATAAACAAATATAATAATGATGATGGTGATGATAATGTATTGACAGTGAAATTTTAAGTGTGGTACGTGGATCTCCACAGCAGTTGTTCAAACTTCATTTCTAACTGTATCTGGGAACATAAACACAGAATGATATCTGTGTGAAATCTACAATGAATGACCCCAATGTATTTTACCATTATGACAGGCAGAAACTGAATAGGACTCTTACCTAGTTCCCATTGAAGCTTTGCTTTTTCTTAAAGAGAGAGAGAGAAGAGAAATATTATTATTGGATCATGCCATATATCGAAGGAGAAGGGGATTCTGTTGGGCAGCAGTGGTAACATCCAACTACAAAAGCTGGCCTTTGGGAAGTGGGGAATTAAAGATCTGACCCACTGGCAGTATCTCATCTTCCAGTTCTGGTTTGGGTTTTATATTCCAGAAAACCACAACTGATACTAGATAGATATCCAAGACACATACACAGGAAGTGTGTGCGCTTCATTATGAACGGGAGGTAAACATTTCTCTTTCAGTTCATAGATATTATCTACTGGCCTGTACTCTTATATTCTTCACCTGCACAATATGCTAAAGCTCACAGTTGGAAACTAGCCAAGAGGACTATGCCATAAACAGTGGTGGCCCCAGATGCAGAGGGCAAGTCAAGCGGAGGGTGTAGTTCTAGCCCTGCACTCTTGTCCCAGACCATTTGCTCAGAGGCGACAGGCAAGTGAGGAAGAGCAGGAGCAATGCCATTGGATTCCAGTGCCAGGGGATGCCCAATGGTGCTAGTCATGGAAGTAAACATATTCAGGGTAATTCATGTGCAATTTTAATAAGGACGAGTAGAAAATCCATGCTTACCTTCCTCTAATGCTAACTTTTCATTTTCTGCACATGGGGAGGGATATATTAGTATTATTAACATTTGTTCAGTGCACTTTACAAAATGTTTGACTTACAAAATCTTAAAATGATGATCAACTTATGAAACATTTAAAATCCATATCACAGAATATCTAATTATTGGGTGGGTGTGCAACAAAAGCACTAATATCCATGCTCTGTTATGTAATGTATGGAAACCCAGCCAGCTTTTTTTGGGGGGGGGGGGTTAATAAATAATAAAATTATTATTACTTCGAACCTTATAACAAACAATGTATAAACTTTCAGCCCTGGTAAGAACCTCAGCATAGTTAGGACTTGAATGGCTTCACTCTGCCCCACCTAGCAGACTTTGCTCAGCCCCTTATTCTCCCAGTTAACACAATCCCATAAATCATTCCATAAAGTGATACAGTGATTACCTGAAAAAGCAATCTTCCTACGATCGTCTGAAATAAAATAAAGAACAAGATTTTTAATATACTTTCTATTTTTATACGCATGTTCTTTGTTTATAGGGGGAAACCACTCTCAGCATTATGTAACAATCAATGTTCTGAGAAGGTGCATGCTTAACAGGAGACCATAGACAACCCTGGCTGTATGATGTGATGGTCTAAACCACTGAGCCTCTTGGGCTTGCTGATCAGAAGGTTGGCTATTCGAATCCCCACAACAGGGTGAGCTGCCGTTGCTCTGTCCCAGCTCCTGCCAACCTAGCAGTTCAAAAGCATGCCAATGCAAGTAGATAAATAGGTACCACTGTAGCGGGAAGGTAAACGGCGTTTCTGTGTGCTCTGGTTTCCGTCTCGGTGTTCCGTTGCACCAGAAGCGGTTTAGTCATCCTGGCCACATGACCCGGAAATCTGTCTGTGGACAAAGGCCGGCTCCCTCAGCCTGAAAAGCGAGATAAGAGCCGCAACCCCATAGTTGCCTTTGACTGGACTTAACTGTCCAGGGGTCCTTTACCTTTTTTAAAAAAAAAAACACAACACCTTACATGCCATTCTTGAGGTTTTAGGTGCACACTTCTATGACAGAGCCAGTATGGAATGGTCTGGGTCAAGAGGATTTGCCTGAGGCAAAATGTACCATACCACATCTCAGTGTTGTGGCCGCTCACTGCCACTACCTGCAAGTACACCAGCATTACGGTGGCCTGCTTGAGTTTAGGTCTGAAGTGCTGTGATGAAGTGGGTTATGGGGAGAGGGGGCTGGAGGGCTGCCCTCTCCAAAGTCTCCAGGCTGGTGCTGCACAGCTGCAAAGCCCAAACGCTTCCTTCCTGTTTGCCTTTTCACTCAAAGTCTTTGCTCGCTTTTCCTCCAGCACCACCACCAGGCTGCTAGCAATGCGGCGGCAGCAGTGGGCGATACCTTCATTGGAGGCCAGCTCCACCACTGCTGTGGCACCTGCTGCTTGAGGTGGCCATCTTACATTGCCTCATGGGCACAGCGGCCCTAGGAATGGTGGTGTCAGATTAGGCCCCCAGAGACAAGAGTTCAAATCCTGACTCTGCCATGAAGCTCACCTTGAACCAGTCACTGTTCTGCTTAATTTATGTATGCGATGGCACATCCATAATCATTGACACATGCCCTTCTGGCCTGCACTCTTTTATAAAGACTTCAGGAATGAGGTTATTACCCGTCTTTTATTGTCCATTCCGGGTCACCCAGCCACTGCCACAGTGTCCTTTTTCTTGGCACCTGATCAAGATGAGCAGGTGACAGCAAAGGTTGTAAGGTTTTTAGCTGGGGCAATTAGAATAAAATCCACTATTTGACTATTGATTCAAAACCCTAAAATGTATTTTATATAATTGACTTTTTTATTTTTATTCTTTGTTGTTTTATTGTTATGGCCAATGGTTGACACAAATAAAGATTCATTCATGTATGCCACTATAAGCTTCTTGGAATAGAGATGGGATACAATTGTAATAATAACTACTACAACAATAATAGTAAAATTTCCGTTGTACACCTGACATGTGTACACCAGCCCCTATAGAAAGTATGTAAGTGGGTGTAAACCTAGTTATAGATTATCTTCATATTCTGAATTTTCTTGTTCTGCTTGTGGTTATTTATATACCCTAATGCACATCCAATCCATCTCTCTCTCTCTCCAAATCCAGAAACATGATGATAAAGATATCCCACACCCATTTAATGTGTCTCTCTCTGTGTGTCTTTGTGTTCATGTTCTGGAACAATGGGAAAACTTACGGTTTAGTTTCAAATAGGTGAAAATTATGACATTGATGATGAGTATTGCAATGACGAAGAAGCCAACCATACAGAGGGAGGTGGAAGGGAAAAAGATATCTGTGAATAGAACAAAGTCAACAGTTAGAAGATCTTCTCTGCTTTTTCTTTTTTTTCTTTTTAATTCGTCCATAGGAAACAATAAGCACAGTTTAAACCAAGTTTCAAAATAATAATGATAAATAAATATGAATATCTACAGATAGCAGAAAAGACACCTGGCAAATTCTGCATCCATTGACAGAATTCTTTAGTTCAGACCAATGTGGAGCCATAATGCAACTTGAACAACAATTCATGTTTCTTGTTATATCTCAAATCTTCACAGGATTAATTTTCCTAGTCCTATGGACCATGTAGGAAAGCAACATTAAAGTAAATCCTACTCAGAAGACTGGATTTATTGTTTCTTTGCTCCTAATCCTCAATATGCATAGGCAAATTATTTCACTTAATAACGTTCCCCCAAAAGTTTATACTATTGTTAGGGAGCATTGTGAATATTCATTGTTAACACTGTGTTCATTCTACACATTCATCACCAGTTTCTATACAGCACCATTTCTCATTCACCTGCAATTACAAGGGATGTTGATCCTATTGGTGTATTTGAAGATTTACTGGTGATTCTGCAGGAGACAGCACTCCCAGAACCCCATTCTAGAAGAACAGAATTTTCAATGCTGCTTTTGCCCAGAGTGGTTGGAGTAGCAGAAAGTTCCTGTCCTTTGCCATCCATCCATGACAGCTGCAGAAGCTCAGGAGATCTCACATTCTCAGATTTGCAGACAAGTCTGATCCCACTACCCTCATATTGGTCAAGAACAATCAAAGGGCTCGTACTGTTACCTAAAGAGATAGGAAGATAGTTCAGTGTGAAGCATAAACACCAATAAATATTTGGGCAAAATTTGTATTTATTTCTGTAATCTGGGTTACATAAAGCAATGATATTCAACTAGCGGTCTTGAAACTTGCATGCCAACCCAATCCTACCACCACTTAGTTTTTATAAAATAAATTGGAGATGCAAACATATTGTAGAAAATCACAAGTGAGTCCTATGTTTTAGGTTAGAATTAATATTGGTCACTGGGTGTGAAAAGATCAAAAAGGTCTAATATGAAATACATGATGTTATCCACTATGTGAGCTGCATAGCAGGAAAAAACATTGGGCTCTGAGGTAACGCTTGTCAATTTCAAACCAACTCTATTTCAAAGAATGTAGAAAACATTCTCTAGTCATTCCCACTTAAAAGAAGAATTGTTTTGAGTGTGCTCAGAAATGATCACGTTTTCTGGTAACTGTGGCTTTCCTCGCCCTTAAAAGGTAGGCTTGCTTGGGGACAGAATTATAAGCTCAGTCTGAAGGATATTGAAACAGCAGTTACTGTAAAGGGCAATCACTTCTATGCATGCTCAAAACTGCATAGACAGGAAAAGATGAACAAGACTGAACGCAAAACAGGTTTACGGATCATCAGCGGTTTGCACTAGATGATCATCAAGGTACTTTACAGTTCTATAATTCTAACCCATTAATTGACTATTCACTGGATTAACCGTATGACCAGAAACTCAAATTAGTTGTTTTCTTGAGACACCGAAGGAGCTTTGTATCACTTTTAGGTTCATTGTTAAATTGAAGGGTCATCTTTAATATATTCTTTACCAATAAAAATAAAAGTCCCTCCAATTAAATCTTTAGTTGGTGACTGCCAATTAAATTGATTAAAGCTGACATTTCTAGTAAAAACAGAGCAGGGAACTGGCCAAGGCAATTACTTTTTTAAAAAAACCCAAACACCGCTCAGAATACTTACCAGTTGCTGAATAACTCATAATCAGGAATGGCAGCAAGTGAATGGCACTGTTCCTAGAGTTGGTGAGAACAGCTATGAAAGCAAAGAAGCATTTGAACATCACTTTGGATACTCAAAAAATGTATAGGCAAAACCCACATGGAAAGGGAATGAGCGTGGAATTCAAGAGGAGTTCTATTCTGTCACCAAGTTATTAAGGCTGTAATCCTGTACATTTCCATTCAGAAGAAAGCCATATTGAATTGAATGAGACTTATTCCCAGGTGAGTTAAACTTTAGTCTCCTTTTGATTATAGTTCTCCAATTTTCCTTCATCCCTTATCCCCACAATATTTGAGGTTTTCTGTGGGTAATTTTGCTATGGATTTTTTTGTAGAAAGATAAAAAAATCTTACCGCCTAAAAGTAGAATAATATTCATGATTCGGCTTCCAGTGCATGAAAAGTGATATGCTGTTGTTCTTGCTGTAGATTTTTCCAGTTAATGATTAATCATACACTGAAAGGGAAGCAGCGAAAGGGAAGGGGAATTGCATGAGTTGTGCACTGATTGATATGTAGGTGAACAACTCCCTCACTCAGCATTCAGCAATGAGACTGGGACGATCAGACCGCTTAAACAAAAAGCTAGGCTGCAGTGCTGTTGTGACTCCAGAATGATTTTAAGACAGGGTTAGCTAAGCTGCGGGTGTCCAGTTTTTGCTGACTACAATTACAATCAGTGCTGACCATGGCCATGCCTGCAAGGTCTGGTTGCAGTTGGTATCTGATAATGTCTGGATGGCCAAAGGTTCCTCGTTTCTGATTTCAGATCTGAAACAGGAGAGGCAATTCTAAGTAGACCTGACTTGGGACTCAGCTACATTAGTCAAAATACAGCGTTCTACATGTGTTATAACACTGTGACACCGGATGGTGCTGTAGAGTTCGATCCTTCGGCAATGTGATTTTGCATTGTGAGCTTTACTACGCGTTTTCCTGAAATGTTTTTTGATGTGTCTAGATCCAGCCTTGATCTTCTTAAAGTCTAAGAATTCATACAAACTCTTCATAAGGAGTTCTTACATTTAGGTGTAGGTGGTCCTTGGATGGAGATTAAGGACAGGCTGTGCCCAAACCACCTTCAAAAGGAAGGTGGCTACCAAAGAAAGCCCACCCCTACCAGCCAATCTTTCAGATTCAAGATATTAAGCAGCTTGCCCAGAGAAGGGGAATCTGTGGCCTTCCAGATATTGATGGCTTCCATCAGCTTGAGCCAGCATGGAGAATGGTTGGGGAAGATGGGAGTTGTAGTACAACAACCTCTTCCCCATCCCTGTTGGGCCACATCTTCCCTATCCCTGTTCAAGCCCATTTGCAGTTTAAGGAAAACCTAGGAGGCAGAATTCTCTCCAACTGATCATAAAAAGGAAACTTCCTCCACCTGCCGGTTTTGTGGAATAGAGTGCAAAGGCAGGGGAAACATGACATATACTAGACCTCACTTAAAACACATTAAAACTATTTGTATTTGCATTCTAGCTGTTTTGTTACCTTAGGCTCCCACAAACCTTTCTGTCTCGAGGTTTGATGCAGCAGTGGGATAAGTCCAAGGAAATGGTTAAGTCCAATTAGCTGTTCTGCCAGGGAAGCCCTCAAGAATGCTTTTTAGTTAATAAAGGCCTTCTAGATGCCCAAATAGGTATCCACATGAAAATGAGGTTGAATTGCCCATTAAGAGTGCTTGGCGTTCATTGTTTCATTGCTTATACATCTGGCACCTGAGGCAGATAATCTGCCTCCCCGGCAGTAAAAATACAATAAAAACGAATTAACAATTTGTTCCCACCATCTCTCACTCTATGTGTGTCCTTTCTCTGTCTTTCTCTCTGTCTCTCTGTCTCTCTCTCTCTCACACACACACACTCACACACAAACCACTAATAAGTCATTTGCACAGCAGTTTCCTCAGTTTGAGGTCAAAGTGCTAAAACAGAAATTTAGATAGCATCAATGAAAAAGGACACGTGGTCTTATTCTGTCCCTTCATGCCCACAAACTCTTGGCTTAGATAGAAAACTGTTGCTCACATATCAAGAGAGGAATCTATTCAGCCTGTCTCCACAAGAGCCGATTTCCTGGAATTGTGTGCCTTATAAGAAAAGAGGCTTTCACTTTTAATCCACCAGGACAGAAACAAACCTGATTTCCCACAACCACTCCTTTTCCAAGAAAGGGTGGCTTTGACACTGCTGGCACTTTCAATTTGTTTTGTGGTTTTCAGTTCCTGACCTTTGCTCTCTGAAACACAAACACACACCTGAAAGGAAAAGGGGAGTAACAGAGGTGCATTTTTTCTGAGCTCAGAATGGTTTTGTTATCCAAAAACAATCAACAAAGGACTACCTCTTGGAGCTTCAACAGTCAGTTCCAAGCCAGGAAATGCAACTGGCACCTTTTGGAACATTGAAGGGCAAAGAGAGAAACTTGTGCCAGAAACAACAATTAAAAGTTAGTGTTGATAATGTTAGCCCTGATGAATATTGTAATGCTTACAAATAACTTGGTTTACACAAAGTTTCAAGGTGCCAACGCCTTCACGCGTCACTCTCAGGAGCTATCAGGATTTCAGGATCTTCACACAAACAGATGGTTTTATCAAGAAATTTTGGCAGCAGAGGGAGAGAGGAGGGTTCACCCTTCCTGATTTTGAATTATATCATGCGGCTGCTGGGTTAGTTTGGATTCAGGACTGGGTTACTCTAAAAGATGCAGATGTCCTGGACTTAGAGGGTTTTGATAACCGCTTTGGCTGGCACGCATATTTGGTGTATGAGAAGGTGAAGGCTCACAAGGGGTTTTTGAACCATATAGTAAGAAAATCACTTTATAAAATATGGTTCAAATATAAAGATCTATTAGAACCCAAAATCCCCTTGTGGACCTCACCGACAGAAGCCCTGACTGTAAAAAAGAAAAACATGAAAGCAGAATGGGCCACATATAGAATGCTGTTAGAAGAAAACAATAATAAACTCAATTTTTTTTAAAGAAATAAGGATATATCTGATGGACTGGTTACAATATTTTCAAATAAATGAGAGATTAAATATGGTTAGAAAGAAAGTATTCGAGAATGCAACATCTAAATTTGAAAAAGAATTAATATAATCAAGGATGTACAATATTCTTCTCCAGTGGGAGGTAAAAGAGGAAGAAGTGAAAGGGGTAATAGTAAGGTGGGCCCAGGACCTTGGCTACAATATTTACACGGACCAGTTGGAGAAACTATGGAAGAAAGATATTAAGTTTACGGCGTGCTATAATCTCAGAGAAAACATCATGAAAATGCAATATAGATGGACTTCCGGGGTGGCGCCATTGGCAATGGCGAACTCCCTCTGAACTGGAGGGACTAGCTCCGCGTGAAACGGGTCTTCTCCGCTACGCCGAAGCGGGGACCCTTTTAAAAATCACAGGCGGATGAAGCCTGTGACCATGGGACTCGGCGGGCACCTTTAGCACCCCCCCAACCTGCAAAGGAACCCACTAACGGGCTCCGAAGTGAAGAGGGGGAAGTGGCGCGGTGCTGTGAGTCAACTGCTATTTCCGTGGAGCAAAGCCGCCTAGCCGTTGCCGGAGAGCGCTGCCTTTTTCCTGGGACAATTTGGATTCTAAAATAAGCACCCGTGAGTACTTAAACTTTGAACAACTGGACTTTAAATAAGGACTTGCGAGCAGAAAGGAATTGGACTTAAAAATTTATTTCAATTTGGTACTGAAACGGGAAGGTCTAAACAGGAAGTCAGCCTTCCGTTCTTTTGTAGACAGAATAAAGCAAAGACAACGTAAACTAGAGCTCAGAAAACCGCCTCTAAAGGATTGGATTTCATCATTTAAAATTGTGGTACCCCCCTTCGACAGCAGGAGAAGAAGGGGTATCTTTTTCGGACTGTTTAAACCTGCAGAAGTGAGTTTAAAGTAAAGTAACTTTCCACCGTCCTGATCCTAGAGCGGGGTGTCAGGACTGACGTTTGAAGCTCATTGACCAGAGACAAACGTTTTTGACAGATAGCTAAAAGAAGAGAAACATAGTGATTCCACTGTTTCCTTTCGCAGTTTAAAGGAACAAATATTGACAAAATATCTCAAAAAGGAAAACTTTGTTGCAAGAACAAATAGAAGTTTTCCCCCTAGAGGGAGACTGTGAAACTGTAACTAATTCCAGGGAGCCGGCAGCTGCTACAGATTATAATCGTGGGAATAGACATTTGACCTTGCAGGACAATGTATTCAGAAGCTCTGTTGTGTGCTTTTTATAAAACAAATGCCCTACTGGAACAGTTACATGAGAAGACGAATTTGATGGCGAATTTGATTAGAAATTTTGAACAGGCAGTGGGAAACTTTGAACAGACAGTGGGAAAATATGTGGAGCCCACCCAGGAATTAAATCAGGAGTGTGTCCTGACAGAACAGGCCCAACAGGAATATGAGCTTTTGGATTTGACAAATGAACTTGGAAAAAGCCAGATTTGGAAAGAAAAAGTTTGGTTTGGCTTGGAAATGGGGGGCTGGATTGACCCCCCTATGCAGGGATGTTTGGACTTTTCAAATCTGGCAATGGGCCGTGAGATGTTTGGGATTGTGGGGGCTCTTAATTTTGGAGGGTTTTTGAAACATGTTTTTAAATACCACATGGAATTTAGTGTCGAATATGGAAAAGGGGCCGATCTGTTGAGAAGGGTCAAAAATATTGCTAAGCTGGAGTTCCCACGAGCAGGAGACAAGGGAAAATACAGTTACAAATATGAAGAAGAGCTGCGGAAGGGACATGGAAGAGACTTAAGGGCCTCGGATATAAGGTTGCCAGGTTAATGCGCTAGATCGATGGGATAATAAGGACTGACAAAACCCGGGACCAGGAGGAAGGGACACTGGATGAAGATTGGATTTGTTTTTATTTCTTTTTTTTTTTACTATTAGGACTGTTTTATAAAATTGATGAATGTTAGAAAAATGTTGGAATGAAATTACTCAGCTTTAGTAAAAATGTTTAAAGAATTATGAAAGAAGATTATGGTTATGAGAAGTTGGTAAGGATAAGATTTAAGTTTTAAGTTTCAAGGTATTTTTTATAGAAAGATAAGATTAAAATAGTTTAAGGTAATGTAATGACAGAATATTATGAAATATGGAAAGGATTTGCTGTGATAATTAACAACTAGGATACAAAACTTGCCCAAACTGGCAAGCATAAGTTACCCCTATTCCTGAACTGGCAGTTGATTGTGGGCCCAAGTTTTGTGAATTAGGCCCTGAGTCACATGATCATGCTAGATTGCATTTTGGAATAAGTGTATGCCTCTCCTTCCCCATCATGTACTTACCACCCCCTTTTTAGACTTACACTGGCTTATGTTTCACCAGTGGGAATTCATGCTCATATCTCCAGCTCAGCCAGCACAGGGAACTTAATCAGCATTGCCCAGGCTCAGCCCTGGGAAAATCTAACAACAACTTTATATGCCACCCATCAGACTGAGTTACCCCAGTCACTCTGGGTGGCTTCCAACAAATTAAAACACAACACGACATCAAACATTTAAAATTTCCCTATACAGGGCTACCTTCAAATGTCTTCTAAAAGTCAGATAGTTGTTTATTTCCTTGACATCTGATTGGAGGGTGTTGCACAGGGCAGGCGCAACTGCTGAGAAGGCTCTCTAAACTCTCTTATCCGGACAGATCCTGGGCTTTGACTGCACTGCTAATTTAGAATATAGGATAATCTCCAACATTCTCATGTGTGAAGGAGAGATTGATTACTTCATCTTCGTATCTAACAAACCAATAGGCAAATTACATTTGCCATGATTTCTATGCTTTCTATGATACCCATATTTATAGGCCTAGGATGTCAGCAAGCAGAATTCCCAGGTATTTCTATTGTGTTGAACAAACAAGTGTACCATAATTAACACAACAGAATGAACATCACTTTTGTCATTCCATCGACCTGTGGTTACATCATTTAACATTTGACATTACCAATGAAATTGCAATCAGACACAACCATGAGGATATGGTAGAACTTGAAGGTTACCGGTAAGTGCATATAACAGCAGGAAAACAAATAAAGGATCCTTGCATGGTTAGAGGCAGGAAAGAGTAAATAAAATAATAAACAGAAAATTGGATGAAAGTCTTCTCAGATCTTCTGGGGGCTGTAAAGCTTTCAAATTCCTCCAGTTCTAGCACTTTCAAACTTCTTCCATATTATCAATTCCCGTAAATTTTCACGCATTGTGAGGATGCTGCATCGGCATGTGAAATGTTGGAGGTGTCTCAGGCAGGTTGCATGTACAATGGAGTAACAGATGCATAGGTTGTTGTTTCTGTATTTCGGTGTGGTGATCGCTTGGAAATTGGAAAAAAAATAGTTACCTACTGATATTGGCTTTTTGGCAGAAGTAATTTGGGGTCAATTGTTGTTATGGCAAGAAAAAACTGTTCACCTTTCTGGAATATATTTGTAGTTTTACACAGTATTCCAGGGTTCTTGGTACATAAGTGGACCCAGAGGGGGTATGAGTGGGGCAGGCTACAATAGTCCACTTCCTTGGGTAATACCAGGCCAATGCAGAGCTTGTCTGAGGCTCACGGAGGAAGTTTTGTTAGAATAAAGTTCTTGGCACAACAGTGTAAGTCCCGCAGGCCCCTGGCGCCCCCCCCCCAGCCAGCTTAGCCCTCCGAGTCCTGGGGCAAGTGTACTGGACAGCCTCCTACCCCTGAACAGTCCTGGGTTCAGGGGTAGGAGGCTGTCTGGTACACTTTATAAACTAGTCAAAGTCAGAATTGAATATGGTCTACTGTACCAAGACAGATCACCCCAGATTTGGCTGAGACATTTTACTCACCACTGTTTGATGGAGTCCCATAAGTGTGGCATCTGAAGACAAATTCACAGTTAGTCTAGTCACACAATACAACTTCAAGGATGTGTATAAGTATGTGTACTTATGTGTATTGTGTACATTTGTAACATGTATCAGCCTTTTAGGAGTGGTTCATCCCTGATCACAAGGCTCTTTCTTGAAGCTATCATTTGCTTCAAATACAACAATGCCCACGCAGCTCCTCAAGGACCATTGCCATCACTGACACCTCCTGTCTGTTCTGCTAGTATTGAGCTTCTCCAGGAAAAGGTGTCTGAGAATCAGTCAGCACTGACATAAACATACCTCACAGGCCCCATTCACTCACCAAAGTGCCAATTTGCTTTCTCAGTTTGCTTTTCCAGAGCAGAAATACCTCTTGTTTCCTATGTCAAGACTTGTTTCTGTCCTACTCTTCAAAAGGAAGAGGCAGGGTATGTGTAGCTTCTTGGATTAATGTCTCAGCCCACACTAAGCCATACAATTCATCTGCTGTACCTTTACTCTTGTTTGCCTGGGTATCACCCAGGTCTATGCATTAATGGGTTTGGCAGAAACAGAAAGTTTGAGTTCTTCATTCAACAGCAAGGGTCAGGAGTGGAAAGGCATGTTGGCTGGGTCTGATGAGAGTTATAATCCATCAGTGTCTGGGTGGTTGTGCTATCCTGAGAATGCATCTGACTAAGAGGTCAGGGAGGGAAACAGAAACAGTTGTATACTATAGGCCTTCAAAAATAGCTCTCTGGAAATGAGTAACACATTCAAATTCAGCGGTTCTGGTAAAGCTACATTGAGAGAAGCCTTCCGAAATGGCTATGTGGGCGTCACTGTTTGTTGAATGCGTCATGTGGGTTAGGAACCACAGTGAGAGCATTCTCTCCCACAGCCCACAACTTCTATTTATAAGCCTATTCTACCAAATAATGTATTACAATTTTTGTAGGTAAGCATGAACCAGAAGCTTCACTGAGTTAGAAATAACTGCAGAAAAATCTAGTTTCTCCTGGAGACACAAGGGTTTGCATCTGAGGTCATTGGAATGCAGCTGCATAACAAAATAAAACCATTGTATCTTCCATTAGGTTTGGAGAGTGAAAGGATTTTTTAAAAACTTAATTAAATTTGTGGTTTTCATGTTCCAGAACATAATATTTGTATCCTAAAACTAAATTCTGCCTTTCACACAGAAACCTCCAAGGGATTGTATAGCAATACTAAAAAGTAACACCTGAATTCAAAGTTCTTAATCCTTCATTTTAGATATTTCAAACACATTTTACAGTCATGTGATTAGCTGAAGAGCATAACTATCTTCCTAGTTTTTCAGCAGAAACATGTATATACTCGTTTTTAGAGCATTTTCCCACAGTCACAAAGTCTGCAAACTTAACTATTCAGACCAAAAAATATAAAGCTGCTAAACATTCTGCAGATCCTGTGATTGTGTGTTAGACTTGTGGCATGATTCGTGATGCAGCTGTGGTTTTCATGACCCTCAGTCCAAAGGGAGAAAAGAATTATCTTACACTGAACTTCTTCAGAGGCCAGGTTTCTGCTATTGTCCTTGACTGCAGTTTCTTCCCTAAGAAAAACAAGAGACAAATGCATTTGTGATGCTACATATTTACTGGTTCTGTAGGCAGAAAGCCTTTTCTGAGAAGGATGAGATCTGCCTTCCTTCACACAACCATGAATGATACAAAATGCAGGAGATCTGAATTTTAAAACTTGGTTTAGTCACATGAAGCTTTAAATCCGATAAAAGCAGAAGCTTCAGTATAAATGTTTAGGCAACAGCAGAAGGCTCTTGTTAGTTCATTCATGTATTTTCTTCCCCTGTACCATGTCTCTGATCTAAATCCGTCTGCTATTTGTCCAACAGTGGCAGTGGGGAGATGCAGGGGCCTTGCCGGAAAACAGCTTAGGAGAAAGTGTAAAAAACAAGAAACAAAAATCCCCACACATTCTCAACAATAGGGCTGAACAAAGAACATAGTGCATGAAAAAATATTGTTTTGCTATGTTAACAATGACCTTGTTTTTGGAGTGCTTGAAATAAATTCCTGCCTTCTTTCTTTCTATGCTGCTTTGAGCATAATTTTTTTGTGGAAAAGTGGCATACAAATAAAGCGAATGAAGAAATGAAAATCTTACACATAATCAAAAGGAATGTGCTCAGTGTTGACTCTGTCCTGCCTTGAAGATAGCTGACGACACAGCACTAAAACAAAAAAAGAAGAGAGGCAAAGAAGCTGTCATAAATTAGGTATTTCAAAGGCGGAATTGTCATCTGGATGTAATTTCCAAAAGGCGGTGTTTGGTGGGGGGGCGTTTTTGTAAAGAAAAGAAAAGAAAAGCTCGACAACTTCAGGGGTGGTTTTTGGTTTTTACTTTTTGTAATATGGCAACCCTATCACAAAATTGGAAGGAGGGGGCAGTTTCATGAAGGAGGAGTGGCAGTTGAAGCCACTCCTCTAAATGCACACTCCTCTAAATGGATACAATTTCCCCTAACAGAATTCAGTTTTGTACTTTCTTTTTGCTAACATATACATGTTTGTGCACAATTTCTCCCATACCTGTGCATGTGCGTGCACACACACATATATGCACACACATAGAAAGTAAAGACATTTTTGGTTGGAGACTTGCATTGCAAGTGTGTGTTTTGAAGGAAAGCTGAGTTTCAGTTCAAATGTTGTTCCTACTTGAAAAATCAACCCTTTTCGTGGTAGATTATCATTGCTTCAGGTTACCAGCACTCACCTTTCTTGACCAAAAGGTAGATCAAAAGTACCAACACCAGAATGGTAACACCCACAACTCCATATATAATTTTCTGATTTGACCCTGTCAAAAAAGAAGAGCAACCTGAATTAGATCAAAGAAGAATGAGCACTCACACTTTACATTGTGGGTGCCCTTTGTGGGATCGCGCACGGTGCTACAGTTCCCAGGGAACATACTGGCAAACAGGGGCTGGCCTGCCTCTCAGCATTATTAATTGGAGGTTAATGTCCAGCCTCAGTAATCAAGTTTCTTGCTGGGAGTTGAGGCCAGTCCCATTTATATATAGGGGGTGAAGCCGAAAGTAGCCAGGCAGTTGGCTCAGAAGATTCTCCCACCCTCCCCTCCCTTTGTTTAATGTTTTCTTGTTTGCAGGTTAATTTTTTCTTACTGTTTAGTGGGTGCTGCTATGGTCTTTGATTGGTTGCTGTTGAAGGATTGGGAATAAATTTTCCTGCATTGGCAAGTTTTGTCTTCCCTATAGCAATTCGTCACAACTTTGGTGGTTATGGCCTTGGGTGGAATCCTTTAGTCTTATTTTACCTATGGGGGGGGTGATCCCAGGGTTCCCTCTTAAAGGGGTTATATAATGGGTGTCACTGGCTATACACTGAAAGGTCGTCAGTGAACTACATGCGGGGATATGGGCTGGGCTGCTTGTGTACACATACATCTTGCAGTGCACCCCCATATCACATTTACCCTGATGTGCCCCAGTTCCCCTGGCTGGGGGGGGGGGCTGGGAGGTATACACGCCCAAGGCCTAAGCCAAGGTCTTCTTACATTCGGAAGTTTAATAAAGTTGTGGCCTAATTTTAATTCCATAACACATTGTGAGAGTCTTTGTTCCTTTCCTATGATCCTTGGGGGCTGGGGCTGTTGTGGCCTGGTCATGCAAAAAAGAGTCTTCATTTGGTTTCCCTCACAAAGCCAAAATTGGCCCCACCTAAATCAGGCTGGGATTGCCATATGTCCTGAAAATTCCAGATATGCAAGGAAATCAGATGCCTAAAAAGGGATCCTGGGGGAATTTTTGAATTTTAAGCGGTGTCTGGATTTTCCTGTACGTGTGGCAACCAGGGTTTTTTTGGGGGCGGGGGTCTGCCCCCCCGAGCAGCAGAAGAAATGTCCCCCATTACATGGGAGACCCAAAGGGTGCTTGTGCCCCCTGACTCCCCACATGCAGTAGTACCAACTGAGGAGTAGGAGGATGGTGGAAAATAAATATGACTTGGTTATCCTGACCTCATCTTCCTCCCCCCGTGTGTTTTTTGGAGGAAGGCTAGGGTGTCAGGAATTTTACTGTTTGAAATATGGCAAGCCTAAATCAGGTATTACTCCACCCTCATGTTTTTGAATAAATAAACTATTTATCCATTTTCCTCTGTACAGTGGTACCTCGGGTTACATACGCTTCAGGTTACAGACTCCGCTAACCCAGAAATAGTACCTCGGGTTAAGAACTTTGTTCAGGATGAGAACAGAAATTGTGCTCCAGCAGCATGGCGGCAGCAGGAGGCCCATTAGCTAAAGTGATGCTTCAGGTTAAGAACGGACCTCCGGAACGAATTAAGTACTTAACCTGAGGTACCACTGTATAGCCAACCGGCTTGATTGATGGCAATCACTGGTCTTTGTCAAAAATGGAGAAAAATTCAGACATTGACATCAAGAGTGCTATCAAAGTTTCTACAGTGACAAAAATATTCTATTATTGTGGTCTCAGGGTATTAACGATCTCTGACAGGAAATGATAAAAAATATTTTCTTTTCATGATTGTGCTTGAGTAAATTGCATTATTTTGTTTCTGTGTTAAGATTTAAAATGGCATACTAAAACAAACAATCAAACAAATAAACAAATAAATAAGTAAATATTTTTACTCAGTAATGCTGCTTACGTACCATTGGAATATAATGTATATATTAATGTGCATCATTACAATTTGAACTAAATTGTTTCATTTGAACTAAAAATCACTGGTTATGACTAAGAGCCATTCATTTCATTGGGCCTACTCAAAGTATGACTTAGATGGATGGAAGAACACATGTAACCTTTCATGCACTCTTTAGAAAAACATGATGTGCCAAAAGGAATGAAACAGGATGGATTTAGGCTGATCTAAGCCCCATCCCTAGAGGCTTGACACATTAATCATGAATGTTTTTGATAAGCTGCCTAATAGCAATACCTATTTTTTAATAGGCCATTAAACAGTGTCCCTGGAGAAGTGCTATCATCTCTATGCTATTGGCCAGATTCTCCAACATTGGTTGCATAGGGGCAAAACAGCACCTATTTTCTTTTAGATAAATATATGAATGTGCTCCCGGGAAGTCTGAACATGCTCTGTGGCTATGATTAACTGTTGTGGTGGGGGCATAGAAATGGACTGTGCTGAAATATGGCATGGCTGGCTAGCTGGAACTCTAAACAGGACTGTCCCACCATGCAACATTCTCTTGCAGGTCCCTAGTCTGATCATTTCTACAATCTTACCTGACTGGAGAATCAGATCCTGAGCAACACTGAGGGCAGAAGTCTTCTCTTGGTTCTTTGCATCCTTCTGCTGGTAACCACAGGAATATTGGCCAGTATTCTTCGGCAATGCATTTACGATGTATCGAGCATTTTGAGATGTTGCTTTCTTGAATGAAATAGGAGCCCCATCTTTACAGAAAAAAAATCTGGTCACCATGACCTCTGATGGAGCCGTACAGAGTACTGCAATAATTTCCCCTTCAGGAACCGAAGTTGCGTTCAAGAATAAATCAGGAGCAGGAAGTTCACCTAGAGAACAAACGGAAGAAATAAATAAAGAGCATAAGTGAATGCAGAGAGTAAGTGAAAATGTAGTTGCAATGGACCAAATCAGATTGCTTTATCACCATTATTTTGTCTTGCTGTATTGCTTTTTAGCACTTTTTTCATAATTGTGTCTTGTATACTGCCTTTAATTATTTCTTTTTGGGGAAAGTGGCATGTCAGTGCTCTATTCTGTTTTTTTTAATTTAAAGCATTTAATGCCGCCCCAATTTTCATTTAGAAATTTGGGGTTGTAAACTCTCAATTTAATTATTTAAAAGGTATAGAAGATCAATAATTAGGTGAGCAAAAAGATCCAAGATGGCGACTGAGACAGCAGCCTAGTCAGAGCTCCTGCCTTCAGTTAAGCTTTTAAGTAGTTTTTAGCCATTTCCTGATTCTAATCTCACATTTTTAACATCTTAATGGCTGCCTTATCGCCTCTCCTTGTTTTTAGTTTATTATTGTATTGTTTTACTGCTCAACCTGACTTACCCCAACAATGGACGCTCAATGAAGCCTGCCTCTGTGACTGACCTGCAGTTTTGTCTACTGGCTAAAATTTTGGACTAACACATTGCTGCAAAGACTAGACTCCAGCTTGGTAGAACTCTGCTAACTTTACTGGAATGGCTGCCAGAAGGGAAAAATGAGGCAGGAATAGCCCAAACAGCATAATTGGGACTCACATATCCTCTAAAGCAGAGAAGCAGCTGAAAATCGACACCTTCATCCCCAGATTGGAAACCAAACAAATAATAAGTAACGATGTCATGGGAACCCCCTCCCTTTCAGGGAGGCAATTAGATAATCCGACGCAGAGGTTAGGAACAAGAGGGGTTCCCCCTATCCCAAATGCTGGCCCACCCATCTCTTTAGAACAAGACAGTGGAGGAGCTTGTATTAAACAGATTTCTAACATACACCCCTACCAAGAAATTTGCATAATGTCTGCAGAAACCATGGTCTTAGTTCTTCAAAGACTGAATGAAATTCTGACTAAATTAGTTAATATAGAGGAAAATTTGGACATGTGCTCCCCCTCCACAAACTCTCAAATGGTTAAAAGGATGACAAGGCACAGCTGCTTCATCGATCCAACAACCCGAGTCCCGGATGTAACAAGATCTTGCCAAGTCCTTCAAAAGAATCAGATAATGCTCGAGATTCACCTCAATGTGCACAGATGGGCGAAACACAGGTCAATCATGACATCCCTATCCCAGCTTCTGAACTGCCACTATCAAAAAGTAGATCTGGAAAAATTCTACTTTCTGCCCAGCATATGAAATACTATATATTTACTTATCACTTTTAGCAAACCAGCCCTCCCATCCCGACTTATGCAGATGAAAAACATCTTATGGCGGACTCACTCCCTTCCCCTGATAAGGGTCTTCAAGGATGAAACAGTGAGACAGCTTATCTCTGGCAGAGAATCACAGCCAATGTTGAAAAGTGAAACTAAATGAAATAACAGAAATGCCAGTTGCACGAAGGGTGAATAAAACCCTGAGTTTAGAACTACAAGAGCTGAAGAGGAGATTAGTAAGCATTAAGTCTGAAATTTCAACTCTAGACGTAAGGACACTGGAACTGTAAACACAACATTTAAATATGACCAACAGCTCCCCATCATGAAGAAGGCCATGTGTGCATCTGACTGATCTCTTCCCAAGTGACAGAGATGAAGAGGGGGACTCTGACAACCCTGACACTCCCATGTTAATAACCTTCAAGGAACCCCATGTCACCGACAGACAGTTGGAACCACACAATAGTACCCAGGCTACACATGGACTTTTGCCTAATGCCTCCAAAACTCACAATCCAACTGGTGCCCAGATACTCACTGTTAAACAGGAGGACCAGTTTCCCCCACTACCTCTCTGGCAGAACAGGACAAATGAGGTCCCTGCTCAGGAAGTTGGCTCTTTGCTAGTCAAAGATCCCCACTTTGCAGCACATGCCTCCCTAATACTTCCAAAGGCACAGTAGGAACTAATAGCCCCCCAACCATCCCATGAGGGAAAGAGGGACTGACAGCCAACAAGCCAGTATAAGGTCACCCTCCAAACCTGGAATGTAGCCAGATGGGCTGCATCTATCAGGGGTACTTGCTTCACTGATTTTCTATCACAACATCACATCATCTTGATTCAGGAAACCTGGGCCAGGGATGACATATCATTAAATGGATATAATTCCTTTACAACCAGAGCTGAACCAGGGAAGAGGCTTGGCAGAGCAAAAGGGGGGTTGGGGACCCTTATCTCTACCAACATTGGCTCTACACCAAGGCCCCTCCCCTCCCTTAAGACACTTGCCATGGCTACTATGCTCCACCTCAATGAGAAGGCTCTACTATTTATAAATGCCTACATGCCCCCAATGTGCCAAAAATCTGATATCAGAGCCCAATGGAGTGAGCTGGAAGGATACGTTGCAGACCTCATCCTACAGAACCCTAATGCAGCTCTCTTCTGGAACATCATAAGGCTCTCCCAACCTAACAAACCATTAGTGGCAGAATCCTATATCCCGTCAAGGATTTGGGAGACACGTTTTCAGGAACTCTACAGGGATAGAGCTGATGGGTAAGGCCAAATTCCCGAAAGCATAGCGAACCTCCCAAAGTAGGCCCCAGTAACAACAGGAATTGAGTGGCAGCGGCGCGGCAGCAGCAGGAGGCCCCATTAGCTAAAGTGGTACCTCAGGTTAAGAACAGTTTCAGGTTAAGAACGGACCTCCAGAACGAATTACGTTCTTAACCAGAGGTACCACTGTATTACATAGACATACGGGCCAGGTTTATCCTGCCTATCCTGCAAAAATCCTCAGGACGTACAGAACAACTTAACATCTCCCTACTACTCCAGGATGAAAACCCAGATGTCACATACTCAGTTTCTAGATTTTTTGCCATGATGGATATTCACCGAAGGATGGTTTGTGTCACAAACCAGTCCTAAACTGACGGCCCATATTGCAGGGCCTGCCTTCCCTTAAGTTTTGCTTCTTACAGTTGTTTAAATTGCATGTTTTTTATTTGTTTTTTTTCTTAGCTTTTATCTGTTTTAATTATCAGTCTTTATTCATCCATTATCAGTGTTTAATCTAATATTTTATTCATATGTTTTATCCTATGCTTGTTTCTTCATCCTTATTTGCTCTAACAATTATCTGTTTAAATCCTAACCGCTATTTTATTATATGTTTTTCTTATGCTGGTCTGTGACCGTAATAAAGTTCATTCGTTCATTCATTCATTCAAGAGCATAAATGAATCCAGAGAGTAAGTGAAAATGTAGTTGCTATGGAGGGTGAACATTTGAATAATCATGTAGAATTAGATTGTTTTATCACCATTAGTTTTGTATTACTGTATTGCTTTTTAGCACAATTTTTCATAATTATTTATTGTATATTGCTTTAAATTATTTCTTTTGGGGGGAAACTGGCATACAAGTGTTCTACTCTGTTTTATTTATTTAAATTTATTTATTTATTTATTTAATTTAATTTAAAGCATCTTAACACACCTCAATTTTTATTTAGAAATCTGGGGTTGTAGACTCTCAAATTACTTATTAAAAGGGTATGGAAGATGAATATTTAGGTAAGCAAAATATATCTTATGAGGCGATCCTATGTCAATTTTCCAATAGGGTTTTAAGGATAAAACAACTCTCTAGCTCCAGCCCACATGAGCTGCTTAAATGAGGATGGGAGGCCCTTCAGAGAGTGGTTTTGCTCTCTAAAGCCCCTCCTGGCCTCGTTTAAAAGCAGGCAGTGCAGGATGTGAGAGAAAGTCAGAATAGCTTTAGTAAATGGTCAGAATGTGAGGGAAGGAGGGTTCAGCCAAGCTGAAAGGGGGGGGGGAGGTTTGGGCAAGATATGAGGGGATAGGCAAGGGGGTGAGTGAGGGGTAAATGGAGGAGGGGTTAGCCAGGTGGAGGGGATGGAGGGCTGAAGGGATTGGTGAGCTGAGAAAGTGTGGGTGGCAGCCTCTAGTACATCCCATATTTTCCAAAAGCTTGATGATGAAACAAAACAGCCCTGACTTTCTTTGATAATGAACATTTAGCATTAAACATGTGGTTCGAGTAGAGGAAGAAACACATACCATTCTCTGCAATCCTGCACACACTAGCACACACAGTCTTGCACAGTCTCAAACTCACCTGTAGAAGTGCAAAGCTCTGAATCTTTGTCATCACCCAAACACCAGTGATTTGCAAGGAGAGCACCTGCAATAACATCCATGCAATATGTTTATAATATATTTTAACAAGTAAACACAAGGGCAGAGCAGTATTTTAATAATTTTCCAGACCTGCTATTTTGGCTGCAGCCTCTTTGGAGTGGCTTTAGTGTGTTTTCTAGCAATCCCTGGTAGTTTCCAATTATGAAAATAATACACATATAAATGAGAGTCAATGTAATGGCATATAATTGCCAAGTTTCTTCTATGTCAGAGCACCTCCTATTCTGCTGCAGGTTTTTTTCTGGGTGCAAAAGGGTGCATGGGGTTGAAAGAGATTAAACAAGCATGTGCGAATGCAGAGCTGAGGAGAAACCAATAAAATTCGCCCTTTGCCATGTGTTTCACACTGTTCCCTCTACTAGCACTTCTTTAATTTGTACATTTACATTATGTTGTGCAACCCAGTCATTCTTAAACTGAAATCCTTTATTGTCTTGCAGATAGTACTAGAAGATGATGATGAAGAAGAAGAAGAAGGGAAAAAAAGAAGTTAGATGTTTTCATGAAATGTCCTCCACAAGTTGAAGAAGACGACCTTATTTCAGTTTATTTTTTAAAATGTCTGTTGAAAACAGCTTGGCTTTTCTGCAGTCCTCGGGGGGGGGGGGTCAAAGCTTGACAATCACCCACTCCCGCCCTGCTGTCTACCACCACCAATCACGCTGATCCCCCTCTCACACAGGGGCATGTTCCTTCACATGCTCCAGAATTTCCCGGATAAAACATGTCAGTTTCACCATCTCAGCTAAGTCCATTAATTTTAACAACCACTCTTCCATTCTTGGTAATGATGAGTAATTCCATCTTTGACACAAACACACACATTCCTAGGAAAGCTCTGATGGGAATTATGGAGTTTATTTTCCCCAGATCAAGTTGCCCTCCCAGTTTCCCAAACTTACAGAGAACCCAGAAGAGATTCATCAGGGCAGGGCAGGAGTTGGCTTCCCAATCTGATGTTTGTCCCCACCTCTGACTCTCAGCTCCTTCTACTCCTCTCACAGATGAGACGGAAATCATCACGACTTTTGCAGCATGTATGCTTCTATCCCCTCCCCTGGGGAACACCCCCACATGTGGCTGCAGATACGATTCAAGGATGTATAATTTTACACCATTCCTTCTGGTGAACTATTCAACATATCTGTGACCCTCAGGCACATTCAAGATAATATTTGATGGTCAGAAAGGCAGCTTTTCATCCGTTATCCTATTTTCCCCTACCAGAAAGTGCTGTCAAAATGAGTAGATTAGTTCACATGATAGAGAGAAGATTCAGACATTAATTGTGTTGAAAATTTTGTTATGGGGAAATAAATAGGAAATCCCCCCCCTCCCCAGAACAGTATTCCCTTAGGATAAAGTGGATGGGTTTGCATACCAGCAGCCTATGCCCAAGATAGATCTAAAGCAGTGGTGTCCAAACTTTATTCAAAGAGGGCCAGATTTGACGAAGTGAAGGGCCGTGAGGACCAACCAAAGAGGACCAACCAAAGGGCCAACCATAGTTGTTGACCTTTTTTTAGGATTGAAATTATTGGGCTTTTTTTAGGATTGAAGTTGTTGAGGTTTTTAATGATTAAACCAACCGGTGGGCCAGATTAGGCCCCCAAAAAGGACTTTGGACATGCCTAAGGTGAATGTACACACCCATGCACACAAACCACCCCCAAGGTAACATGGCCTATAAAGAAAGGAGAGTGCCTGGGCTGCATTGTGAAACCTGGTGGGCCAAGTTTATGCCACAGGGCCTTGATCCCTAGTCCAGCAGTTTCTGATGTTGGAGTGGAACGAGCAACAGTTTTGTGAGGCAAGTGATCCTGGTCCTTCCTGCTGTCTGGCTACAAGTTTCATCTTATTATGTTATATCTCTGGTGTGAAGGATTCAGCCATTCTATTAGTATCCCCATGGAAAGGGCTCCACCTTCCTTGAAGATGTTGAAGTGGTAATTTCTGTGAGCCTTTAGACTGGCTTAGGAAGATTATTTCTCTGCTTCAAAGAAAAACAACAATTTCCAAATTAATCTGAGAGAAGTTCATCAAAACGTACTCATATCAAATTATTGTTCCATTGCTGTGTTTCCTCCCCCCAAAAAACTTTTCTTTATGGAAATTCAGTATAAGGATTCTCATGACTGGAAAAGAATAAAACATTGGAGGGGGGGACTTGGCTCTTTATATGACAGGGTCCCCAGGTAACTCAAATATCTAGTGGGTGGATTGTTTCTTTTGCTCAAAGCACTATGGCAAGATCTGCTGAGATCGGGAGTTTGGGATGCAATGGGTTCAGCCAGATTAAGTCCCCAACCCTGGCTCAGTCAAAGGTGTAACTTGTTCAACCCAGTTCAACCAGGGCTCTGCCTGCTGAACGAAAGCTACCTGAGACAAGGCTGGTGTAACTTCCTAAAATGAGCATCCCGGCAGCATGACATGAGCAAGACCTAGAAGGGAGAGTTTAGGCTTGATTATAAACCCATTCAGCTAGATCATGTGACCTGGCAATCTGGCATAAGCACACTTTTAATGGGTTGTTTTCATCTGGCAGGCTTAAGTAGAGCAGCAGCTCTGCTTCTAAAATGAGCCTTGAATCTGGTAAAACTTCACGCCGCTTTAACTTTGCTTTGCTTTACTATAATTTTTTGTGCAAAGGGTTGCTTCCTAATACTTTTTCTATGATACCCACCTCTACAGATACAGGAACCTCATGAGAGGCAATGATGTGTATGGCAAAACAGAACTGCAAAAATTAAACATAGCCATTAAGCCAAACTATTAGAAATGCATTCATAAAAACCTCAAAGGAAGGAAGTATATTCATCAAAATAGATGCTAGGCTGAACCAGTGTGGTAAAAGAGTCTACAATAAATCTAAGTGCTATTTTGGGGCTTCACTGCTTTTCCTTTTCCTCCTTTTAATGCTCTTTTAATATTTTAGCTTGTTACTCAAGTTCACCTTTCACAGCTGTAACAACAACAGCCTTTCTCATGAGAGAGTCCATGTCAGCAAACATCACTAGATCAAAACATTTAATAAACATTATCGTATCATAGTCCCACCTCTCTGTCACTGATATGCAAACTAGAGGGCCCCTGTTTAGCAAGCATCTGAAGTGGCCCTGTCCATGTGCCAACATACTGCATAGAGTGAGCCAGGGAAAGCTGTGGTCTTTGAGATGCTGATGGACTCTATCTCCCATCTGCCTCAGCCAGCATGGCTTATGGCAAAGGAAAATGGGAGTTCTAGTCCAACAGCATCTGGATGACCACAGCTTGATACAAAATCTGGGGTCAATCCACAATCCTGGGACACTTCCCAGCTTGTACTTCTTTCCTCAGAAATAGGCACTGCTCATGCAACGTACATGACAGGCGTAATGACTTCAAGTCTTCCAAGTAAACGGAGGCTGGGGAGATGGTCTGTAAGGTGTTCCTTTGTGGAGGAGACCTATGAAATTGCTCTTCGTTTGGACTGACTGCCTCAGCAGCACAGAGATGAGGGGGTGCAAAGCAAGGCATGAGAGAGAAAGTACTATGGACAGGGTTCCTTGCAGGGTTCAGCCTGGGGACTCTATTAAAGAGAACCTGTGTGGTGTAGTGGTTAAGAGCGGTAGACTCGTGATCTGGGGAACCAGGTTCGCGTCTCCGCTCCTCCACATGCTGCTGCTGGGTCATCTTGGGCTAGTCACACTTCTTTGAAGTCTCTCAGCCCCACTCACCTCACGGGGGGGGGGGGGAGGGAAAGGAGAATGTTAGCCACTGTGAGACTCCTTCGGGTAATGATAAAGTGGGATATCAAATCCAAACTCTTCTTCTTCTAAAACAGAGATTTTTTTCAGCAGTCATGTTAAGACTGAGACTTAAACAGAAACTTCCCTGTGGCTATTTTGGCCTTCTGTGAGAGGGACCAGTTCCCTTAAAAGGCCTTTACTGAACATTGACTCTGACAGTGAAGGAGGCTGATCCCCTCAGCGTCCTAGAAGAGCAGCACTACCTCAACTGGTTGGATAGATACCAGCACAATGCAATCTACTTCTGCAAGTGCTTCTGATTTGGTATGTACATCTGGGACAGTTTGTTTGGACAATTTGCTCTCCCACTTGGAATCCCTGGTCATAAGATTGTATACAGCATAACAGTGCTTTCACAGTGTTTCACCCATTTTAAAATCTTCGCCTGCTCATTCCCACTTGTTTGTGCCTTTGTGGATGAGAACTATTGAGGAGCTGGGAGGGAAGTTGCCAGAGGCTGGATTGTTTTTACACTGGTGTGGGGAGCCTCCAGTCCACGGGCACAACAAGGCCCATGACATCTCCTCCTTTGGCTGACCAAATTATGGAAGCCCTGTCCACCCATCCTACACCTGACATCCTCAGCTTGTTTCTGATTTTAACCTTTTAATATGGTTCTTATTATATGGTTTTATGTACAATTGTTGTAAACCACTCTGATATTTTTGTATGAATATCAGTATATAAATATTTTTCTAAATAAAAAAGCCAGGCCTTCAATGGAATAATTGGGAGCTTCATGTGGGCCCCCAGTTGTCCCTTTGCCGGAGCAAAGAATGTCTTGCTCAAGGAGAGGGGAGAAGTTTCTCCTTCCCAGTGTAGCTCTTTGAAGCTGTGTTGTGCTGTTCCTTTGAGTCTTTAGTTTTGGAGATAGAAAAGAGTGTCATGAAGTGGCTTGCAAAACACAGGGCTGCCAACTTCCCCTCCTTGCTTTCTGGTTCCCATGTCTGGATAACGTCTGAAGGGATTTAAACTGAATTATGTCATGTGATGGACGGGTGGGTTGCCCTGTCCATCTATCAAAGTTGGCTAATGGGGTTGGACCCAAAAGGTCCCCACCATGGTCTACCAGCTGAGGATCCCTATATAAGTGTTTTTCTATCTGTGTCTCTTTTTCTATACGCCTTTACATAGAATGTGATCTTTGTAAACATAGCACACGTCGGTTGGCTAACATATTATAGAAATACGGCACAATTCAAAGCAACATAATAGTGAAACAATTTATTTGGCAGAAATACAAATAATATTTTAAAACATAGGCATGTTAAAATAAGCAGCAGATAATATAAATCCCAGCAGATAAAAGGCTATACATTTATGTCCATTAATTAATACTACGTAGACACCTTTGCTGTATTGTTTTCAGTACCTGCTATAAAAACTTCTGGAACCCATGCCATTTATTGGAACCTTAAAGGTCAAAACCAGTACTTGAACTCAGCTTAGCAAAATACTGAAAACATTATTGTAAGTGAATAAATGGATGAGGTTAGGAGGATAGGAGGATAGACAAAGAACAACCTGGATGCATTTTTCTTTCTTCCAGTGGGATTACCTAGTTTCTATGTCTGACCAAGGAGCAATTACACTTTTCCATGAAATAGGTGATGATTGGCGCTGAGACCAGGAGAAGAAGCACCAATGAGGAGCGGAGAATCCAAATATAGGGAGATATTGTCTGACCTGGATTGAATAGAAAAAAATCAGAAAGGTTTTTGTGTCTACTCAGATATGACCAGATACAGGTAGATAAATCAGCTGATAGACGTTAACAAGTTCCCTACGGTTTGATGCTTGGTGGAAGAATGTACAAGTGTATCATAACACTTTTCCTACTCTGATTATATACTCCTATTGATTTTCTCAAATAGGAACATGTTGGCAGCATAGAATGACTGACATAGCAGCTAAACAAAAGTTTGGTTTAGAGATTCACCTGAACCTAGCTTTGTGGTTCAACCTCTTCCACTTAATCTTAATTTGTAGTCAAGGATGGTCCTATTGTTAGCAAAAACCTGGGTTGAGATGACATGGTAAGGAAAATGTTCGCATAGCTGTTTTGCTATGCAGTACTAAAAGGGCATAAGGATTAATGCAGCTATGCACATAGCTCAAAATATTTTCATGCCTACAGTGGAAAATTGAGAGGAGTGAATAAAGTACCCCAGCTCATGGAATAAGGATGTACCTATCATTTACCTCCCTCCCTGGAATAGGGAAAACTGGTTACATCTATGCTGATTATTTAGAAATTCTGTGCCATCAGATGCCATCAAGGCACTCAGGAGGAACTCACTCCCCTTGATCTACAAAAACAATCATCCATACTTTCCCCCCGATCTATTTGTTCAGAGTTGAGTGTCAAACCTTATGCAACCAAAATGGCACCTTACTCACTCAAGGCATGTGCTAGTTGTATGTAAACAGATGAAAAACATTTCTAAAAACACTGTAAGGTTTGAACACTGTAATCTCAAAAGCAGACCAGGGAGGTCTGAACATGTTCTGTGGCTATGAAATACTGATAAATTATTGTGGTGGGGGGATAGAAACCAAATGGATGGAGAATGAAATGGACTCTGCTAGAATATGGCACGGCTGGCTTGCTGGAACCCTAAACAGGACTATCCCACCATGCAACATTCCCTTGCAGGTCCCTGACAATCTTACCTGACTGGACAATCAGATTCTGAGCAACACTGAGGGCAGATGTCTTCACTTGGTTCTTTGAATCCTTCTGCTGGTAACCACAAGAATAATGCCCAGCATTCTTTGGCGATGCATAGACTATGTATTGAGTAATTTGGCATATTGCTTTCTTAAATGAAACAAGAGCCCCATCTTTACAGAAGAAAAATCCAGTCACCACAACCTCTGCTGGAGCCGCACATAGTGCTGTGATAGTTTCCCCTTCAGGAACCAAAGTTGTGTTCAAGAGTAAATCAGGAGCAGGAAGTTCACCTAGAGAATGAACAAACGGAAGAAATAAAGAAAAAGCATAAATGAATGCAGGGACTAGGTGAAAATGCAGTTGCAATGGAGGGTGAACATTTGAGTAATCAATCGGCATTAGATTGCTTAATTACCATTATTTTGTTTACTGTATTGTTTTTTAGCACTGGTTTTTTCCATAATTGTTTGTTGTATACTACCTTTAATTATTTCTTTTTGGGGAAAGTGTTAAGCAAGTGTTCTACTGTTTTATTCATTTAAAGCATTTTAATGCCACCTCAATTTTTATTTAGAAATTTGGGCTTATAGACTCTCAATTTAATTCTTAAAAAGTTATAGAAGATTAATAGTTAGGTGAGCAGAAAGATCCTATGGGGCAATCCTATGTCAAGGACTTTTGCAGAATGCATGTTTCTATCCCCTTCCTCTAGGGCACACCCTCAAATTTGGCTGCAGCTACGACTCAAAAATGTATAATTTTTACACCATTCCTTCTGATGAACTATTCAATGTATCTCTGACCCTCAGGCACATTTACTTAGAGAATATTTGATTGTCAGAAAGGCAGCTTTTCATCCGTTATCCCATTTAACACCCACCAGAAACCCCTCTGAAAATTAGTAGCTGGGTTCACATGATAGAGAGAAGATTCAGACATTAATCATGGTTGGAAATTCCTTCTAAGGATATAAGTAGGAAACATTTTTCCAGCATAAAATGAGTGGGGCTGCAAACAAGCAGCTAATGCCTAAGAGGGAGCTAAAGCATGTACACTCCCATGCACACAAACCAGCCCCATGTAGCCTGACCACCCCCAAGGCCTATAAAGACTGCATTGAGAGACCTCATGGGCCAGGTGTATGCCACAGGTTCTCGATCCCTATTCTAGTGATTATATACTCCTATTGATTCTCTCAAATAATATCAATCAATCAATTTCTATGATCTATCTTGTGGCTGGTTTCTTTTAATCATTCTTTGCACAGGCAGGCACATTATGTGACCCATGAGAGCAGCAAAATAATCAGACCGCACATCGATGATGGGATAAAATCAGGCCAAATCTTTATTGACAGCAGCAGGCAGGGCAAGGGTTTGCATGGCATTGGGTTGCAGGATCAGTTCACCATTCCACAATCCCCATGTAGATGGAATGGATCCGCTGGGTTTGGATCTCTCCTGACCTATACGACAGGAGTCGGCAGGTGTTGAATCTTTCAGTGGTGCAAGCCAAGCATGCAAGGTCTCACTGGGGGACCAGGGTGCAGATTCCAACCAGGCAGATACTGAAACAATGCTTGGGGTTGCCATGGTCAGTCCTGTCCTCTTATGGGGCCCACCTCTATACTCTCAAAGAAAAATGACTGTGAGCTCCAGGGGAAGGAGACTTATGTAAGCTTCCTCCCCCCCACCTCTTCAGCAAGGGTTCATGGGGCAGCTTTTTCCCATGAGCCCATCACACAGAGAAAAGATACTGACCGAAACCTTGCCCAGTCTTTTGCTGCAATCTATGGTCCACAGTCCCGCTGGGCAAAGGCGTCCCATGCTTATTGGGCACGGAATGGGGCATAAAGTGATATGGTGAAAAGCATGCACAAATAGCAGGAAAACCAGTAAAGAGTGATGCATTTCCCTGACTCTCTGTATAGCCAACTGGCTCTTGATTGATGGCAATCATTTGTCTTTGCAAAAAAGGAGAGAAATTCAGACATTGACATCAAGAGTGCTATCAAACTTTCCACAGTGGCAAAAAGATTCTATAAATTTGGCATTAGGGTATTAATGATCTCTGATGGGAAATGAGAAAAAAAATGTTTTTCTTTTCGTGATTGTGTTTGAGTATAGATTGCATTATTTTGTCTTTCTGTTAAGATTTAAAATGGCATACTAAAACAAACAATAAGATAAATAAATATTATTACTCATTGATGCTGTTTACTTACCATTGGAAGGACAATTACCTGGGCAGGAAAAAACATGGATGGTATCAGAAAAGCATGGCTCATCAACACATCAAGAAACACAAAGCTCTCATAAATGTGCTCTTATCAAGGCAGTGGTGCCAAACCGAACTGTGGATCAGAACACAACTCCTGATTGGATCACACACTTCTCTGGATTTTTTAATGTGGTTTTACCACAAAAGGGGCCCACTTTATATGTATTTTAATATAACGTATATTTTATTTGGAAATTCATTGAAAAGCATTGATAAGCATTGCTAAAATGCATATTTTGAGGAATGCATACAAAATGAGTACATTAATGTATATATTAAGGTGCATCATAACAATGGGTTTGATTTGAACTAAAAATCAATTGTTATGACTAAGAATCATTCATTTCATTACTCAATGTATAACTGAGCTGGATGGAAGAACATATGTAACCTTTCATGCACTCTTTAGAAAAACATGATGTGCCAAAAGAAATGAAACAGGATGGATTTAGGCTGATCTAAGCCCCAACCCTAGAGGCTAGACTCATAAATCATAAATATTTTAACAGGTTGCAAAAGCATCACTCTTTGATAAGCTGCCTAACAGCAATATCTATTTTAAAATGCCATTAAACAGTGTTCCTGGAGAAGTGTTGTCATCTCCATGCTATTGGCCAGATTCTCCAACATTGGTTGCATAGGTGCAAAACAGCACTTATTTTCATTTAGATAAACATATGAATGTGCTCCAGGGAAGTCTGAACATGCTCTGTGGCTATAACAGTTGTCGTGGGGGCATAGAAACCAAATGGGTGGGAAATTAAATGGACAGTGCTCGAATATGGCATGGCTGGCTAGCTGGAACTCTAAACAGGACTATCCCACCATGCAACGTTCTCTTGCAAGTGATGGGAAGTTTTGCTTCTGCACATTTGCTTCTGCACATGAGTCTGGCAAACTGCTCTGAGCTGAAACATTCCTTCCTAGATTGTTCGGTTCACACTGAGTTCATGAAACATCATATCCTGACCTGTTCCTAATGCATGGTTGACCACATCTATGGAATACAATAGTTATGCCCTGTTAAGCTTTGCCATATCAATCATTAGTAATTGTTTAATAAGGAGGTTTTCATGCCTGTCTAATTCTGTGTTCCCTTTCCCAACCTTTAATCTATTGATGATTAATGCCTATATGCAACCCTTGTATTGTATTTGTGTTAACCAATCAGCAACAAGCACATATGTGGCAATGCTGTAATATTCAATAAAAGGGACTCCCTGAGACATGCTCGGTAGATGCCTCCCATATGACACTTGCCACTCGTCTGTCGTTCATTTCAACCCTAGAGTGATCATTTCTACAATCTTACCTGAGTGGAAAACCAGATTCCGAGCAACACTGAGGGCAGATGTCTTCACTTGGTTCTTTGCATTATTTTGCTGATAACCACAGGAGTATTGGCCAGTATTCTTCAGTGATGCATAGACTATGTATTGAGCAGTTTGAGATGTTGCTTTCTTGAATGAAATAGGAACCCCATCTTTACAGAAAAAAATTCTGGTCACCACAACCTCTGATGGAGCCATACAGAGTATTGTGATAATTTCCCCTTCAGGAACCAAAGTTGAATTCAAGAATAAATCAGGAGCAGGAAGTTCACCTAGAGAACAAACGGAAGAAATAAATAAAGAGCATAAGTGAATGCGGAGAGTAAGTGAAAATGTAGTTGCAACGGAGGGTGAGCATTTGAGGAATCATGTGGAATTAGATTGTTTTATCACCTTTGTTTTTGTCTTACTGTATTGCTTTTTAGCACTGTTTCCCCCCATAATTGTTTATTGCATACTGTTTTTAATTATTTCTTTTTGGGGAAAGTGGCATGCCAGTGTTCTACTCTGTTTTATTTATTTAAAACATTTTAATGCCACCTCAATTTTTATTTAGAAATTTGGGGTTGCAAATTCTCAATTTAATTCTTAAAAATGTATAGAAGAAGGAAGGAGGGTTCAGCCTAGCTTAAAGGGGAGGTTTGGGCAAGATATGAGGGGATAGGCAAGGGGGTGAGTGAGGGGTAAATGAAGGAGGGGTTAGCCAGGTGGAGGGGATGGAGGGCTGGTGGGACTGATGAGCTGAGAAAGTGTGGGTGGCAGCCTCTAGTACATCCCATATTTTCCAAAAGCTTGATGATGAAACAAAACATCCCTGACCTTCTTTTATAATGAACATTTAGCATTAAACATTTGGAATGAGTAGAGGAACACCCCCCCACACACACACAAACACACAGACTTGCACAGTCTCAAACTCACCTGTAGAAGTGCAAAGCTCTGAATCTTTGACATCACCCAAACACCAGTGATTTACAAGCAGAGCACCTGCAATAACATCCATGCATTATGTTTATAATATGTTTTAACAAGTAAACACAAGGGCAGAGCAATGATTTAATAATTCTCTCAATCTGTTATTTTTGCTGCAGCCTTTTGGATTGTCTTAAGTGTTTTCTAGCAATCCCTGGTAGTCAGATGTGAAGCAACCCGCTCTGGTACCCAGAGCGGTGCTCGTCTCAGGGGGTGTGGCGTACAGCCCGGGGGTGTGGTGCACTGCCCACAAGGCACAGTGCACCGCCCGTGGGAGGGGCACGGCAAATGGCATGTGCCCTGGGGTTGCCGCCAATTGGGGGTCTGCTTTCTGTCACCCCCCCCTTTGGAATGGCACCTGGAGTGAGCCCCCCCTTGGAACGCCCCTGCTAGTAGTTTCCAATTATGCAAGCAATACGTATATAGATGAGAGTTAATGTAAAGGCATATAATTGCCAAGATTCCTATATACCAGAGCACCCCCTATTCTGGTGCATTTTTCTTTCTGGGTGCAAAAGGAGTGCATGGTGTGTGAAAGAGATTAAACAAGCATGTGCATTCACAGAGCTTAGGAGAAACCAATAAAATTGCCCTTTCCCCCATGTGTTTCACACTGTTCCTTCTCCCAACACTTCTTTAATGTGTACATTTACATTATGTTGTATAAGCCAGCCATTCTTAAACTGAAATCCTTTATTCTCTTGCAGTTAGTACTAGAAGACGATGAAGAAGAAGAAGAAGAAGAAGAAAAAGAAGATGAAGAAAAAGAAAAAGAAGTTAGATGTTTTCATGAAATGTCCTCCACAAGTTAAAGAGGAAGACCTAATTTTGGTTTATTTTTTAAAATGTCTGTTGGAAACAGCTTGGCTTTTCTGCAGTCCTCAGGCGCAATCCTATCACAAGATCTAAAGACATGTGCATTTTAGGATGCAACAGATCTCTCCCTCAGCTGGGCTCACCATGCAGCTCAGACAAAGATATGCTCTTCATAGCTTAGCTATTTAAACTGAGGGCACTGTAAGTCCTCCAAAAGGCTGTTGCAGGGATGTGGCAAGGAGCAGGTGACTTGAACTGGAACCAAAGCTCATTCAAATCAGTCTCGAGTCCTGGCAACCTCACGTAGAACAATATTTTTTAGACTTGTTTTTCCCCTGCCTCACTTAGAGCAGCAGCCCTTCTGTTGAAAATGGGTTGGAACTGGCTTCAACCCAGCTTAACTTGTTCCAGTATGCTTTATGCCATCTTCTTCTGCGTAGGACTTATGATCTATAATGGAAACTTCACAGAACCTATTGTCATACAGCTTGCCAAATTCCCAAAACTACAGATCTGGACAAAGTTGTTGAGTTTTTTCTTTTTTGGGGGGTGGTGTGTGTCAAAGTTTTACGATCACCCACTCCCCACCGTGCCATCCACCACCGCTAATTGCACTGATCCCCCTCTCACACAGGCATGTGCTCCCTCAAATGCTCCAGAATTTTCCATATAAAACATGTCAATTTCATGATCTCAGCTAAGTCGATTAATTTTAAAAACCACTCCTCCATTCTTGGTAATGATCAGTCTTTCCATCTTACACACACACACTATCCTAGGAAAGCTCTGGTGGGAATTATGGAGTTTACTTTCCCCAGATCTTTCAAGAATTTGACCATATCCATGAATTCCCTTCCCAGTTTCCCAAACTTACAGAGAACCCAGAAGAGATTCATCAGGGTAGATCAGGAGTTGGCTTCCCAATCCGATGTTTGTCTATTCTTCCCCACCTCTGACTCTCCGCTCCTTCTACTTCTCTCACAGACGAGACGGAAATCATCATGACTTTTACAGCATGCATGCTTCTATCCCCTCCCCTGGACAACACCCCCACATGTGGCTGCAGCTACCACTCAAGAATGTTTAATTTTATACCTTTCCTTCCGGTGGGCTACTCAACGTATCTATGACCCTCAGGCACATTCACTTAGAGATAATATTTGATGGTCATAAAGGTAGGTTTTCATCCGTTATCCTATTTACTCCCCACCAGAAACCCCTCAGAAAATGAGTAAATTAGTTCACATGATAGAGAGAAGATTCAGACATTTGCTGTGAAAAATTCATTCTAGGGAAATAAATAGGAAATCCCCCCCACACCAGACAGTATTCCCTTATGACAAAGTAGATGGGGCTGCATAGAAACAGCCCATGCCCAAAATGGAGCTAAAGCATGTACACACCCATGCACACAAACCACCCCCTAGATAACATGGTCTATAAAGAGGGGAGAGTGCCTGGGCTGCATTGTGAGACCTCGTGGGCCAAGTTTATGTCACAGGGCTTTGATCCCTAGTCCAGCAGTTTCTGATGTTAAAGTGGAAAGAGCAACCATTTTGTAAGGCAAGTGACCCTGGTCCTTCCTGCTGTCTGGCTATCAGTTTCATTTTATTACATTCTATCTCTGGTGTGAAGGATTCAGCCATTCTATTAGTATCCCCATGGAAAGAGGCTCCAGCTCCTTTGAGATGTGGAAGTGGTAATTTCTGTGAGCCTTTAGACTGGCTTAGGAAGATTATTTCTCTTCCCCAAAGAAAAGCAACAATTTCCAAATTAATCTGAGATAAACTCATCAAAGCTTACTTATAGCAAATTATTGTTCCATTGTTCATTTCTTTTTCAGCTGTGGGTTAAACTACAGAGCCTAGGACTTGCCGATCAGAAGGTCGGCAGTTCGAATCCCCGTGACGGGGTAAGCTCCCGTTGCTCGGTCCCTGCTCCTGCCAACCTAGCAGTTCGGAAGCACTTCAGAGTGCAAATAGATAAATAGGTACCACTCTGGCAGGAAGGTAAACGGCGTTTCTGTGTGCTGCTCTGGTTCCCCAGAAGCTGCTCAGTCATGCTGGCAACATGACCCGGAAGCTGTACGCCGGCTCCCTCGGCTAATAAAGCGAGATGAGCGCCACAACCCCAGAATCGGTCACGACTGGACCTAATGGTCAGGGGTCCCTTTACCTTTACCTGTTCCCTGCAGCTGCTCTTCTTTATGGAAATTCAGTATAAGGAATCTCATGACAGGAAAAGAATAAAACATTTTTTGGGGGGCAGGGGACTTGGCTCTTTATATAACAGCATCCCTAGGTTACTCGAATAGTTAGTGGGTGGATTGCTTCTTTTGGTCAAAGCACCATGGCAGGATCTGTTGGGATGAGCAGTTTGGGATGCAATGGATCTTTGGCTCAGCCAGCTGATTCCTGGCTCATCTGGGTTCAGCCAGCATTAAGTCCCCAACTCTGGCTCAGTCAAAGGTGTAACTTGCTCAACCCTTTCAACCAGGGCTCAGCCTACCTAGCCAAAGCTACCTGAGACAAGACTGGTGTAACTAACCCAAAATGAGCATCCCGGTGGCATGACATGGGCAAGACCAAGAAGGGAGGGTTTACGCTGGATCCTAAACCCATTCAGCTAGATCATGTGAATCTGGCATAAACCCGCATTTAAAGGATTTTTATCCATCTGGCAGGCTTAAGTAGAGCAGCAGCTCTGCTTCTCAAATGAGGCTCGGATCTGGTAAAACTTCATGCCGCTTTAACTTTGCTTTGCTTTATTATAATTTTTTGTGCAAAGGGTTGCTTCCTAATACTTTTTCTATGATACCCACCTCTACAGATACCGGAACCTCATGAGAGGCAATGATGTGTATGGCAAAACAGAACTGCAACAATTAAACATAGCCATTAGGCCAATCTATTAGAAATGCATTCATAAAAACCTCAAAGGAAGGAAGTATATTCATCAAAATAGATGCTAGGCTGAACCAGTGTGGTAAATTAGTCTTCAGAAAATGTAAATGCTATTTTGGGGGCTTCAGTACCTATACCATTATCTCCTTTTAATGCCTTTTTCATATTTTAGCTTATTCCTCAAATTCACCTTTCAGAACTGTAACACCAATAGCCTTGCTCATGAGAGAGTCCATGTTAGCAAACATAACTAGAGCAATGGAATAAAAAATTCTGAAAGTGATCAAAACATTTAATAAACATTGTCTTGGTCCCACCTGTCACTGATATGCAAACTAGCTGCCCCCATCTGCCTGTTTAGCAAGTATCTGAAGTGCCCTGTATATATGCCAACATAATGCATAGAGTTAGCCAGGGAAAGCTGTGGCCCTTGAGATGCTGATGGACTCTATCTCCCATCTGTCTCAGTCAGCATGGCTTATGGTAAAGGAAAATGGGAGTTGTAGTCCATCAGGATCTGGATGACCACAGCTTGATACAGAATTGGAGGTCAATCTGCAATCCTAGGCAATCCAGCCTGCACATCTTTCCTGGGAAATAGGCAGTACTCATGCAACGTTCATGACAGGAGGAAGGATTTCAAGTCTTCCAAGTAAAGGGAGGCTGGGGAAATGGTCTGTAAGGTGTTCCTTTGGGGAGGAGACCTACGAAATTGCTCTCCTTTTTGACTGACTACCTCAAGAGCTCAGAGATGAAGGGATGCAAAACAAGGCATCACAGAGAAAGTACTATGGACAAGGTTCCTTGCAGGGGTCAGCCTGGGGATTCTATTAAAGCAGAGCTGTTTTTTCAGCAGTCATGCTCAAACGCCCTGTAGCTAGTTTGGCCTTCTATGAGAGGGACCAGTTCCCTTAAAGGGGCTTTAGTGGACATTGACTCTGACAGTGAAGGAGGCTGGTCCTCTGAGCTGGAGTCCTCAGCATCATAGGAGAGCAACACTACCTCAACTGGTTGGATAGATACCAGCACAATGCAATCTACTTCTGCAAGTGTTTCTGATTTGGTATGTACATTTGGGACAGTTCGTTTGGACAATTTGCTCTCCCGCTTGGAATCCCTGGTCACAAGATTGTATACAGCATAACAGTGCTTTCACATTGTTTCACCCATTTTAAAATCTTCACCTGCTCATTCCCACTTTTTTGTGTCTTGGGAGGAATGAGATGCATAATAAGAATTCCTTTGTGGATGAGAACGATTTATAAGCCAGGAGGAAAGTTGCCAGAGGCTGGATTGGTTTTACACTGCTGTTGGGAGCCTCCATTGCATGGGCACACCAAGGCCCATCACCTCTCCTCCTTTGGCTGACCAAATTATGGGAGCCCTCTCCACCCATCCTACACCTGACATCCTCAGCCTGTTTCTGATTTTAACCTTTTAATATGGTTCTTATTATATGGTTTTATATACAATTGTTGTAAACCACTCTGATATATACGTATGAATATCAGCATATAAATATTTTTCTAAATAAATAAAGCCAGGCCTTCAATGGAACAATTGGTAGCTTCATGTGGGCCCCCAGTTGTCCCTTTGCTGGAGCAAAGTATGCCTTGCTCAAGGAGAGGGGAGAAGTTCCTCCTTTCCAGGGTAGCTCTTTGAAGCCGTGTTGTGCTGTTCCTTTAAGTCTTTAATTTTGACGGTTGAAAGGCATGTCATGAAGTGGCTTGCAAAACATAGGGTGGACACCCCCCCCTTCTTTGTGGTTCCCATGTTTGGGAAATGTATGAAGGGATTTTGACCGATTTATGTCATGTGGTGGACAGGTGGGTTGCCCTGTCCATCTATCAAAGTTGGCTAATGGGGTTGGACTCCAAAGGTTCCCCACCATGGTCTACCAGCTGAGGGTCCCCATATAACTTTTTTACTATCTGTGTACCTGTTTCTCTACTCATTTACATAGAATGTGGTCTGTGTAAACATAGCACACACCTGGTGGCTAACATACGATAGAAATACGGCACAATACAAAGCAACACAATAGCTCAACAATTTATTTGGCAGAAATACAAATAATATTTTAAAACATAGGTATGTTAAAATAAGCAGCAAATAATATAAATCCTAGTAGACAAAATGCTATCCCTTGAAGATGTCCATTAATACTATGCAGTCACCTTTGCTGTATTGCTATAAAAACTTCTGGGAAGCCTAGCAGATGTCATGAACCCAAGCCATTTATTGGAACGTAAAGCTCAAAACCAGCTTAGTAAAATACTGGAAACATTATTGTAAGTTTATAGATGGATGAGGTGTGGAGGATAGAAAAAGAAGAGTCTGGAGGCATTTTTCTTTCTTCCAATGGGATTTCCTAGTTTCTAGGTCCGAACAAGGAGCAATTACACTTCTCCATGAAATAGGTGATGATTGGAGCTGAGACCAGGAGAAGAAGCACCAATGAGGAGCGGAGAATCCAAATATAGGTAGGTATTGTCTGACCTGGATCGACTAGAAAAAGATCAGAAAGGTTTGGGTTTCTATTCAGATATGACCAGAGACAGGTAGATTAATCAGCAGGTATACATTAACAAGTTCTCTATGGTTTCATACTTGTGGGACAAATGTACACGTTTATCATAACACTTTTCCTACTCTGATTATATACTCCTATTGATTCTCTCAAATAGTATCAATCAATCAGTTTTTATTGTATATCGCCAAAGGCCTTTACAATGAATGACAGAGAAGAAAAAGAAATCCCTGTAGCAGTTTGCAACATATAATAAAAGAAGAACAATCCTCTCAGTTTTCAACTATAGTTCTTTCCTGTATAGTTCTTTCCATCCTATCCACCCTCTGAGGGTGTTTTAGAGAAGGGGAGAACAAAAGAGGAAAATGTTGAAGAATTTGGTGTTTGCTTGAAATGTCTACAGCAAGTTGAAAAGGCAGACCTTATCATTTACATAATCTCCAGTCATAATTGAACTATTGAATACCTTCTATATAATATATATTTTATCTGAGGTTTAAAACTCTCATTATTGATGAAAGTTAATTTTACAGTGGGTGTGAATGATCTATTTGTGGCTGGTTTCTTTTAATCATTTTTTCCCCAGGCAGGTGCACTATGTGACCCATGTGAGCAGCAAAATAACCAGATTGCTCAACGGTGATGGGATAAAATTAGGTCAAATCTTTGTTGACAGCAGCAGGCAGGGCAAGGGTTGGCATGGCATTGGGTCCCAGGATCAGATAATCATTCCATAAGCCCCATGTTGAAGGAATGTATCTGGTGCCTTTGGATCACTCCAGACCTGTACGATAGGAGTCAACCAGAGTTAAACCTTGCCATGGTGCAAGCCAAGGATGCAAGGTCTCACCGGGGCACCAGGCTGCATTTTTCAACCAGGCAGATACCAAACTCACGCTTGAGTTTGCCATGGTCAATCCTTCCCTCAAGCCCCTTATGGGCCCCCCTTTGCTATGTTGATCCTGACCAATGCCATTTCCGCCCTCATACAAACAATGTTCTTCCGCCTAACAAAGGAAAGTCATAATTTCACTGAGGTAAAGGTGGAAAACCCCCCAACTCCAATCAAATGCCAATCAGGCTAAGAGATAAAATTCCTTTCCGGTCCTGTCTACCAACAACCCAAAATAGCTCAGTGAAGGCTCTCACCCGAGGATAGGCAGGCAGGAAGCTCTCAAAGCAAAATGGCTGGAATGGGGCATAAAGTGATATGGCGAAAAGCTTGAACAAATAGCAAGAAAACCAGTAAGGAGTGATGCATTTCCCTGACTCTCTGTAGCCAACTGGCTCTTGCTTGATGGCAATCATTTGCATTTGTCAAAAAAGGAGAAAAATTCAGACACTGACATCAAGAGTGCTATCAAACTTTCCACAGTGGCAAAAAGATTCTATAAATGTGGCATTAGGGTATTAATGATCTCTGATGGGAAATGAGAAAAAATGTTTTCTTTTTGTGATTGTGTTTGATTATGAATTGCATTGTTTTGTTCTTGTGTCAAGATTTAAAATGGTATACTAAAACAGTAAGATAAATCAATATTTTTACTCACCAATGCTGCTTACTTACCATTGGAATCATAATAACCTGGGTGGGTAAAAACATGGACAATATCAGAAAATCATGGCTCATCATCCCATCAGGAACAACAAGGCTCTCATAATTGTACTCTATCAAGGCAGTGGTGCCTAACTGAACTGTGCATCAGAACACAACTCCTGATTAGATCACACACTTCTCTGGATTTTGTAATGTGGTTTTGCCACAAAAGGCGCCCACAGAAATACGTATTTTAATATAACCTGTGTATTTTATTTGGAAATGCATTGAAAAGCAATGAGAAAATGCATATTTTGAGGAATGCACAATCGGTTTGATTTGAACTACAGTGGTAAGTCGCAAGACGAATGCCTCGCAAGACAAAAAACTCGCTAGACGAAAGGGTTTTTTGTTTTTTGAGCTGCTTCGCAAGACGATTTTCCCTATGGGCTTGCTTCGCAAGACGGAAACGTCTTGCAAGTTTGTTTCCTTTTTCTTAACACCATTAATACAGTTGCGACTTGACTTCGAGGAGCAACTCATGTGGTAGCCTTTTTTGAGGTTTTTAAAGACTTTGGTGGTTTTTGAAGCTTTTCCAAAACTTTCCCGACACCGTGCTTCGCAAGACGAAAAAAATCGCAAGATGACAAAACTCGCAGAACGAATTAATTTCGTCTTGCGAGGCACCACTGTAAAAATCAATGGTTATGACAAAGAACCATTCATTTCATTGGCCCTACTCAAAGTATAAATGAGCTGGATGGAAGAACACATGTAACCTTTAGAAAAACATGATGTGCCAAAAGAAATGAAACAGGGTGGACTTAGGTTGACCTAAGCCCCATTCCTAGAGGCTAGACACTTAAATAATGATTTTTTTTTATAAGCTGCCTAAAAGCAATACCTATTTTTAAAGGTAAAGGTAAAGGTACCCCTGCCTGTACGGGCCAGTCTTGCCAGACTCTAGGGTTGTGCGCTCATCTCACTGTATAGGCCGGGAGCCAGCGCTGTCTGCAGACACTTCCGGGTCACGTGGCCAGCGTCACAAGCTGCATCTGGTGAGCCAGTGCAGCACACGGAATGCCGTTTACCTTCCCGCTGGTAAGCGGTCCCTATTTATCTACTTGCACTTAAGGGTGCTTTCGAACTGCTAGGTTGGCAGGCGCTGGGACCGAACGACGTGAGCGCACCCCGCCACGGGGTATCGAACTGCCGACCATGCGATCGGCAAGTCCTAGGCGCTGAGGTTTTACCCACAGCGCCACCCGTGTCCCTCAATAAAAATACCTATTTTTAATACGCTATTAAACAATGTTCCTGGAGAAGTGTTGTCATCTCCATGCTATTGGCCAGATCCTCCAACATTGGTTGCATAGGTGCAAAATAGCACCTATTTTCATTTAGATAAATATATGAATGTGCTCCAGGGAAGTCTGAACATGCTCTGTGGCTGTGATTAACTCTTGTCATAGAGGAATAGAAACCAAATGGGTGGGGAATTAAATGGACTGTGCTGAAATATGGCATGACTGGCTAGTTGGAACTCTAAACGTGACTATCCCATACAATCTTACGTGGCTGGACAATCAGATTCTGAGCAACACTGAGGGCAGATATCTTCACTTGGTTCTTTGCATCCTTTTGCTGGTAACCACAGGAATATTGGCCAGCATTCTTCGGCGATGCATAGACTATGTATTGAACATATTGAGATGCTGCTTTCTTGGATGAAACAGGAGCCCCATCTTTACAGAAAAAAAATCCGGTCAGAAAAACCTCTGCTGGAGCCGCACATAGTGCTGTGATAGTTTCCCCTTCAGAAACCAAAGTTTTGTTCAAGAATAAATCAGGAGCAGGAAGTTCACCTAGAGAATGAACAAACGGAGGGAAGAAATAAAGAAATAGCATAAATGAATGCAGAGAATTAGTGAAAATGCAGTTGCAATGGAGGGTGAACATTTCAGCAATCATGTGGAATTAGATTGCTTTATCGCCATTATTTTTGTCTTACTGTATAGTGTTTTAGCACAGTTTTCTCATAATTATTTGTTGTATACTGCTTTTAATTTTTCTGTTTTGGGGTAAGTGGCATGCAAGTGTTCTACTCTGTTTTATTTATTTAAAGCATTTTAATACCACCTCAATTTTTATTTAGAAATTTGGGATTGTAAGCTCTCAATCTTCTAAAATGTATAGAAGATTAATAGTTAGGTAAGCACATAGCTATCAACTTTCAGGTTTGAAAATAAGGGATCAGCAGCTTCACCTGTCCTCGGGACAGTCTACGGGATATATAACAATCAGGGATAGCAGCAGGAAGCAGCGGGAAATGGCGCTGGAATAAGGGAATTTCCCACAAAAAAAGGGGAAGGTTGACAGCTATGGGTAAGCAAAAAGATCTTATGAGGCAATCCTATGTCACATTTCCAATAGGCTGAGTATTTTAGGATACAGCAACTCTCTAGCTCCAGCCCATATGAGCTGCTTAAAGGAGGATTGGAGGCACTTCAGAGAGTGGTTTTGCTCTCTAAAGCCCCTCCTGGCCTCATTTAAAAGCAGGCAGTGCAGGATGTAAAAGAAGGTCAGAACAGCTTTAGTAAGTGGTCAGAATGTGAGGGAAGGAGGGTTCAGTCAAGCCTAAAGGGTGGGGGAGGTTTGGGCAAGATATGAGGGGATAGGCAAGGGGGTGAGTGAGTGGTAAATGGAGGAGGGGTTAGCCAGGTGTAGGGGATGGAGGGCTGCTGGGATTGGTGAGCTGAGAAAGTGTGGGTGGCAGCTTCTAGTACATCTCGTATTTTCTAAAAGCTTGATGATGAAATGAAACAGCCCCGAACTTCTTTGATAATGAACATTTAGCATTAAACATTTGGTTCTAGTAGAGGAACACACACACCATACTCTGCAATCCGGCACACACTAGCGCACACAGTCTTGCACAGTCTCAAACTCACCTGCAGAAGTGCAAAGCTCTGAATCTTTGTCATCACCCAAACACCAGTGATTTGCAAGAAGGGCATCTGCAATAACATCCATGCAATATGTTTATAATATGTTTTAACAAGTAAACACAAGGGCAGAGCAGTATTTCAATAATTCAATAATTCTCCTGCTATTTTGGCTGCAGGCTCTTTTGAGTGGCTTTAGTGTTTTCTAGCAATCCCTGGAAGTTTCCACATGTGCAAGTAATACACATATAAATGAGAGTCAATGTAATGGCATATAATTGCCAAGTTTCCTATATGCCAGAGCACCTCCAATTCTGCTGCAGGTTTTTTTTTCTGGGTGCAAAAGGGTGCATGGGGTTTTAAAGAGATTAAACCAGCATGTGCGAATGCAGAGCTGAGGAGGAACCAATAAAATTGCCCTTTCCCCCATGTGTTTCACACTGTTCCTTCTCCCAACACTTCTTTAATGTGTGCATTTACATTATGTTTTATAACCAAGTCATTTTTAACTGAAATCCTTGATTCTCTTGTGGATAGTACTGGAAGAAGAAGAAGAAGAAGAAGAAGAAGAAGAAGAAGAAGAAGAAGAAGAAGAAGAAGAAGTTGTTAGATGTTTTCATGAAATGTCCTCCACAAGTTAAAGAGGAAGACCTAATTTTGGTTTATTTTTTAAAATGTCTGTTGTAAACAGCTTGGGTTTTCTGCAGTCCTCAGGATGCAACAGATCTCTCCCTCAGCTGGGCTCACCATGCAGCTCAGACAAAGATATGCTCATCACAGCTCAGCTAGTTAAACTGACGACACTGTAAGTCCCCCAGAAGGCTGTTGCAGGGATGTGGCAAGGAGCAGGTGACTTAGACTGGAACCTGAGCTCATTCAAATCAGTCTTGAGTCCTGGCAACCTCACATAGAACAATATTTTTAGACTTGTTTTTCCCCTGCCTCACTTAGAGCAGCAGCCCTTCTGTTGAAAATGGGTTGGATCTGGCTTCAACCCAGCTTAACTTGTCCCAGTATGCTTTATGCCATCACCTTCTGCGTAGGACTTATGATCTATAATGGAAACTTCACATAATCTATCGTCATACAGCTTGCCACATTCCCAAAACGAAAAACCCAGACAAAGTTGTTGAGGCACACGCTCCGGAATTTCCCGGACGTATGGCAACCCTAAGTATGAGTACATACAGTTGTCTCTATTAGAGTTGCCTCTCCCCATTTTTATTTTTAGAGTCAAGCAAAAAATTCCTACAAGGTATTTTTCTGAGAACATTTCAAAAATATTTTTTTAATGAGTATTCCTTTTCTCACTGTTATAGTAAAAGGCCATCTTGAAGCATTTGCTTCTAGTATTTTCAACAATTTTCTATGCTGTTTCTGTTCCCACCCGCCAGATAGCCTTAGAAAGACATTGGTTTTGGGCAATGCGAGAGGATGCAGAATGGGAGCCTGGCTGCCAGCTCATTCCCACTGCCGTTAACTTCACAGAATCATAGAAAAGGGAAAGGGAAATGAAAAGCTGTGCTATTTCTGGAATGCTGGAGAATTTCTCCTCCATTTCAAGTAATTACATGGAATTTTCTCCCTAGTTTCTCTGTTCACTAGTAGTATGGAGTCCATTTGTACATAACTCTCATTACTTATGCGCCTTTTCTAGAATCTTGCTATTTGTCCATTAACTTTTTTTAAAAAAATCAATTTTCTTAGAGTTTATAAACAGAATAACAAAGATTATTGTCCAATATCTATTTCTAAAATCCAAACTAAAACATTAATCCAGAGGGGGGAAAGAAGACCGAGAAAGTGATAAAGAAAAGGAAATGAGAAATGAATTAAAAGAGAAAAAGAGAGAAAAGTTAGGAAGCTAAAGAACTTCTGATTCTTCATCTGACCGCTACATATAAACATCACTCACTTCATCCACTCCAGTGTAACACCTAATAATTCCATCTTCTATAAACCATTTTCTTCAGTCCTCAAATCGAAATGTCATTATTTTATTTTATTTTCCACGCAAAAAGTCTGTGGGAGGTTTCCAATCTTTAGTAAATGTTAATAATGACTTTTCTCTGATAAAACATGTCAATTTCGTCATCTCAGCTAAGTCCATTAATTTTCACAAACACACACTCCTAGGAAAACTCTGATGGGAATTATGGAGTTTCCTTTCGCCACATCTTTCAAGAGATTGTACATATGCATGAATTCCCTTCCCAGTTTCCCTAACTTACAGAGAACCCAGAAGAGATTCATCAGGGCAGAGCAGGAGTTGGCTTGCCAATCCGATGTTTGTCCACTCTTCCCCACTTCTGACTCTCAGCTCCTTCTACTTCTCTCACAGACGAGACGAAAATCATCACGACTTTTGCAGCATGCATGCTTCTATCCCCTCCCCTGGGGAACACCTCCACATGTGGCTGCAGCTACGACTCAAGGATGTATAATTTTACACCATTCTTTCAGGTGAACTATTCAACATATCTCTGACCCTCAGGCACATTCACTTAAATATAATATTTGATGGTCAGAAAGGCAGCTTTTCATCCATTGTCCTATTAACTCCCCACCAGAAACCGCTCTGAGAATGAGTAGATTAGTTCACATGATAGAGAAAAGATTCAGACATGAACTGCTGTGAAAAATTCGTTCTAGGGAAATAAATAGACAATCTCTCTCCCCTCCCGCAGGAGAGTATTCTGTCAAGATAAAATTGTTGGGACTGCATACCAGCAGCCCATGCTCAACATGGAGCTAAAGCATATACCCACCCATGCACACAAACCACCCCCTAGGTAACATGGCCTATAACTGGCATGTCCAAAGTCTGGCCCGGGGGCCACTTGCAGCCCCCTGGCTGGTTTCAAAGGCCCCCCCCCAGCAATTTTGAAAAAGCAATCTCTTGCGGCCCCTGAGCACCTGCCCACCAAAGCCGTTTCCTTTTTGCAGGCTCGTCACGCGTTCTCCCCTCTGTGTGGGAGGCGTTGCTAGCCCCCGCACAATTAGGGAGTCGCCAGTTGCATCGCTCCTCGGGTCAACCGATCTGGTCGGCTGGGGCGGGCATGGCTAAATAAATAAATACTACAGTACACTTTCGGGACGTTGATGCTGCAGCGATGGCAGTGGCAGAGGGGTAGCTGCTGCCTTGACCCAGAGCCATATTTATGTATAGGCTAAGTAGGCTGAAGCCTAGGGCCTTAGGGGCCTCAAGGGGGCCTCACCAGCCCACCTGCTCCCTAGCAGGCATTCTCCCCTCTCCCAAAATTGCAAACCCAAGACTCCATGTGAAGGCAGGGCAAATCGAGCCTCTAAGTGTAGGGGGCCTCACCAGTCTGCCCTCTTCCCAGTGCCGCAGTCTCCCCTCTCCCAAAATTGCAAACCAAAGACTTCATGCGAGGGCAGGGTGACTCAGGCCCAGCAACTATGAGACGCAGGGCTAGTCAGTGGGGCATAACTTGAATTTTTTTTTGTAGGGCCCCAGTTCCCAGCCAAAGTCTGCAAAATCTTATAGATATAAATGAAATCCATCTAGATTGACCTGATGTGGGGGCCCCCTTAGGAGCGGCACGCGGGGCCCAATTTGGCCAAATTGCCCCAATTGCCTTAAGGTCAGCCCTGATGAGACTGTGCAGGGGTTGGACTGACAAGTCCTGCACCTTCTAGGTCCCTGGTGTCACTATTCAGAGTACAGACTCAAGGACTTGTAATGGAAATAATGGGGGGGCAATTATTGGAAATCAGTTTTGTCACCTCCCCCCCAAATCCTGGGACAATGAGTCCAGCCACCTTTTATTCACAGTCGCATAAGCACTACACTACAGCATGGCCATAAAGCTGTATGTTCAACCGCTGAAATACACACCCAATATGTAGCAATGGAGATTTATGTTACTGTTTTATGAATGAACACTGTGTTTTATTAACGGACTCTGTATTTACCCAAGAGCCACCAATAGGGAGCTCTAGAATCTGACAGCTAACCAACTGGGTACTACCAAACAGTGACCCCTATTGCTGAAAGCAGGTAACCAGCAGGAAACGCTTCAGCTCAGCCTTTGCACTGTTGACTGAACACCCCCTGCTTTGCAGACAATGGAGAAAGCTCATAAATGGTATCTCTTCTTTTGTACTGGCCAACTCTGTTACACTGGTGTAAACCCTGGGAACTTCCCGGTTGGTGCCTCCGGTAATGGCGGAATTCCTCTGATCGGGAGGAATTTGCCCCGTGGGAATCTGGGTCTGGCCGCCACGGCGAAGGCGGAGACCCGCAAAAAATCACAGGCGGGAGAAGCCTGTGAGCGTGGGATTCAGCGGGCACCCTTTGCGCCTCCCCTACTCACGGGGAAACCCAGTTTCGGGGGTCCGGAGCGACGTGGGGTGAGCGGCGCGGTGCTTCGAATCGTCTGCTTCTTCCACAGAGCGAAGACGCATAGCTGTTGCCGGAGAGTGCTGACTTTTTCTTGTGGACAATTTGACTTCAAAGTAATTACCCGTGAGTAGAGCTGAAGCGGGAGAATTGGATTTTTAAACGTTTAATTTGGTATCGTAACGGGGAGGTTCAACACAAGAAGTCCGCCTTCCCATTTTGTAAATAGACTGAAGCAATAAGGCTGCAAGCTGAAGTCTTGGAAAGCCTTTTGTAAAAGACTAAATTTCCATCAGTAAAGAACATTAACCCCCCCCTTGGAGGCAGGAGAAGAGGGGGGGAAGTTGTGGACTGAGTATGCCTGCAGGAGAGAGTGAAGAGAGCTAAAATACCGCCGCTCTGACCCTGGAAACGGGCTGCTAGCAGGACTGACTTTTTTGGAATGTTCATTGACAGCGTTTAGAACGTTCATTGACAGCTAGCTAAATAAGAGAAATACATTGTTTCTACTGTCTCCGGCTGCTTTTAAAAAGGAGTAAAAGTAACTGAAAGCTGAAACTAACTTTGGATTGTTGGAACTATGTTTAAAAGAGGACATTACTGACTAATATAAATAGAAACTGTTTCCCCCTAGTGGAAGCCTTTGAAACTGGTTGCTTTATAAGAGCTGGGCTAGGGGAATTTCCAGCTGCAAGATAAAAAACTGTGAGACTCTGGGACTGACCTTGAATCTTTTAAGTGTTATGGCAAATGGGAAGGGAAAAACAGACCAGTCAACTGCTGAAAAAACATTAAGGTCTGGGAGGACTTGGCAGCAATCCAGGAGAGGCTCAACATCAGGCCTCCCTGCTTCTTCTGCTGCTGCTTCTGCACCAGTACACTCAAAACCAAGAGGAATGTCGACAGAAGAGGCCTTAGCGGTTGCATTAAATAAGATAAATGATTCACTGGAACAGCTTAACAAGAAAGCAGACGTGACAAATGCGAAAGTCAACTTAAATACAGAAAGTATAAATAATCTGGGACAAAAGGTGAACATTAATACAGAAACCATCCAGAAATTGATACAGGAATCTACTTTGATAAGGCAGACTGCGGAGGAAACTAGGGAGAAAGCCGTCGCTGCTGAATGTAAAGTAACACAACTGGAGAGAGAGAGAGTCCCAGCCCTACAGAGGCAACTTGATGAACATAAGTTGACGCTTGCTATGATTGAACTTAAAGAAAAACAGACGAATCTGAGGATCAGAGCCCTACCTGAATTGGAGAAGGAAAGCTTGACAGACTTTCTCACACAGGAATTTGCTGACTTTTGGGACTTGGACTTGGGTCAAGAAGAGTTTAGAATTGTGAGGGCCTTCAGACTTGGAAGAGGAGGGAAAAAAGAGAAGAATAGAATAAGGGACTGCTTGATTACCCTTCGAACTAAAGAAGAGAGAGATAGAATCTTGGGTTGGCATTACAAGAAGAACCTAGAAGTACAACAGTCAAGAGTGGAAATTTTTAAAGACGTCCCGAAATATCTTTTGGATCTTAGGCCTAACTACGGAGATATTGTTGCCCTGTTGAGAAGGAATAAAATTATCTTTAGGTGGGAGTTTCCCCAAGGTCTATCCTTCAGTTTCAAAGGAAGGAAAATAAAAATAAGATCAGTAGAAGATAAAGTAAAGTTTCTGTATAAATACGAAGAAGATCTGCTGAAGGGACTTGAAAAAGAGCCAAGAGCATCGGATAGAAGATCACCAGATAGAGGACTAGAGCAAAGAGCATCGGATAGAAGTTTACCAAACAGGGGAATATTGGATATATCAGCATTATCCTTTGGATTGGATCTCCCAGTGAACGTGTCACCACCACCACCAACAGAAGAAGAGCAAGCATTGGGTGCAGTTGGAGGAATATCAGCGTAACTACATGATGGTGTTGCAGGTTTCGAGCTGGAATGTGAATGGACTAAATTCCCCAGAAAAAAGGCGCAGAGTCTTTCATTTATTGAAAAAAGAGCATTTGGACTTGATTTGTTTACAAGAAACACATGTGATAAGGCTACACAGGAAGATATTGAGTAATAAAAGATTGGGCCAAAAATTTATCTCATCAGATAAAGTTAAAAAAAGAGGAGTGGTCCTTTATGCAAAGGAGAGCCTTTCACCGAAATTCATATTTAAAGATGACCAAGGAAGATTTGTTGCAATTGAAATTCAATCACAAGGAGAGAAATTCTTGATTGTAGGTATATATGCACCAAATGAAGGAAAATCAGAGTTCTTTAAGAAGCTACACGAGACTCTGATGGATTACATGGACTATAATATGATCTTGATGGGAGATATGAATGGAGTGTTGTCTACAAATATGGACAAGGCACAGAGACAGGTAGTCACCAAAGATGGTAGACTACCAAAAACCTTTTTTGACATGACTGAAAATATGGACTTAGCTGACATTTGGAGAATGTCTCTGGGAAGAGAGGGAACTTTCTTCTCTGAGGCCAAAATGACATGGACAAGAATTGACCAAATCTGGGTAACCAGGGGATTGGCTCCGAAGATCAGCAAAGTGGAGATTTGCCCCAAAACTTGTTCTGACCATAATGCTGTGAAGATGGAAATGAATTTGACGCCAATTGGTTCCTTTAGATGGAGGATGAACGATACTTTGTTCAGGAATGAAGAGGTGACCAAGAAGGCCCAAAAAACTCTAAGAGACTATTTCAAGATAAACATGAATACTACAGTGGAAAAAAGAGTAATTTGGGACGCAAGTAAAGCGGTTATGAGAGGATTCCTAATACAACAGAATGCAATTAAGAAGAGAACTCAGAATGAAAAAAAGGATAAAATCCTGGGGAAAATAAAGGAAGGAGAGAAGAAACTGAGAGCAAAACCAAAGTCACAGGAGATCCTGAAAGAGATAAAGTTATACCAAGTACAATATATGAAGCTGATGAATCAGGAAATAGAATGAAAGATTAA